CCAATAAATGAATTTTAGAAAGGGACAGGATTAGACACGGACACACAAAGAATTAAGAAGAAGAAGAAGAAGAAGAAGAAGAAGAAGAAGAAGAAGAAGAGGCATGACTTGTTATATCAACGTGCTCATGTATAACAGATGCATAAAAAGGGGTCTAGGAATGGAAAGGTGTGGCAACCTGGCCATGCAAAAAAGGGGTTCCGTACGAAATTTGAAAACAGAAAATGAAACGACGATGCGCTCCTAATACATCACTGTCACTTTTTGGAACTAGACTTGGGTAATTCTGGAGCTCCAAAATATGGAAGGAAATGCAAATGAGGGGTGTGTCGGAAGCAGCCCCAGCTGACTGCTTCCGTTCACCCGGTAGCAGGGCTTCCATAGCTCTTCCTTGCACAACTGCTGGCTTCCCCCACCGCCTGCTTTCAAGTCATATGAAGGCTGCTGAGGCTCAGCAAAGAAGAAGCAGCTGACCCTTGCAGGCGGGCTCTGGCGATGCCAGGAAATGAGGATGACTCGGCTCTGGCTGGACCTTATCACCAGCCTGTCCTGCCTCTGTCAGCCACTTGTCACCTGGCGGCTTCTGAGGTTGATCTCTGTAACACCCAGAGCAGCAGCAGGAGGAGGAGGAGGGACAGGCAGCTGACTCAGCACTTCAAGGGCCAGGCCTGAAAGGTATTATGGGATGGGAGAAAGATGCTAATTTGGATATGTCTTGCAATATCGGTACTACTACTACTAACATCATTTGCATCTCTCTCTGTGTGTTTACCCCTTTCTTAAATAATTATAAAAGCACATAAGCAACATTACAGGAACCATTGTCCTAATATTTTGCTTAGGTTTTAGAGTTCTTAGCAGGTGCACTTCCCCACCTAGCTTGGAATCCTGGCCCCACTGCTAAGGGACCTTTTGCCCTGTGGTCCCAATCCAGGCCAGGGCTCCTGCACCCATGGTTTACTCTAGAACCCATTCATGCAATTACTCAGTGCAGGAAAGGTGTCTTGTCAAGAGCTTGGCCCTTACTGTGTTTGCAACTTGAGCTGTTGTAGGCTTAATTCCACTTTGTCAGATTGTGCATTTGATTATAGTCTAGCCAGCGGCACATGACATGTGGGGTAGAGGCTAGCGTGTTGGGAATAGGACTGGAGGGAGGCAAAGGCTCAGCTTGGCGGCATCTCCAAGGGAAAAGCTCCAAGCAGTTGAAGACAAGGGTGGACTTAAGGCAGGGGCATGTGGCTGCAAGTAGGCACAGTGGCCAAATATAATGGGCTGCAGGGCCATTGCTCATCTGCATAAAATTACTTGTCTGTAATTAAAGTACGTAATTTGAGGACATGTTTGATAAACGTGGCAGGTGCCAATGCCAGAGTTGCCAGACAGGTTGCTCTTATGCTACAGTATTGTTTTCATTATCCAACAGGGCGTTGCAATCTTGCAACACAAGGCAAATTCCTTGGGATGCTTTGGGATTACTTCTGGGCCTTCCAGGGGCAATTTAATTGGCTAAGCATCTGTGTCAAGCTTTGGTCACCTGGAGGCATAAGTTTCAGTGGATGGACAAAAAGCTCCAACCTAATCCAAGAAGGAGAATTGGGGGACCAGCTTAGACAAAGGCATGGATGTATGAGCCGGACTGCATAATGCTCAAGTAATCTCCTGGCATATGCCAATAATTTTGGAGGAGTTGCCAGTTTGAACAGAGAAACCAATAGGTGAAAGGCTGCTTGCTTGACCTTACCTCTCTTCCTGTTTGCTCTAAGTAAACTGGCTGGAGCAGGTAAAATGCGGGAGACTTTCTCCAGCACCTGATACAAATCACAGAATTGTAGAGTTGGAAGGGACCACGAGGATCATCCAGTCCAATCCTCTGCAGTGCAGGAATCTTTAAGAAACAAGAAGGCAAATTACTCCCTCTGATTTCGCAAATACCCTTGTGGTCCGATGCAATTCCTAAGCATTTCTGGTCACTGGTTTGCCAACAATGAAAAGAATTTACAATACTGTATTGAATGTCCAGTCCATCTGTGCCAAATATTGAAAAAATAATAAAGGATTGAAAAAGTAAAAAAAAGAAAAGAAAGAAAACATTCTTTACAGCTTATGGTGGATAAGCTTTAAACCAGCCTTCTTGTACCATGATGGGAGCCATAGCCCAAAACAGCTGAAGAACACCAGGTGGCAAAGACTGCTCTGAATTTTGTGCCAGTACCAGACCACATGGGAAGCTTATGACTTCAGATTCCCTCCTAGGTTTTTGCTACCATTTGTTTTCAGTGGATCTTTCCCACAGTCCCAGGATTAGTGGCACCTCCTTGTTTGGTGCCTTGCAGAACTCCCCACTCCCTGCCATCTTCACCTAGGGCATGATAAACTTGTCCCTTAAGTCTTCCTCTTTTCTGCATATTTTTATTGCGAAAGTTTTTACCCTATAGAAGAATGAGAGATTCCAAACATGAAAGTGTGAAACATTAATATGGCAAATAAGATGCACGGCTAATGCTCAAATTGAAGTAAATCAGATGCAAGCAACATCTCTTCTCTCTCCCTCCCCCCCCCCCCAAAAAAAATTGGTACCTGCAGTTACAACATTTCAGTTTCATCTGCCCAGGTACTATCAAAGCATTGAGATCCCTTTTTCCGCTGTTCTAGGAGAGCATCAGGGTTGAACAAAGAAACGCCTGTCTAAGAAACACCTGAGACAGATTTGCTTTCTGTCCATGTGTTCTAACATTCTCTGTGGAATGGTCCCAGACCACAAAGAAATTCATCCGTTTAGCTTTTCCTTCTGCCGGTTTTAATGCAACTGATAATTTCCCCACCGTTACAATACTCCACAGTGTGTTTAGCCAATTTATTTATTATTTATTTATCATTGATTACATCTGTATCCCACCTCTCTTCCAAGGAGTTCAAGGTGGTATGCATACTTATCCCTCCCATTTTATCCTCACAACAAACCTGCAAGGTAGCTTAGGCTGGGAGGCAGTCACTAGCCCAAGATCACCACCCAGTGAGCTTCATGGCCAAGTTGGGATTTGAAACCTGGTCTGACCAAAAGAAAGTTATCAAAGGTTTGTACACAAAATCCCCATTTTCTCCATCCCATATACTGAGAAGAGCCAGCTGCAGAGTGAGAGTCACATAATTGTTTGCATTTACAGCAAATAAATGCTTTGTAGCATTTATTCAAGCAAATATCACAGTCCAGTATGAAACAATGTGGGGGCAATCCCAGCACAGGTATATGTAAGAAAAACCTAACTTCACAGCCTCTCCAGCAGTTATAGCCCTAAGAGCCAGAAATGTGTGCCAGGCGCAGAGAGGTAAGATCCCATTGATGGATCCAATTTAAATGGCATTCTCTGACCATTGCAGAAATTGATTTAACTAGTTGCTTATGCCATATATCAGCGCAGCACTCATGTGTGATAGACTGCTCAATATCACATTTCCAAAGCACTTTCGGAGAAAATGAAAAGAGCTGGTTGTTTCGTCATTTAATAAAGAATATATTTTTGGGACCAGACCCTTTGTACTGTGTTCATATTCTAGCATCAAGAGCTCAAAGCTGCTGAGCTCTCTCAGTGCTATATCTTTGCTTGTTTTATTGCTGATAAAATGACTGTCAAGAATGTGAAGTTAATTGACATGCATGCCTTGAGGTTTCGTGGGAAGTCCCTCTATGGATAAAGGGTGTTTATAAAGCTCTCTTACTTGGTGCAAGCTTCTATCATGCCAGTCCCTAAGCTGGACAAATTTACTGTATATGGGTAGTAGAAAGACTGCCACAGGACCAAAGGAAGACACAGAGAGAACCTTCTGACAATAAGAGCTGTCAACAGTGGAACAGTCTCCCTCAGGAGATTGTGGACTCCCCTTCCTTGGAGGTTTTTAATCAGAGGTGGGATGGCCATCTGTCATGGATCCTTTAGCTAAGATTCCTGCATTGCAAGGGGTTGGACTAGATGACCCTTGGGGTATCTTCCAACTCTACAATTCTATGACCCAGGGCTGGATTAAGACCTTTAGAAGTCCTAACCAATGAAAAGATTATTTTACACCCCCCCCAACCTGTGTAATTCAAAATTTAATGTATTTTTAATCTTTGTTGGAAGCCGCCCAGAGTGGCTGGGGAAACCCAGCCAGATGGGTGGGGTACAAATAATTAAAAATAAAAATAAATAAAAACAATACTAAACCATGAAATATAATTTTATTTTTCAAAATGACACAAAACTGACATGTATGCTGAAATGTACATGCATAGATGCCATGTGTAACACAGGACAGAATCCGGCTTCCTTACTCTGGTTCAGTGTACCTTAGTGGGGCGTCCCCTGGTTTATTTCAGGATGAACGGAAAAACAGGGAGAACAGAAAAATGGGGGGAGATTTCGTTTACAATTCTGGTTTCCCCTACGATGCCTACTTTAGTGTTTTCCTTTTCGAAATATCAAATGTCAAGCTTTTTGCAAAGTTTCTCATTTTGGGGAGGAGGGGTTGCCCTAAGCATGTGCTCAGTCTGCCTGTTGGGTAATCCACCTCTGGAGAGACCCCTTCCATGAAACTGTCTCTCCACTCCTTCCAAACCAAGACAGTAGTTTTGGTAAACTGATTTCAGATCCAGTCTAAACTGCAGAGTTAATTCAGAATTAAGATTCTGCTTTCTTCTTTGGTTAATTCCATTCCCAGCCGTGGTCTCTGTGTTGCATTGTGTAGAAAGGCCTCCTCTTTTCCTTCCTGCTTCACTGGAACAACCACAAGCAGAAACACTCTGAGGATGCCATCATGGCAGCAAAATACCGCACACAGTATTTAGAAATCTGCCTTCTGATCAGCCAACACAGTTCCGCTCCAGACAAGCAGTTGGCCAAATACGTTCTCTTTCTGGTGGTTGACTTCCTTTTTTCTCCTCTTCTGCTTTAACAGCTACCAAGCTAGCTGCCCCTCCACCACTCTCAACCAACCCAGCTACTGCCGTCTGCTAATAACCAGCCATGAACTCCGGACAGTCTTCCCACCTCTTGGGCTGCCTCTTGATGTTTGCGGCTGCTCTGGCCACAGATCAGATGCCAAGGCTAACCTTCCGGAAAGGTGAGTAACTCGAAGGACAGGGATAGCAGCAGCAGCACCCAGGGGGAGATACTGAAAGGGGGCTTTGAAAAAGAACGAGGGAGATGTGGAAGAGGGAAGGCAGCCTGGGTTGTGATGAGTGTTTTCGATGATTGCACTGCTTATGAATGCAAGCTTGGAAATGAGTACTGAGAGCTGAATTTCCACACAGGGTTTGAGTAGGGTTCTTTCCAAAAAACCAAACCAAGCATGAGTAGGTTTCTAGTCCTCATGGTGGCAAAGATAGGCTTGCAACTGCAGCAATGACACTCAGTTCTGCCGCACTTGTCTTATGACTTGCACTCTCCCTCACTGAAGCAGCCTCCCAGAACACCTGCGCAATGCCAACTCACCTTTGGATTTTAGGTTCTATCCAACTAAGGCTGTACCAACATTGCCGCCTTAGATTGCTGTGAAGTTGTTTGTTTCTCTGGGGCATTTCACGGCTCTTTCTCCTCTAGCTGTTTGCATCAGCACGTTCACATCATTAGCGCGTCAGATTTACGCGCCACAGTTTACATACCACAGGGGCATTGACAGCAAAGATGTCTTTTCCCTATGCATAGTTCCCATAGTTCCCTGTGAAGAGGGACTGATCATTAACTGCTCTTGAGAACTATAGCTCTGTGAGGGAAATAGGGGCCTCCTAACAACTCTCAGCCCCCTGTCCAAACTACAGCTCCCAGAATTCTTTGGGGGAAGCCTTGACTGTTTAAATGTACTGTGTGAATGTAGCCTGGCATTATCCTTGAAGGCCAAGCCTCTCTCACACTGGGAGGACAGAGGTTTGGCTCTCCAGAAGGGGGGGCAAACAGGCCAGGCTAAACTGCCACTGGCTCCCCTTCTTCACTTGGGCCTTGCAGCTCAGGCCTGACTCATAGGTCAGCAGAGCAGCGTGGGATGTCTTCTTTCCATGGTGCTGCTAAGACACTTATTTCTGAAAACCATATTAGGGCAATGTCTTTATTAGCCTAACCAAAGTGTCCTCACAAAACATTCTGGGGCACAATGTATGTGCTCTTCCAATGAGCAATCAGTTGAGGTACACATTTAAAAAATGAAGGAACATGCTTAAAATGGCCTCCCCTTCTAACACAATTAGGTAACTTAGGCCCCACTGATACCATACATTTAAATTATTATTTATTGGATTTATATGCCACCCTATACCCGCAGGGTGGTTCACAGAATAAAATCATAATATAAAACCACAAAATACATAATCAAAATAAAAACAACAACCCAATAACCCCCCCCAAAAGGTCATAGGATGTCAAGGGGCAGAGGGTGTTAAATCGCTGATAGCAGCAGTTAAGAGGCCCTTATTGCCCACAATTGTTGCAGCTCCCTGTGAAGAGGAATGAATTGTTAAACCACTCTGGGAACTGTAGTTCTGTGAGGGGAACAGGGGCCTCCTAAGAACTCTCAGCACCCTTAACAAACTATGCCTCCCAGGATTATTTAGAGGAAAGCCATGACTGTTTTAAATGTATGGTGTGGCTGTGGCCAAAGAGACAGTGCCCCTGTCTAAGGCCAGCCGGCGAGTTTATGGTGTCAGAGGTCAGATTCAAACAAGGGCCGCCTTGATATTTTCACCACTAGAGCCACACCACCGTCCATATGCACTAACTCATATGTTTCCGTGTCCATACACGTTCATTGTGCACCAGTGTGGCATAGTGGTGACAGTGGTGAACCTGGAACTGAGAGGACCCAGGTTCGAATCCGTGAAGCTCAGTGAGGTGACCTTAGAGCAATTCCCCATCTCTTTGGGAAGACCAAACTGAGGAATTTGCTGCTTTAGGATGCAATGGTGTCCCATCAGCTTTAGAAGGAGGCTGGGCAAATCAACGGAGGCATAGGAGTCTCTTCCTAGGAGCCGAGGATCCTTTGGCCCCTCCAATAAAATATTTGAGGTGGCCAGCCCTCCCCTTCTGAAGTTGATGTGTTTTGTGATTGATTATGCAGGGCAGGGCTTACCTGGGCTCCCCCAATATTTTATTCAAGTTGGCACCCCTGTGTAGAGGATAAGGTTATCGAAGGGTCCAATCCCGATGGCTTTGTGTTGGAGGTGGTGTGCCTTTGGATCCCAGTTGCTGGGGAACATGAGTGGGGAGAATGGCTGCTTTTGCACTCGGGTCTTGCTTTCAAGCTCCCCAGAAGAGGCATCTGGTTGGCCACTGCTTGTGCATCCAGAGAGAAAGAGAGATAAGCATGCATACTGCCTTGAACTCATCAATGGCTGAGGAGCAGTAATTTTTATCCCAGTCGACATCTGCATTGGATTTTACATTGCTTTTAGATATGTCTTTATTGTTAAATCACTTTGGGAAGTTTCAGGGCAAGTGTTTCCTAAATGAAATGAAATGAAATGTCATAAATGAATAGATGGCACTGTTGCGCACTGCCCCAATCTCGGAGCAGTGAGAGACTCCAGGCACTTACCCAGAGTTTGATTTCTTTAGGAATGAAGGACAGCAGAGACTGGGGTGTCCTTAGGAGATATAATTTTATTCACACATATATACAAGCTGAGCATGGGGTGGAGTGGGGGTGGAGGCTCAAAGCGTTAACATCCCACCAGATCTTGCCTCCTCAGCCAAAACTCCCACATACAAATTCATGGAGGATAAGGATCCACAATACCTCTGCTCTGCCTCCATGGTCGGAGGCAACAATGGTTCTGAATCCCACAGGAGGGGAGAGGGATCTTGGGATCAGGTGCTGCCAGCAGATTTCCCACAGGCACCTGAGTGGCCACCATGAGAACAGGACAATGGACTCGATGGGCCACTGGCCTGTTCCAGCAGGCTCTGCTTATGTTCATATGTTCTTACACAAAGCCCTTCCATTGGCTTATTGTTTCTTTTCCTAGGATGATGGTGGCATCCAGCTGGATGAGGGGTGTGTGGGAAATGCCCAGGTTCGCCTGGTGCCTTCATTATATATTTTTAGGCGACAGGCATAAACGTTCCTCTTCAACCAGGCCTTTGGCTGATTGACATCCTACAGCCTTTTAATTGTATCTGTGGGAAGGTGGGGGCTATTATTTTGTTGTTTTGGTTTAATTATTTACTGTGTTTTATCTTGTATTTTATTCTGTGAACCACCCTGAGATCTTTTGATGAAGGGCAGTATATAAATAAAATAATAAATACAATACCTGGAGAGCATCATCACCAGGTTGCTGATGAGAATGCTTTACCGGCCATCTGAAGTCATGGTCTGGTCTGACTGGTTCATCTCACCTTGGGTTGCTTGGAGCAGACTCCATTGAGATGAATGGACATGACCAACTTTGCTCCATGAATTTCAGCAGATCTGCTCTGAGTAGTGCTAGCAGTGGCCCCAATCCTCTGCCTATATGCTCATTGCTCACACAAATGCATGTTTGTGGTACGCAAGTGAGAAGAGGGGCATCCTTCCTCCACACTGGCTTAATTTAGCAGCCCACAGCTCTGGCCACTGAACTGCTCTGTGCAAAGGAAACTTATCAAGTGGCCAGAGGGTGGGAGGAAGACGGAGGGTGGCAGCAGTTCCTTTGTCAACCCAAAATAGAGCCGGTGTGGTAAAAGCAGCATCTTCCGGCAGTAATTACTCGGACATCTGTGCTGCCGACGTGTAGGAAACAAACAGCATCTGCTGCCTCTCCAGCCCATTGATTCCTTCTCTCTAATCGTTTTTTGCTGTGAGATGGAGACTGGAGTGGGTCAGAAAGAGAAAAGTGGGCAGGGGCTGGCTGTGGACTAGAGAGGAAGCTGCAGCAGACTAAGTCCAACCCTGTACCATGGCTCTTCCCCTCCGAATAAAACAAGGTTCTAGACCACATGTTTCTGAATAAAGGGCTGCTTTTAATAAGAAGCTGCCTTGCACAAAATCAGACCATTGCTCCGTCTAGCTGTCAGGACTGTCAAGACAGACTGGTAGTGGCTCTCCATGGTTTCAGGCAGTGGTCTTTTCTGGCCCTACTTGGAGATGCCACAGATTGAAGCTGGAACCTTGTGCATACAAAGCAGATGTTCTGTCATCACACTATGACGCCCCCCTCCCCCACCCAACCTGGACCTAGGGAAACTCCATGGATGCTGTACAGTGCAAACTAAGTGCACTTAAACCTCTGGAAGCCAATGTACACAAGACCGTTTCAGGCCTAGAGCCAAAATTCTTGTGGGTTTTTTGGAAGGAGAAGGGAGGGAGGGGAGGACCCTAAAAATACACTTGTGCATGGGTGGGTGTCGGGGAGAGGGTATTTTTTTAAATTTAATTTAAATGTGGGTTACATAATCTGAACTTCCAACTCAAACCAAATCCTCAAAGTGGAGATTAATATATATATCATTGTGCGCACCCCTCCAGAGCATGAGAAATTTTGGGAAGGACCTTGGCTCGATGGGAGAGCATATGTGTTTAGCTAACTGAAGGTCCCAGGTTTTAACACCGTGATGTCTCCAAGTAGTGCTATGAGAGATCCCATCTGAAACCCTGGATTGCTGCTGCCAGTCAAGGAAATAGGATGAATGACCAGTCCCAATGGATGAATGGGCAGTTCCAGTATAAGGAATCTTCCTATTTACAGTAAATCAGACTTTTTGTTCAGAAACGTGGACTAGAAACATACCGTACTTTGTTTTGAGGGGATGGACCCCATAGTTGTGGGGCTGAGCATCTAATACCTGCACTGCATGCAGAAGCTCCTAGTTTCAGCTCAGGAGTAGAGCATCTGCACTGCGTTCAGAAAGTCCCATCTTCAATGCCCAGCATCTCCAAGAATTGCTAGGGAAAAAATGCTGCCTGAAACCCCAGAGAGCCACTGCCAGTCATTGTAGGCCATGCTGAGCTAGATGGACTAATGGTCAGACAGACTCAGGATAAGACAGCTTCCCATTTTCCTAAATTCCAGTAGCGCTGCACTCACTCAGGCTTGGTGCCCTTTGGAATGAGACAGCTGGGGGTTTGCTGCCAGTTTATAACTCAGAGCCATTTACAGATATACCAGTTGTGTGGAGGGGATGGAGGCACCCAGCCAATGTCTTCTGCTCTCATATAAGACTTTAGGGTGACTGCCAGCACCCTAAGAACCCCAAACTCTGCTCTCTGTGTCTATTCTCAGTATGGACCGTCTTCCCTTTGCACAGACCCCTGGATGACATCCTTTGCTTTTCAGATGGCAGGAGAAGAGCTGCTTCAGAACATTAAAAATAGGAATGGTCCTGTATCCAGAAACAATTGGCTAGCAATTTAGTTCCCATGGCAACATATTGCCAGGCTATTGACACTCTGTCAAATCCAGGTGTTGCTTCAGGATATTGCTGCACTGATAGCCCTGCTCACATAACAACATGCGTGTGCTTGTATGCATATTTTAAGAATGCTCCCAAAAATCTCATTTGATTTTCTTGCTAGATTTCTTCTTTCTGAAGCAGTACCAGTGCATTAGGAATTACCCCTTGTTCTTTTAATGTTAATTAAAAACCCTGAAGCTTGTAATGTTCCTGTGCAGAAGCTGTCTCATACCATTGTTCCATCTAGCTCAGTATCATCTACACTGACTAGCAGCAACATTCCCAGGATTTCAGGCAAGGGTGTTTCTCAGCCCTACCTGGAGATGCCGTCGGAGACTGAATCTGGGACCTTCTGCATACAAGGCAGATGGTCTGCCACTGAGCTACGTCCCTCCATTTGTGCTTCCTCTCAATGCCTTGCCATGCTACTGATGTGCATGTAGGCTTTAAGAAAATATTGCAAGGTTGCAGTCTCAATGGGATTGTGTGCACAAGTGCTTAAAATTCTGTTTGGTGTAGAGTTTATGCAAGTCCACAGGAGTGTATGTGCGCACATCAGTAAAACACATGCAAGAAATGCACAGTCAGGTTTGCTTCTTTGCAGTGTTTTGGTGGCTCAGTGCATACTTGTGTGATGTTACTATAGCACAGAGCAATGAGAAATGCAAATTCGACTGCTTTTCTCCAATTATGGAATTAATTTTAGGACATCTCCAACTTAAATCAGAATCCAGGTGGACTGGAAGGCTGAGCAGAGTCATCTCACTGGCTCTGCTCAGAAAGAAGGAGAAGGGGTCCGTCTGCTCCATTGCTAGAGAAGTCAAGGAGAAGAACTAAAAGCTAAATCAAAGAGGGAGCTCTTAGTCTCTGTTTCTATATGTTGGGAGGGGGCTGCAAGGTGTTCTTGGTCCCCAAACCAACCACTGCAGCCCTTGGGGCCTCCAAAAGTTTGCCTACCCTTGCTCTTGCAGGCCAGCTCAGTGTTTTAATTCTAATCTGAACTGCATCTCACCACTTCCTTCCTCTAAGGTTGTGGTGAGTTTTAATTCAGAGAAGTACTGACAGTGTCAGCTCAGAGTGAATATTGCTGCAGATGTTGGCAAGTATTGTTGGTGTGTTCATTGGCTGAAGGGCCCGAACGGATGCATGGGCAGCTAGAGACTCCAGGGCACAGGCCCCAGTGGCTTCCACAGGAACCTAAGAACTTGCCTTTTATAAATTCATCTGATTCAGTATTGTCTGCCCTAACTACCAGCAGCTCCCCCAGGGTTGCACATGGGGGTCGTCCCCCCCCCCCAATCTTGCTTGGAAATGCCATCGGACAAACTTTCTGCACATAGAAAAGATGCTCTACCACTGAGTTATAGTCCTTTTCATTTGGATCTTGACACAACTTGTGGGGAAGGACAATAGCTCAGTGGGAGAGCCCTTGCAAGCAGAAGGTCCCAGGTTCAATCCCCAACATCATCTGGGTAGGACTAGGAGAGGCCCTGCCTGAAACTCTGTAGAGTCATTGCCATCCACAGTAGACAATGCTGAGATAGATGAGCCATCTCTGTCTAAGTAGGCTTCCTATGTCTCTGTGTCCTTGTGCATAGGCCCGATCCCAAGCAAATGTAACTCTGACACCAGTGTTAAGGAAGCCATAGAAAGCTTGCGGCGATATGTTACTGTTTGGGGTGGGGGCTGCCTAACTGGGGAGGGGGCAGTCGCATAGAATCTGTTAACAATGTTCTTTCTATATACCCCTTTCCTGCCGCAAAGTCCAAGTGTTCTAACTTTGCATTTCCTAATCCCTACCCTTGATAAATCACTCTCTCCCTTTACTTATTTGCTTCCTAGATTCTAGGTTGGAAACCTCCAACCACATTTCCTGGGCAGCTATTTTGCCCATCTTTGCCTTGGGGGGGGGGGGCTTAGCATATAAGTTATCATAGAATCATAGAGTCAGAAGGCACCATGAGGTTCATTTAGTCCAACCCCCTGCAATGCAGGGGTTTGCATCTGTCCCATACAGGGATGGAATCTGCAACCATGGCTTTATCAGCACCATGCTCTAACCAGCTGAGCTGGCATTGTGACGTCAATGCATCTTGTCCTTACTGCTGGCACATGGAAATACTTGGGCAGTGAAGTAAGATGCTGGCCTTGCCCTCACTTCTCCATCAGGTCACCATGGCTTTGCAAAGTTAAATGGGTAATTTCCAACCTGTCTCCCCTTTAAAAAAGGAGGAACTTATTCCCGGACTCTGCCTTTCCGCCTCCAGCCCATCAACCACCATTGGGGCATGTGGTTAATCCTGCCCTGTGTGTGCATTGGGTGCAGCCAAATTCTGTTGCAGCATTTCCTGTGCGCAGAGGAGGAGGCCCACAGTGACTCTGGTAGAGATGGATGCAAAATTCAATTCCGTTCACATTTAAAGGCCAGCTGACCTAATCTGAACTTTCTGAAATGAGATGTGAATGGAAAGGCAGCCATCCTTTGAAATTCGCATTTTGCCGAATTTTGCTATTTATTTTCTCTTTACATTTATATTCCACCTTCCTCCAGGGAGCCCAAGGTGTGACATACATAGTTCTGTTCATCTCCATGTTATCTTCACAAGAGCCCTGTGAGGTAGGTTAGACTAAGAGTGAGTGACCAGCCCAGGTTCACCCAGCAAGCTTCATGGCTGAGTGGGGATTTGAACCCTAGTTACTTAGTCCAACATTCTAACCGCTTCACCACACTGGCTCCAGGGAATATAGTTCTCCAGCCAAGTAATGTGTACAAAAGGCACACACTGGTGTATAATGTCCACATAATGCCGATACAGGTGAAAATAACAAACAAAATGCATTGTATGAGGGAAGTTTGCTTGCAAAAGGGTGTACATTAGACTGCAAAAATGTGTTTATTAGGAGATATGCACACTGAAATGCTGATTAATTTCTGTGAATATTTTTTTAAAATCTGCAAATTGCTGTGGAAATGTGGAAAAGTAAACAGGGTGGCGCATCATGTTTTTGCCGCCTGAGGCGAAACGGGAAGGTGCTGCTACTGCCACCTTGCTGCCTCCCTTACCTGAGTCACATGGCAGTGCCTGTGAAGTGGCAGTGGCAGGTTCTGGCAATATCTTGCCGGAAGCTTCCACCACTGCTGCCACCACTTCTCTGTCACTGGCAGGGGTGGGTGAGACGCTCTTGGGGGCACGGCCTCAGCATTCTTCATGGGTGGCCCAGTCCTGAAAGGAAAATTTAAGATTGGAAGAACTGGAAACTTTGACAGATTTGCCCAACTCTCACCTGGGATAGCTTCTTTCCAAATAGAAATCATACAAAGAAAGACTTGTTTTCAGAAAAAGAGCTGAGTAAAGAAAGGAGGGGTTTGACCTGAGGGAGGAAGGAAGCCTAATGGGGCCCTTAGGAGCATGTTTCGGTTAACTATCAAGCCATTTCCTGATGGCAGGAGGCAGGGTGTTAATTATAGGAAATGGATCTCATTCAGGACATGTTACTTTAAAAGGGACTGTCAAGATTGCAAGCATACATTTTACTCAAACTCAGTTTCCTGTTAAGCTACTGAAGAGTTTGGGGTGATGATCTAATTTCACTGCATTCAGGGCCGTCTTACCCATAGGCCGTAGTGGTGCGGGGCACCAGGGTGCCGGGCTCTCAGGGGCACCAGGCCAGGAGTCTGGGGCCCGAGAGCTGGAGTCTGGAGAAGCGGCCATGGCAGCGGGTGATGGCCAGGGGAGAAGAGGGGAGCCCCAGGCCCCCCGAGGCCTCCCCCATGCCCCTCCAGAAATGGCGCCCTGCGAGGCCGGCGGTGGGAGTTCCCGGCACCTTACTCTGCTGCGTTTGCCCTGGCTGGGTCTTGGCACTGGTGGCGGCCTTGCTGGCCGCAAAGTACTATCAGGACTTGGTGGTGGCCAGTGGCAGATACCGGCTTAGGTAGCCTCACCACGGGGGATGGAGAAATCTTTGTGAGGCATCTGCAGGAAGGGATGCTGGAAGTCGGGGCTTCTTGGGGGGCAGTGAAGGGGAGAATGAGTGGAGTCAGGACTGGTCTCATGTGGCTGAGAAGTTGGCGGGCAAAAAAAGACATTTCGGGGGTGCCTTTTGTTTTGCATTTGGGGAACCTTTTTGTTTTGCAATCTGTGTATAGTGCAGCCCCGGAGCTGCCTGTTCAGAAAGGAAGCCTCGTGACTTCCAAGTAAAGTGTGTATCGCATTGCAACTTCACAGTGCCATCCTCTCCCAAGTCCCGTGTGGGATTCTTCAGCGGGATATACCAGTGAATAGACTGGTAGCCTGAGGTTTGCGATTGTCCGTGTGCTTGGGAGCAAGTCCGCTTGAATACCACGGGGTGCACTTCTGCGTAGACATGCATAAGCTTGCAATGTAAATATACCTCGCGTAGCATTTAATGAATGTAGGCAATTAACAGCCACAGGGATGGGATCGCCATCACTGCACATCTTCCGTAACACTAGTCATCCAATGAAGCACAATGGTGGGAGATTCATAGGCACAAATTTATTCACCCTGTACAATCCAGATGTTGTTGAACTACAACTCCCACCAACCCAAGCCATCGGATATGGGGGGCTGGTAGGAGCTGATGCGAATTGTACTCCAACAACATAATATGGGGTGCGCCACAATATCTGCCCCTTTGGTACATAGTTGAACTATGAGATTTGTTGCTACAAGATGTGATGATGGCTACAGGCTTAGATGATGTGTGTGACATGTTCATGAAAGGTCTGTTGTGGCTATTAGTTATAACAGCTACCTAGAAACCTCTGTGTTTGTCCGAATGCCAGTTGCTGGGGTGGCTGTCTTGTCATGGTTGTGGGCTTCCTAGAGTATCTGGTGTGTGATGCAGAACTAGATTTAAGTATTTCCAGGTGGGAAGTGCCAGGTGCTGCCCAGGAATTTGAGGAAAACAAAAGTCCTTTGTAGGTTTTAAAGCAGGGGTTGGATGGCCATCTGTCATGGATGCTTTAGTTGAGATTCCTGCATTGCAGAGGGTTGGACTAGATGACTCTTGGGGTCCCTTCCAACTCCACAATTCTATGATCTCCAGTGCCAGAGACAGCATGCCTCTGAGACTGTGCACACCGTACTTCAAAGCTCATTTAACATGCGCACGTACTACAAGAATCCTGGGAACTGAAGGATGCTTGAAAATGCCGCTCTGATGTGTAACTACAGTTAACAGGATTCTTTTTGAGTGGGCGGGTGCTTCAGAAGTGCTTTAAATGTTTGCTTTGTATGCAGCCAGAATATGAGTTACTGGGGAATGACAGAGAGAGGGCTAAGGTGCTCATGTCCTGCACAAGGGCTTCCCATAAACTTCTGGGATGGTCACTGTAGGAACTGAATGCTTGACTAGATGGGCTCTTAGTCTGATGCTGCAGAGCTCTTCCTGAGTAAGGATATCCCATAATTCTTCTTGACGTATAAGCATTGTGTTTAGGTGAACAGGGAAACATTACTGGTGGTTCTTTTCCTCAGTACTGTGAGTGAGGTACACCACGAGGTGCCCGGCTTTGCTCAGTTACAGACACCGATGTTTCGGGTTGCTTTGTTGCCCTGGGCTGGGGGGGCAGATCTTTGCACCCCGGCACTGCATATGCTTAAGACAACCCTGACTGCATTCACTTCCTCCTTCTTAGAATGAAAAGTGTGGACATTCATTCCACTTTGCTTGCTTCCCGATTTCCACATCCAGCAGCCTCAGGATGGCTGCAGCAGGCAAGGATTGGCATGGAGCAGGTTATGGCTACAAGAACATCCTGCTTTTCTCATTAGGGACTCATGGTGGCATATATGGTTCTCTTCCTCCCAGTTTATCCCCACAACAACCGTGTGAGGTAGGCTAGGGTGAGAGATAAGTCAAGGTCACCCAGTGAGCTTCATGGCTGAGAAGGGGTTTGAACCCAGGTCTTTGAGCTCTTAGTCTGACAACTCTAATCAACACATTTCACTGGCTCACATGGCTGCCACGATTTGGTTTCTTCTTTTTCTCCCCAGTATTTTTTCACTTGCTCACCAAAAAAATCATCACAGATCCAGACTTAGAAAATTCTCTACCCTTTGTCAAAGACAAAACTTTTAATAATAAGAATACCTAGCTGCTGCTGCTGCTTTCAAACTTAACACTTCTCATCATTGTAATCTTACCGACACCCTTGTAAGGTAGGCCAATTATTATCCTCATTTTTTGCACAGGAAGGGTGCAACCTGTATAGGCTGTGGTCTGTACTTTGAGAGTGAATGCAATCAAGCAGACCAGCTAAACCATCCCTCTTTACTGCCCCTGCCACCAGAGTAGACACAGAACGGGGGGGGGGGGGCAAAGAAGCTTGACCCTCTCCACCCAGCCCAGTCCCCTGATGGAAATGCAAATCTCCTGCTTTCCAGTCTTCTACTTGATCAGTTCATGAGCAGGGGGGTGTGTGATTACCTCCCCTCCTCACTGATTTGCACAGCTCAGCTGGGGAAAGGGGTTATGTGTGCTGTGTATGTGTGTGAGAAACACAGAAAGTGGTTTGTGTGACCATGCCAACTTTTGGCCATGTCCACCCCAGAAGGCTGACTATGGGTGGATGATGCTCCCCCCCCAAAAAAAATTGTTAGCCACCCCTAACTTTAGGGGTCACAATAATTTCTGAAGAGGTGTTCTAAAAAATAAATGAACCTAACCATATTTTCTCCTTCCTCAGGGGATTCCAGCCGAATAGTTTTCTCATTCCACCGAAAGGGGGTTCAGAATTACGACACTTTTCTCCTGAGCAAAGATGGGGCAACTCTCTATGTGGGAGCCAGAGATGCTATCCTTGCTCTTGACATCGGCAGCCCTGACTCCATCAGGCTGAAGGGTGAGGTGAGTGGGAAATGGGGATTTGAGATAAGATGTGCTGGAGGAAAATGAGGGGGGTGGGTCTGACATGGTGTTCTGGTGATGACAAGCCTTCTGCCCCCTCTCACATAGCTACCACCTCATCTCTTTAGAAAGCTCAACTCCCAGGGGGTGGCGATTTCTTTGAATCCCAAAGAAATACAAGGAGAAGCAGGGCTAGGCACCAATTCCCCTTCTCATTTCCTCAAGACCAGCGTGACTTACTTTTGCCCAGCAAAGCCTGCCGTTATAAGATCGTGAACCAAAGGGTCCTAGACTCATGAGGGGGAAGAATGCTCTTTGAGTTTAGCCGCAAGAACTAATTTCCTAGAATTTCTTTAGACTCAGATAGAAAATAAGAGGAAAGAGTGCAAAGGTGAAAGCAGAACAGTACGTCAAAAACAAACGAAGCAGTTCAAGCCAGGTCTCGCTAAACTGTTTCGGTTCCTTACAGGCAGGTTTCTGGACACCTCAAGTACAGGAATCTTATGTGGGGGTTGCGTTCCGGGGGATTGTGCCTAAAGGAAAAACTGCATATAGTCAAGACATAGGGTTCAATGGTGGGTGGGATTGCCAAACTCTTTCCCACCCCAGATGCCCTGCCCCTTGCCACCACCTTCTTAATTCCCCTTTTTTGTGTGCCAAGCCTGTAAAGCTGAATGCGCACAAGTTAAATGCATGTAAGTTAAGAGCTTACTGTGTAGAGTTAAAAATAAATAAATTATTACTTGTACCCTGCCCATCTCAATGAGTTTCCCCAGCCACTCTGGGCTGCTTTCAATAGAATATAAAAGAACCCACCAAAATATCAGATGTTAAAAGCTTCCTGATACAGAACTGCCTTCAGATGTCTATGGAAGGTCATATAATGATTTATCTCCTTGACATCTGATGGGAGGGCATTCCACAGGGCAGGCACCACTACCGAGAAGGCCCTCTGCCTGGTTCCCTGTAGCTTTGCTTCTCGCAGTGAGGGAACCGCCAGAAGGCCCTCAGAGCAGGACCTAAGTGTCCAGGTTGAACGATGGGGGTGGAGGCACTCTGCACTCATGGTCCAACGCATTGAGGACCACAGGATTATATAACAACAGCCCTCTCTTAAAAGGTGCCATCCCAGGTCCTGTTTAACCAGCAGAATTAGCCAGCTGATCACCTTCACCAAAATAATGTCCAGAGGCCAGAGACAAGTGGCTGTAAGGTGGGAATAAGCCACCTAGTGAAAACCACAACATTATCTCAATTTGTGGACAGGACTTCTCCGTTTACAGATAATAGAGGACTAGGAAGACTCAAGAATCTTAAAAGGGGCAGACTGGGGACAGCAGAAATGTGCCACAACTGGCACTTTTCCAAATGTTGTGCTGCCGTTTCTCTAAGTGGGCAAAAAGAAACATGTATTTGGATAGGGAGGGGAAGGAAATAACATGCAAAAAATGTGTTATATTATTAGAGGAAATGGCAAACTGCAATTTGCTTATCAGCCCTACAATGCTGACAAATTTCACGAGGGCGTTAAAAAAAACCCACAAAGGGATATGCAAATGTGGAGAATTGAATTTTAGACTGGAAAAATGAGAAACTCAGAGAATTACTACTACTACTACTACTACTACTACTACTACTATCTAAAGTCTTTCCCTTTTCCTGTGATAGATACTGTGGGGCCCCACAGCCACAAAAAAGGTTGAGTGTGTCTTCAAGAAGAAAAGCAATGAGGTAAGATATGTCTATGTCTCTCTGTGTGTGAAGCTTTATTTCCTTGCTTAGGAATTATAACTTAGTCTGTATGTGTGTCTGCATGCTGCAAATATAAAAGCAGACCCTGAATGGGGTGGGGGTTGAATCAGGGCCGGTGGACATGATGCTGACGAAGGGGGAGCTTAACTCTTTCCTCCTGCATTTGGCTGGTTTTGGTCCCTATCTCCACTCCAAAACTGCTGCCTGACCCATGGGGTAGGGGTAGGGGTAGGGGTGGGGGTAAGATATAGGAAACTCAGCTTTGCAAGAAGAAGAAGCATAAAACCAGGGGTGGTTCTGCTTGCAGGTCTCCTGTGCCATGTCTAGTGTGCCTTCAAATTGGTATTTTCTGTGGGGCCAGGCGAGGGAGGAACAAGTCAGTCCAGACGTATGCTTAATACAACCTAAAATGGCTTCAGGACTGTGGGATCTACTCTGGGTGGGTGGGGGTTTGTCTGTTTTTTTTGGGATGAGGGGATTACTTGCTCTCTCAGATCCACTGGTGCCAGGTGCAAACCATGTACATTGACAGTTAAGAGAATTTTGAGCCCAGGAGTTTGTCTTGAGTGCTAGAACTGAATGGAGATCACAGTCCATAAATACACACACACACACACACACACACAGAGAGAGAGAGAGAGAGAGAGAGAGAGAGAGCGCGCGCCATTCCTGGTCTGCTTGCTCTGCCTCCCCCCCCCCATTTCTTCATTTCAACAGTATAATTTAAGGGGTGGATGGGGGTCTTTGTTCCTGCCATTGTTAAACTGTTGAGAATCAGAAATCCTTGCCGATGTATTTCAAATCACCCAGGGCACTTGTCAAAGCAGAATTATGCACAAGTGTCACTCCCCCTGGTGGATAGTTTATTCATTTGCTTATTGGGGAATTTATAGCTTGTCTTTGGACAAGAGAGACCCTCAAGGAGCAGTAATGAAAACCAAACAGACAGTCTTGACTGTAAGCTGATTAAACAAAGGAGAGGGGGGGGGGCAGCAGCCTCCCATACTTGAAACTAAAAGCCAAAGCTTGTCTGGATAAATAGAAGTTTGGGGTCTATATAAAGCTCTTGAATCTGTCAGACCTGAGCAGGTAATTCGTGCCATAACTGTTGGGAGCCACCACCAAAAGGCATTCTTCTGGAGTGCCTCCCAATCCTAACAGATGGCGGGGCTTTGCTAGATTTTGAAGAGCAGGATGGTGCCTCTGTGTCATGGCCCCTTATCTTGCACAGCCTCCTGAGCCAGGTGAGACTCATTGGAAGAGGAAGAGTTACCCCACGAAAGCAGCTGTAAGAAGGGCCCATAGCCTCCCATGTAGAGGAACTGCAGGCTTCATGTTTTAAGGAAACAAATAATGCAGGTGTTACCTCTCAACCACTTCAAAAACCCATTTGAACTTGTAAGCGGAAAAGGGCTGCTTTCGTGTGCATTCTGTACACTGTAGGACACAGTTGTGCGTTTCAACAACCTCCCGGTGGAAACTTCCTCTGGGATGCAAATTTAAGTGGCAGCTGAATCTTGATTTCCCCTCTTTATCTCCACAGACAGAATGTTTCAATTTCATCCGTGTCCTGGTGCAGCTGAACGACACACACCTTTACGCTTGCGGGACGTACGCTTTCAGCCCCACCTGTACTTACGTTGTGAGTTCCTGGGGCAGAGAGGGAAGGGGGCGGTCTCCACCAGGCTAGCAACTAAGCAAGGAGTAGCCAAGGTGGTGCCCTCTGCCAGTTGTTGGACTCCAGCTCCCATCATTCCCAACCACTGGCTATGCCGGATGGCGCTGATGGGACTTGTGGTCCAACATCTGCAGGGTGCCACACTGGCTAGTCCTGGACTGGCGAAAACCTCTGCATCCTTTGTGATGTTGCATCTAATCTCCAGGGGAGCACCCATTGGATTTCCAGACTGCTATGCTGCACGCCTATAACTGCCTCTAGAGACCCAATGGATGCCTTGTACCACCTGCCCACCCCTGAACTGGAGCAGCCTAGTAACTAAGAGGCTGAGGCAAAAGACCAGAGATCCCTGGTTTGAATCTTGCTTTGCCATGAAGTCGCTAGATGAACCTTAGGCAAGCTGTTTTTGCACACAGCTCAACTCCCCCGTCTGCAGCATGGAGAGAACAATAAATGTTTGGTTGATTCTCAGAGCTTAGTCTCACCATTTTCCAAACACAGAGCCTCATCCAGACACAAAACTTTGAGGTTTTCTACATCCAAGCAGTATATATATATATGTTGGTGCTGACCTTTAAAGCCCTACACGGCCTCGGCTCAGTATACCTGAAGGAGCGTCTCCACCGCCACCATTCTGCCCGGACACTGAGGTCCAGCTCCAAGGACCTTCTGGTGGTTCCCTCACTGCGAGAAGTGAGGTTACAGGGAACCAGGCAGAGGGCCTTCTCGGTAGTGGTGCCTGCCCTGTGGAATGCCCTCCCATCAGATGTCAAGGAAATAAACAACTATTGGACTTTTAGAAGACATCTGAAGGCAGCCCTGTTTAGGGAAGTTTTTAATGTTTGATGTTTTATTGTGCTTTTAATATTCTATTGGGAGCCACCCAGAGTGGCAGGAGAAACCCAGCCAGATAGATGGGGTAGAAATAATAAATGATGATGATGAAGATGATGAAAAAATCAAATGAAAAAACAAAACAACAAAAAAAGCTTACTGAACATTTGTGAACTAGTCAAGCATTCCTGCTTGACCTAACCTAACCTCCAAAGGTGTTTAGAGGATCAGAACAAAGCAAGGGTTACGCATAAGGCACCCAGAGTGTCCTAGAGGAAGATAAGACCCATGCCCAAAATGCAGTAGATATAATTATGCAAAAAGAATTATGCAAAACTATATTAGGAAGAAATGACATTTCCCAAATTGTGCAGCAAATAGGGATGCTTGCTCTCTGAAGGACGCATTCCAAATATTCTTTTTTCCTTCTTTTCCCCCTTTTCTTTCCCTGGCTTGCTAGGACCTGGAGAATTTTACCCTAGCGACTGATGTAAACGGCAAACCTCTCCTCCTGGAAGGGAAGGGCATTTGCCCCTTTGACCCTCAACATCAGAATACAGCAATCGTAGTCGGTGAGCCCTTGTAACACCCCAGAATCATTGCCTGTCCCCCACGACACATTACTAAAGGCTCTAATCCAGCCTTTCTCTCCAGATGTTTTGGACTACAACTCCCATCAGCCCCCGCCAGCTGGCAATAGAGGCCTGTGCTGTGCCCGGACCCATGCTGGTGCCTTTCCCAGGGATGTGCACTGGAGATGAGATGCCCATTCTGAGATTTAACTGTTATGGGCCCTGGGGAAGGAGCTGAAGGGTGGGGATGTTAGCAAAGCATACTGACTGGCAATGAATTACCAGAACTCCAGAAAACAGGGACTGTTCCTGAGAAGGAATCATCTTGTTTCCTGCCTTTACTCTGCAGATGGCGAGCTTTACACGGGTACCAGGAACAACTTTCAAGGCAACGAGGCCATCATCACTCGCACCCTGGGCAGCAGGACTGTTTTGAAGACAGATAACTGGCTGCATGGTAAGAGCACAACCGGAGGACTGGGGAAGGGGGAAGGGTCTTAGTCCAACCCCCAACTAGAATCCAGTGACTCCCACCATCCACCATGGCCTGGTCGCCTAGGCAACTGATAAGTTAATGGATTGGTACCCAGAGAAGATGCATCTCCTAGGCAACAAGCTTTCGCCTGGGGATTCACGCCAGCTGGGTCAAGAACTGGGAGGGCAAAGGGGATCTCATGTCTGGCTTCCTTCTCCAGGTGATGCAGCTTTTGTGGCCTCCTTCAACATCCCGGTCGATGACAAAGTCTACTTTTTCTTTGGGGAAACAGCTAAGGAGTTTGACTTCTTTGAGAAACTGACCGTCTCCAGGGTGGCTCGTGTCTGCAAGGTGAGCCGTCTCAAGAATCAAGGGAGCTTTTGAGCTGGGACTTGTTTGGGCTCAGCCCCAGGAACATATTTTCCGTGGCAAAGGTTTAGCTCTTGAATGTCTGAAGGAGTAATACATGAGCATGTGCAGAGTGGCTATCCCTTGCCTTCATTCATCACATATCTGGGATTGGAAAAGAGGGTTTCCCAAGAAGGAACTGGAGCCAGAATTTAATTTTAATTATTTTGCTAACATATTGGAAAGGATTTTCCTTTACAAAAAAAGACAACAATAAGGTCAAGGTTGGTAGTTTGGAGCAAGGAGACATAATAGAGATTTATTCCCTTTTGGACAATAGTGGACTGCCAATGATTTTCCCTTTCCCTCTCGTAATGCTTGAATTATAAGAAGCAGATTTGGGGCAGACAAATGAAAGGACGAAGTGTAATTTGAGAATCCACTGGCACAATATGTACTGATGGCTGGTAGCTTAAATAGTTTTTAGTTTTGGATTTTTTTAAAAAAATATTGGACAAGTTCACAGAGGCTAGGTCAGCCAGTGGCAATTACATAGGACTTCTGTGTTCAGTCTCCCTCTGAATATCAGATGCTTTCATGCCCTTGCTCCTATCCATCCTTCCTGAAATCTCTTAACTGGAGACCAGAACATAAGGGGAGCTTCTGCTAAATCAGAAAGGATGGCTTTCTAGGGTTGCTTTCCCAAAACTGATGCCCGCCAGATGTTAGTAGTAGTAGTAAAAGTGGCATCATCATCATCATTGCATTTATTAGCCTTCACCAGCAGGTCAAAGGGCAGGTTGCAACAATTTAAAATTCAGAATTAAAGATAGGAAAAGCAATTAGGGGTGTTGTACTACTACTGCCATTATCACTGTCCATTGGCTGTACAGTTAGGGCCAGTGACTCCAGCATTGCAGCATGTTCCTTTGAATCCCTTCCAACTCTACAATTTTATTACAGTGGTACCTCGGGTTACAGACGTTTCAGGTTACAGACTCCGCTAACCCAGACATACCGTAGTACCTCAGGTTAAGAACTTTGCTTCAGGATGAGAACAGAAATCGTGCAGCGGCGGTGCAGCGGCAGCAGGAGGCCCCATTAGCTAAAGTGGTGCTTCAGGTTAAGAACAGTTTCAGGTTAAGAACGGACCTCCGGAACGAATTAAGTTCTTAACCCGAGGTACCACTGTATTCTGTGAACATTTGTAGGGTTGCAAGCTATGGAAGGTTGATCTAATGACTCTAGCATAGGGATATCAAAAAACCGCTGGTGAAAATTGAAAAGGAAGTGAAAATTGCTGCAATCTGTGCTTCCGTCTGTGGCCAGGAATGGAAATCAGTCAGGCGAATTCTATTTGTACTTCTTCACATAATTTTGTTGGGTTTTTTTAAGCACACAAACAATACATAATGAATGGCTTATTAAACATTGTTATAACGTTTCTCTTTTACATTGCGATGAATGTAACTTCACAATTTACATAACTTACACTAAACAGCAGACAGCAAGATGAATAACATAGTAGTTGGTGAAATCTGAACTGCAGTGGAATGGAAGCAGTGCTGATTGTGACAAAATGCAGTTTGGAGGGGAAATCGCTGCTTTTTTACATCCCAACTCCAGCATCTTGCTTTTTCTCTCAGTGGTCAACCAGACTCCTCTGGGAAGCCCAGAAGCAGGACACCCATGTAGGGAACAGCTAGGGATTGAACCTGAGACCTGCCTCCAGATCATAGGTGGCAAACTTCACACAGGCACAATGAACAACTTTTCAAGTGTGTATTATAAATAGTTAAATAAATGGGAAGAAAAGTCACATTGCACATCCTCAGTGTGAGGACTAAGCATATGCTTTTACCACTGTTGTTGTTTAATACATCGTGATTCAGGTTTCATTATAAAATCAAGGCCAAAATCAAGAGAAAAATGTGCAACATTGCATAAAACAGAAAAACAAAGCAAACAGTAACATTGACAGGATTAATACAGATAACCAGCAATCTGATTATCCCAAGAGAGCCATTATACAATTCAGGGGCTACTTAGGGACCTGAAGGTGAAGGGGAGGTTAATAATAATAATAATAATAATAATATACAGTGGTACCTCGGTTATCAAACATAATCCGTTCCAGAAGACCGTTCGACTTCTGAAATGTTCGAAAACCGAGGCGCAAAGGGAGGTCTGCAAAGTCCATGAATAAAATTGGAAAAAACTCAGCGGAAGCCATTGGACTTCCAAGGCACATTCGAAAACGGAAGCATTTACTTCCAGTTTTCGCCGTTCAGAAACCGAAACGTTCGGCTTCCGAGATGTTCAGCAACTGAGATACCACTGTCTACTCGTTCAATTGGTCTGCTATCAGGCCAACAGTGAGTAAGCGAGGAAGTGGTTAAATTGTCTCCCTGGTTTGTTAGTGATGCTTGCTTTTCCGTCCTCCCTAGAATGATGTTGGAGGAGACAAGGTGTTGCAAAGGAAATGGACCACATTTCTGAAAGCTCAGCTGTCTTGCACCCAGCAGGGGCAGTTCCCTTATACCGTCATCCAACACATGTTTGCCCTCCCACAGCCAGGAGGTGGTGCTGATTTCTACGGTGTCTTCGGTTCTCAGTGGTAAGGTTGTGAGGGTCTTAGTCTTAGTGAGGGTGGGGGAGAAATTTGGGTTGGTTTGCATTTTAACGGGAACCTCCCTAATCTGCACTTCCCCAAACATTAAATAAAACATTAAATTGGTATCTGAAGAAGTGTGCATGCACATGAAAACTTATACCCAGAACAAACTTAGTTGGTCTCTAAGGTTCTACTTGACAATTTTTCAATTTTTTTATTTATTAAATTAATTGAAACACAACTATCCTTCAAAACTTGTGCTTCTCTGAATTTTGCAATGTAGTTCTCCAGCCCCAAATTGCATATCTTACTGACAGCAAAAAGCCAAAAGGAATTATATTAGGCAAAATTGTTTATTAAAAAAGTGTGTCAGGAGAAATGCACACTAAAATGCTGACAAATGCTTGTACAGACCTTTTTAGAAAAATATAATAAGGCAAACTGATGTGGAAATGCAGCAAGCTGAACTTGAGATTGGAAAAATGAGAAACTGAAAAAAGCTGAAATTGACAGATCATCCACTCTTACTTCAGAATTCATTTTTGGTCTAGCATTGTGCTAATTGGAGATAAATAAATGTGCCTCAGAGAATATGCAAAATTCTAGTGGGGTAACTACCTTGTATATTTCTTTGCAGGCAGGCAGGAAATCTTGGGAGCTCAGCGGTGTGTGCCTTCAGGCACGATGCTATCAAAAAAGCCTTTGATGGGAAATACAAAGAGTTGAACAAGGACTGTTCCCGATGGATGACCTACAACGGCCAGGCCATGAACCCTCGTCCTGGCAGTGTATGTATTGTTCCTAGCATTCTCCTTGCATTGAAGCCAGAGTCTGCCTTGCCCTCTTCTTAATCAAGTTTGATATAAACTTTCCTGCCTTTAAATGTAGTTCTTGCACCAAATTGAACAGGCCCTAGAAAGGCAGCCATAACGCCTTGGTAAACTCACGAGGCAAGTGTTCCCCAGGTTGGAATGGATGTTCTTCCCATCAGCAATACTCCTGGGCCAAATCCAGTGGTTTATCCAAAACAAATCATGTACCTAAAAAGGGCAATACGTGGGCCATGTTGTCTTAAGGTTTGTTGTCCCCTCTGTACCTTTCTCTTTGCCTCTCCATATGCTTGGACTGGTGGTAACATGGCAGAAGGTGTTATGTATCCAGCATGCCTGGAATTTTGCTGCCATAAAATGGTTTGCACTGTTGGTCACGAGTTCACCTGGAGGGGTTGTTCAGTTGTGCAACAATGTCAAAGTAATGTCAGGCGAGGAGAGTATTTCACTGTACCTGGAATAGTGCTGATGCCAACTGAATAGTGGTGACCTCCCAGTTCACCTAGATCAGCTGTGGACCTTTTCCAAGGTCTATCAAGATCAGGGTGTAGAGACGAAAGGTTCCTTCCATGATGTTGATCTGTTTCTTCTGCAATAGTCGCAGGATAAGATTTTATTCCTTCTGTTGTCCTGCCCAGTTGCAGCCCTTTTCTCTCTTATGGCATTTGGTCAGCTGTAGGTGTCCTTTGGAGGGTCCCCAAAGCTTTCGATTCATCACACAGAGCAATTCAAGCCTCTATATGTCCTTCCAACTCCCAGCACCTTCCAGATTCACAGACACTTTAGCCCTGGCTGTCATCTTCATAACTACAAGATCATGTCACCCACAGCCAGGTGAAAGGGTGGGGAAAACCCACTCAGTTGTTTCTGTGACAAAACACCAACATATTTGCACATGCAGATAAGCTACTTGGCCAGGGTATATTGTCTTAACCAAGAGACTGGATTGACCAGTTCAGCAGGTTCACTCTGCTATATTCTAAGCTCCCCATTACTAAATCACAGGCTTGGTGGGACCCACAGATATAATCCAGAGCAACCCCACAAACCTACAACAATATTTTAATTATTACAGAAAGAACTAAGTGGTGCTCCTGGTCACTCTGTTGGCTTTTTGCAGCACCATAGCTCAGGGCCAGCTTTGCCTGGAAAAAGGCCCCCCATTCAATCTGTGACATCTCCAGGCAAGGCTGGAAAAGAACCCTGCCTGAATCTCTGGCTGCAAGTGGCTGCAAGTCAGTATAGATCTGGGGTAGCTGACGTGATGCTCTCCAGAAGTCGTTGGATGACAGCTTCCAACATCGCAAACCATTGGCCATTCTGAGGGCAGCAGCTCAGTACAGGGGTACCTTGGTTCTGGAACTTAATCTGTTCTGGGAGTCTGTTTGACTCCCAAAGCCATTCAACAACCAAGGCACGGCTTCCGGTTGGCTGCAGAAGCTTCCTGCACTCACTCGGAAGCCATGGAAGCCGCATCGGACATTCGGCTTCCGAAAACATTCGCAAACCAGAACACTTACTTCTGGGTTTGTGGCATTTGGGAGCCGATGTGTTCAGGAGCCAAACCTTTCGGGTACCGAGATACCACTGTATAGTTTTACAGTAAAAAGCTAGAAGAACTAATCGTCTGACTCAGTCAAAGGCAGCTTCCTATCTTTTATAATGTTTGGGCTTCTTCTCCCTACAGTGTTCTGTCGGCCCGTCTTCAGACAAAGCTCTGACGTTCATGAAAGACCACTACCTGATGGATGAGAAGATTGAGCCGACCCATAACCAACCTCTGCTGGTGAAGCAAAACATTAAATACACCCGGATTGTGGTGCACCAAACTCAGAACAGCTTGGGACATCCCTACAACGTGATGTTTCTTGGGACAGGTATGGGTGGTCGTTGTTGTTGTTTGCTTTGGTGGTGGACATTGAGCTAATTGCTTTGTCACCTCGTTATTTCCTTTGACCCAACAAGGGCTGCAACATTTAACCAACTGATGAGCTGAACAGCATTGATCACAAGCATTTTGATTAATAATAATAATAATAATAATAATAATAATAATAATAATAATAATTTTTATTAATACCCTGCCCATCTGGCTGGGTTTCCCCAGCCACTCTGAGCAGCTTCCAACAGAATATTAAACAGAATAAAACTTTAAACGTTAACAACTTCCCTAAACAGGGCTGCCTTCAGATGTCTTGTAAAAGTCAGATAGTTGTTTATTTCCTTGACATCTGGTGGGAGGGCATTCCACAGGGTGGGCGCTACCACTCCCAGAAGCTAGCTACATGCCACGTCCATCATGTCGAAGGTCACCAGATAATGTTCATAGAACAGATAAGGTTCATAGAATCATAGAAGCGCAGAGTTGGAAGGGACCCAAAGGGGCCCTGCAATGTAGGAACCACAACCTTCTCCCATGAGAAACTGGGAAAGCTGATTGTGGGAGTGCAGACACCTTTGTCTTCCCAAGCCTCACCCATCTTAGCTCTTTCTGCTTAGGGCCTAATTTCCCCTTGAAGTCAGGAGGGGCAGCACAAGAGAACAGCCCTCCCCCCCCCCATGGCTTACTTTCTGTCTGTCAACAGAAAGGCAACCCCCTGCCACACAGTTTGGGCTCTGAAAGTGGAAGTGAACCTCATGTATGAGGGAGGGTGGACTGCAAGAGGGGAAGAGATCAGTTCCCCTCACCCACATGCATGGGTGTAGCCAGGATTTTTGTGGGGGGCGGGTTTCAGGCCTTTTGTTGGGGGGGACAGAATCTCAGTTAACTATGTAGGGGGCAGCTGCCCCTCTCCACCCCCCACCCCTTGGCTACGACCATGCCCACATGTGTCCCTTTTGGGGACACAGAGCCCTTGATGGGGGCAGGCCTGCATTTTAACAAACCCTTCTGCCCGCACTATGTCTCACTTGATACCTTGTCTTCCACAGACAAAGGTGCCCTTCACAAAGCTGTGGTCGTCGGCACCGAGGCTCACATCATTGAGGAGATCCAGCTGTTTGAGAAGCCAGAGGCAGTCCAAAACCTGCTGCTCTCCCCTGGAAAGGTGAGCATCCTTTCTTGCATAGGATTGGGGCAACATACTTCTAAGGGGCCGTATCTCATAAAGAAAACCGCAGACATCCATCTCATAGCTACACAAAGAGAGAAACAAGAATAAAAATGATAATGACCATGGCCTTCCTCTGCCTGTGCCTTCTTAGGGGATTCTGTATGTGGGCTATTCCACGGGAGTCCTGCAAGTGCCCTTGGCAAACTGCAGCATCTACACAACCTGTGCCAACTGTGTTTTAGCGCGAGATCCTTACTGCGGCTGGGATGGTCAGAAGTGCCGAGATATCTGGGGTGCTACAGAGAACTTGTGAGTATTTGCAGTATCCCTCAGGGATTGTCGCATCAAAAAATAACAGGGCCCCCAAATACGTGCATGATAACTGACACAATCCATTCACGACATCATAATGTGGTGTTAGCAGTCCTTTCCTAGCTTATGCTGTGCTAAATTTCACATCTGTAGCGTGAAAGAAGCCCGTATCTTCATGGAACCTCTCTGTCCAGAGGCAGTCCATCACTGAATACCAGATGCTAGGAACCAACGGCAGGGAACTTGGAAGCTTCCTAGAAGCATCCGATTGGCTGCTGTGAGAAATGTGATAGTGGGGTAGACGAACTGAAATATACTCGGAGTTGAGTGTGGATTTCATCCTCTTTATTCAGCTCCTAGTAGTAAGGAATGCCAGTTCCCCCGAAATGTCTGTTTTATATACACAGTGGGCCCCATGTGATTGGCTAATTCTAGGATTCTCCTGTAGGCCAATCAGGTTGCAGATTCACTTCCACCTGGAGTTGGATTGGGTGGCTACTACGGACCAATCAGACTGCTGCATTCTGGATCCTATTGTTCTAGGAGCAATCAGACTGCTGCATTCTGAATCCTATTGTTCTAGGACCAATCAGACTGCTGCATTTTGGATCCTATTCACTCAGGACATAACAAGGACCCAACTCAGTCTGATACAACATGGCTCAGCTTAATTGCTCCCTAAATGCTAATGGTGTTGTGGTGGCACTGGAGCCTACGGTTTTGGGTTGTAGTACTCCTTTTGTGAAGCATCCCAGATATAGGTTAATACCCTCTCATTCCCCCCCCGCCGCCCACCTCCCCTTGTTATTTATTTATTTATCTTAGGTTTATACCCCCACCTTTCTTCTGTCATGGAAGCCAAGGTGGTGTGCATGTGGTTAGGGAGAATACTTGCCTTGCATGTAGAAAGTTTCAAATTCAATCCTTAATGTCTCCAGGTAGAACAGGGATAAAACGCCCTGTCTGAAGCCCTGGGAAGTCGCTGCCCAAATCAGTGCAGACATTACTGAACCAGTAATAACAATATAATCATAATCATAATTTATTACTTATACACCACCCATCTGACTGGGTTGCTCCGGCCACGCTGGGCAGCTTCCAACAAAAATACAGTGCGGAGGGGATCAAACATTAGAAGCCTCCTGAAACAGGGCTGCCTTCAGATGTCTACGAAAAGTTATATGGTTATTTAATTCCTTGACATCTGATGGGAGGACGTTCCATAGTTAGGGTGCCACTACTGAGAATGCCCTCTGCCTGTTTCCCTGTACCTTCATGTCTTGCAGTGAGGGAACTGCTAGAAGTTGGATCTCTGTTCCTTGCCTAGACAGCGGGGGTGGAGACGCTCCTTCATATATACAGGGCTGAGGCCATTTAGGGCTTTAAAGGTCAGCACCAACACTTTGAATTGTGCTCGGAAGCATATTGGGAGCCAATGTAATTATTTTAGGACCCGTGTTACGTGGCCTGGTGGCTGCTCCCAGTCACTAGTCTGGCAGCCGCATTCTGGATTAGCTGTAGTTTCTGAGTCACCTTCAAAGGTGGCCATTCATAAAGCACACTGCAGCAGTCCAGTCAGGAGATAACCAGAGCATGTACCACTTTGGCGAGACAGTACCCGGGAAGGTGGGGTCTCATCCAGCGTACAAGATAGAATTGGTAGACAGATGGACTAAAGGTCTGTATAAAGGAGCTTTCTAAGTTTGTATGGGTCATAGGCGCTCACCTATCCAGGTACTGTCCAGACCTGTCCCACACCTGCTTCAGCAAGGTGGCATGAACCTTCTCTCTCTCTGTCTCTCTCTGAAATAAAATGCAAATTTTGAGAGGAGAAGTCTGTTGACTGCTGTAACCCACAAGAGCTAATTGGGCTCTCCATGGACAGTTTTACAGTCTAATTCCAAATGCCATGTGCTGAAGACAAAATGCAAGGCTACGTGCTCCATCTGTGGGTTTTTTGGAGGCCTCTGGTTGGCCACAGAAGAAAACACTGGATTGGTCTGCTTAGTAGGGATGAGGGAGAAATTTGGCTTTATTCAAAACATTTTTTTAATGAGAATCTACCTAATACATGCTTACCTAATAATACATGTGAACTAAAATGCAGGTATCTTTTAACCTTCACGCTTCTCCAGATTTTGCTCTGCAGTTCTCCAACCAAAACATGTTTACAAGAATAAAGGCTTCTGTTAGTGAAAAGAATGTGCTAGAATGTATTAAATTAGGGAAATTATTGCAAAAAAATGCATATACTAGGCAAAATCGCATGCACATGAAAATTATTATGAGATCATATAGACTTGTGAGAGGAAATTGCTGTTTTTAAAAAAATTATTTATGCTTTTCAGGTTTATACATTTCACTAATTTTACAATCATTTTAACATTTCAAAACTTGAGTTCATCCCCCCTCTTTCTGCGGTTCCTTAAATTTATTTTTAATATCTTCTGCATATTCAAATTAACTTAATTTATTCTTCTACTTTAAATATATACTCTTATAAAACTGCAGGTTATTACAATAATCCTGCCAATGTTCTTATCTGTTTACAATTTATCTGTAAATATTCAATAAACCATTTCCATTCTTTTATAAAAAGTTTGTTATCTTGATTCTTCCGGTAAGTTTTGCCATTTCTGCATATTCCATAAGTTTTTTGTATCCATTCTTCTTTTGCTGGGACTTCTTCTTCTTTCCATTTCTGGGCGAGTAACATTCTTGTCACTGTAGTAGCATTCATGAATAAGTTTCTATACGTTTTAGGTAGTTCTGTCCCTATAATTCCCAAAAGAATCTCAATTGGGGAAATTGCAATCTGATGTGGAAATGGGGAAAACTGAATTTAAGATGGGGAAACCGAGAAAAATCAAAAGGGACAGATTTGTCCTTCCCCGCTTCTTAGTACAACCCAGTAAGGCAGTTCTTACTTTCCTGTCTTCTCTTTGTTCCTAGGAATGACTTGGTGCAGAATATCGAGACAGGGAAGCCGGATCCTGGGTGCCAGCCCAAGAGTGGAATTGGCAGAGCCATAGCAAGGACTCGGAGTGGCCCTGAAAGCAGTTTGCTAACAAGTTTAGTATGAGCCTTGCAGAGTTTGATTGATCGGCGAAGGTTCTTCCCCTGTTCGGAAACAAAAGGCCTTGTACTTCCCAAGGCTGTTTGTTGCTTTGCGAAAGCAATGCATTTGAAAGCAAGATGCCCGTTTGCTAAAGCCACGCACAAGTTTCATTTGGGAAGACCATCCAAGAAAATGATAGGGGAGGGGAATGTGTGTTAGGAATCCCAATGGCTGTGGTCGACTATCTTTGCAACCTCTGCTGCTCCTAAGGATTTTAAATTCATTTCAAGCAGGGATGAGAAATTTGCTAGACAATGTTGGAGGCAGTGATCAGTCTATGGCAGAAGGGTAGGAGAGGGTTTGGGGTAGCAAACTGTCATGTGCACCCATGTTCACTGTGTTCTCCAGCTGCCTTGGGACAGTCCCTGGTTGTTGCTCTTATTTTATCTTTAAGGGAGATGTTGGTAATGATTTTTTTTAAAGAAAAACTTAGCGTGTCCACAATGTGTGTTCCATCAGATTCCAACTCCCTCCCCTCCAAGGTGAATCCTTTTTGAGCAAATTCGGCTAGCCAGTCCTGCTAACAGAAGCCTGTGCAACAGGGATCTCCTCCCACCCACTGCACTCCTAAAAAAAAAAATTGGCTGGAGGGGTCAGGAGGAGAGAGGAGATTGTTGCATCAGGCAAGCAGAAACATTTGCGCTGATGGAGCAATCCCTTAGAGCTATGTTTAAGGGTGTGAGATGCAGATGTGTGCACTTGTGCGCATGCAAACCAATGCATGTGCATGAACGCTAGAGTGTCCAGCAGTGTGTAGCCAGCCATCAAGCCCACATGGTGACTCTTGAAATGTGATCAGGGATGCTGTAAGTACAAACAATACATCCTTATTTTTTATCTATGAAATAGTGGAGGGCATGAATTACAGCTTTGTTTCTCTTCCTATAAATTTCAGTTATGACCGCTTCGTTCAACACCATGGTGAGGCTGCCCTGCCCGCAGGCTTCCGCTCTGGCCAACTACTCGTGGAACTACCCAGACAGGAAGATTCCGGACAGGCTGATCCTAGAGGACGACAAGGCCCTAGTCATCATTGTGCACGAGGAGACGTTGGGTCTCTATGAGTGCTGGGCCAGCGAGAACGGCTACCAGCAATCTGTGGCACGCTACCACGTGAGGACCCACGACTCCCCTGCCAGGGTGGACGGAGCCCGCGAATCCTATGCTGATGGAGAGCCAGTGGGGGAGTATCGTTCCTACTGGGTCCAGTTTGTCACTGTGACGGTGCTGCTGTCAATGACCTTGGCTGTCGTGGTAGCGCTGGCCTTTTTCTCCTACCACGACAAGCTGAAAGCGAGGAGCAAAGTGCAGGGCTGCAGCAGCCTCCCTGACGCCAGTAAGGCCTCCGGGCAAGAGAAGGTCCCTCTCAACAGCAGCCAGATGCCCCCGCAAAGCAGCGAATACCAGATGCAGGGCCCTTGCCAGGAAGCTTCCGACAGCTCCAAAACCTGCTGCGTTGAAGTGGGGGGGCCCTTTCAGGACATCGATGCTGACAACAACCGCTTGGACTCGGGCCTGGCCAACGGGGACGACTCTAGAGCGGCCGTGGCAGCGGAGGGGATCTAGCCTGGGCTACCTTGTCCCCCGCCAGCTGTTGCTGGGAGCAACCGTTAGCAATTGCAGCAAATTCACACAGGCAACCTGACAAAAACAAAAAAACCAGAAGTCTTAGCACTACTGTGGTGCTCTTTTGAAACACCACCAGAAAACACAGAGTTACCTCTGATTTCAGTATTTCCTCCCTCCCTGTTTTCTGGTCTGTTCAATGCCACGTAAAACCCAGGGCTTAGTGTTGCACCGCTGGCTGAATCCCTGTCGTGCTTTCATGTCCCCACCTCCATCCATCGGGTGCTGGGCCAGCATCCCCAAACGTTCACTCACTGCCGAATCCACAAACCTCTCTGTGAAGTTTTTACCAAAACCCGGAAGGCGGAGTCCCCTCGCTGACTCCTGGTCTCCAGAGCCGTTGGGTTTGGAGATGCGCAGGAGTGAAGGGCAGGTGTGGCAAGGAATGGTTGGGTCAGGGCTGTTTGCTCCATGGAGAGGTAGCAGCCTGGATGTCATGCATCATAGATGACAACCATAGAGAGAGAGGTTACAGAGGATGTTACTGAGAGGGTGGCAGTTCTTAAGGTCACGGCGATGCAAGACTGGGCTTCCTATGCAGAAGGGCAGCTCAGTGATCATCGTGAGGCAGCTCTACAAAGTATAGTGGCACTGTTGGGGCCACAGAACGGGGATACTGAGAGGACAGAGCCACAGGGCATTCTGTGCAAGGTTCCCTGGAGCAGAGGGGCCCTTGTGTGTTGTCGTGCCCAATGTGGTTCTCAGTTTTCCTTTGCGATTAAGCCAGGCCTGCCTCTGACTCACATTTGTGGATGAAGAGAGTGTGGCAGGTCTCAATTTTGCCTGCTTTAAATTAAAAAGGAAACAGAAGCGGGTAGGTGGGAGGTGTTTGGAAGGTCTTTCTGTGTCCTGCAAGGAGCTCTCAAGAGCAGAGGAAATAGCCTTACAGTGGGTCGGACTACTGGTCTGTCCTGCTCAGTAACACTGACTAAGGTATCAGAAGGGGTGCTCTCAATCCTATCCAGAGACGTCAGGGACTGAGCCTGGGACAGAATGGTCTGCCACTGAGCTGTGCCCTCTATAGCTTACCTAAGGAGTCCTTCTCCACACCTTGCAAAACTACTAGAGGCCCCTTTCACCTGTTTGTAGCAGGTCTGCGTGCTCTGCTCCATAATATACATACTTGCGTAGCCGAGCCATTGAAATTCTGTGCCAAAAAGCAAAAGGAAATCTTGTTTCGCTGCCACAATTTTGGTCCTTTTTTCCTTTTAAAAAGGCACGATATGTTTGCATAGTTTATGTTGGTTTTCTGGGTTGAGTGGGCCAGGAGAATTAGCTATGCAAGGCCTGAAGGGTGTCTCCCCACCCCTTGAAATCTTCCGCACATACCTACCCCCCTCCAGCTTCTACGATTTCCACAGGCATCACTCACATACTTTTTCAGGCATGGCCTTTGCAACCATAAGGACTAGATTCTTGTCCCCCTTTCTACTTCCTAAAGCGAAACCTGTGAGTCTTTGAAAGATGGTCCCTGCCCTCAGCATACCACGTTCTCTGCACGCCCAGCCCACGTTCTTCCAGAACTAGAGCATGCAACACATAAGAGCTACCCACATGTGGAGGCCATTTTAAATTGCTTGGGTAAAGCAGTGGGCTCCCTTACACCATGGGTGGGCAACATGGTGCTACGGGTGATGGGAATTGTAGTCCAACCACACTTGGAAGGCACCACATTGGCTATACCTACCCTGTAGCTTGGGCAACTTCCACCATCTTCTTTGCTGTGCTGTAGCACCAATTGTCTGATTCCATGTGGGATACTCTCCTTACAGGAACAACTCCCCTGTAAGGCGGTTTTATTTTGGCAGCCAATTGGTCCTCATGCTGATGCTTACTGTGAGAAGACTCATTGCTAACTCGTCCCCCTTTTCAGTTGCAAAGTGCTTTACATGCGTTTGGCCTCACAACCCCCCTGTGAGGCAGGTCAGTATTATTCCTCTTCAACACGTGGGCAGCAAAAGGAGTTTGCCCAACGCCCTGCACAGAGCCAAATCGCGTCTCCGCTTGACACAGGTGCCTTGGCTGACTTGGCAGAGGGATGCCTGAGGGGACTCCCCCTTCCCCATTTGCTTTTCTCCTCCTCCAAAGTCAGCCAGAAGTCTTGGCTCCTGGAACTGAGCCAACCGACAACTCCTTAGAAGTTTTTTGTGCACCCCCCCCCCATATCTTTCTTTTCCCGTGTATGTTGCTCTGCTGACCTCTAGTGAGCAAAACTGCATTTACAGACGCTTTCAAGCCTTCCTTTTGCTCCTACAACTTTCCTCTGTTGACCTATTTGCTCTGCTTGTGGACAGGCCTTGGTTGCTGGAGGAAGGGAGGTGTGTGAAACAAAATTTGTCCCGAGTTCTAAGCCTGTCTTTACGGCCATTGCCTTGGGCATGCAAAACTACTTGCAGTATTTCTTGTTTTAGAATTGCATTGTTTTTGTTGGTCTAAAAGAAGAATTATTTGAATGAGAGACTTCCAAGGTCCAGTGATTCTGCTAGCGCGCTAATGCTCTGAACTCAGTGATGTGGACATGCCTCAAAGGAAGACACATACGTTGCCACTGAAGGCTGTTTCATGTGTTATACAGTAGCAACCAACTGTACACTTTGGGGAGAGGAAAGGCTTGCTCCACGATGACCATACCTGCACGATTAATCTTTTAGCAAATAAAAGTCTTTGTCGTGTCCATGTTTTGCCTTTTTAGGTGTGTCTTTAAAACGTCTTTGGCCTGCACTGAAGAAAACATGATGTATGAAGAGGACCTGAGTTCGAATGGCGCATTGTTTCTTCCAAGCAGCAGCAGCTATTGGCATGCCTTGTACACACCTTTCCTCTTTGTGTGTACATATATGTGTCTGTGTGTCTTTGTATGCAAGAGAGTGATGTTCTTAACTGTTGTGTTGGAGTGGCACCTCTCCTGAAAGAAGGGATAGGTGGGAAATCCTAGCCGGTACACCTTCTCACCAGCTAATTAATTTAACTGTATATCAATTGATAATTGGCCATTGAGTTGTGGGGGGCGGGGGAAGCAAAATCTTTAAACGTATACTTAAAAAAACAAACAGGTACTGTCCTAAAAGTTTTAATGGGAGCGAAGTAGAATATAGGAGGAGACTTTTCCCAGAGGAAGGAATATTTATATCGCTTAGTCTGTCCCCACAACTTCTCAGGTTTTTGCCTATTTATCCTTCCCTTCTGAAGAATAAGCAAAAGCACTCCCATGTTTGCAGAGCCATCAAATTGCGGAGTTGGAACCATCCACTCCAACCCCCTGCAATGCAGGATACCACAGCTCCTTGCACACGCCATACTGCTGCTGTGTACACACTATATACCTAGAATCCTGGGAACTGCAGTTTACTCCTCAGAGAGCTACAATTCCCAGCACTCTTAACTGCAGTTCCCAGGATTCATTGGGGGGGGTAGGGTGTCCATTAAATGTCTGGTGTGTACACACCCGGTGGCAAGTTGAGAGAGTTGCACATCACCAAATAAGGAGGATTTTTAAAGAGCTGCTTTTTCTTCCCATGCTCCTTGAGATCCAGATGATGCCCCCCTCCTCACCCCACAACAAAATTCATTTTACCAAGATGGGGGGGGGGATTATGGCTCTATCAGCTGCTGTTAAATTGGAGTGACTGAGGCTGGAGAGAGAGATAAAATTGTCAGTTGAAAAATCATTTTCTGTGGTAGCCTTTGCCTCATGCCTTCTGGATGTTTTGGACTCCCAGCTTCATGCTTTTCCTGGCTGGGGCTGATGGGAGTCTGAGTCTGAAATGGCCACTCTGTCAGGGGCTGGTTAGAGTCCAAAACATCTGAAAGGCACCAGGTAAGCAAAGGCTGGCATGCACAGGTACACATTTCTTCCCCAGTTGCCTCTGGTCAAACAGACTTTTGAAAACAGGAAAATAAAATAAAAAAAACTATTTTCTGCTTGGCTGGAGCCAGAAATGGGGAGCACCTCAAGCAAGGACCCCCCCTTTCAAATTGCTCTTCAGAAAAACACATAACCTCTCTCCAGCCTGATTTGATCTCCTCAATGGAGGAAAATGCATGTCCAACAGGGTGTTTTGTCTGTTGTTCATTGTGTTGTTTATAACTTGTTTTTTTAAATGTGTTTATATGTACTATTTTTATTAAAAAGTTTGATGCATTGTGGTATTAGTGGTTAATAACTCTTGATTATTGTATCAGGTTCTCATCTTGGGGCAGATGTCAGAGGCAATACCTGAGTCAGAAGGCTCATTATCCATATTTGCCTTTCCTCTGCTTTTTCCAGGCACAATTTAAAGCTCCATATCTGAGTGCCCTTCTTTGTTCCGGAAGCAAAACGTTGACATTTGCTCCAATTCAGCTTTAAAGAGCAGCTTTTCGTGGGGAAAACTCAAGTCAAAAAAGAGGGGAGGAAAGCTTGGACCCTGAGCATTAAAGCATAGCCAAACCCTTAGTCCTCCCCCCACCCTCCACTACCTGCAGCCATTAAGCTTGCCAGATATCAGGTGTGGTGTGCAATTTTAGGCTTCTCATTCTCGGGGTCTGTGAGGAAGGCCTCAAATTGCAAGGTGAAGGGGCAGTTGGGCTCTGCCAGGGCTTCTTGGTCAATACCTTCACCCTGATCTCAGGGCAGTGCTGCTACACAATGATGAACAAGCTCACCTCCAAAGACATCTCTCACCTGAGCTATTTTTCTAGAAAAAGAGGTGCTGGAGCTCCCCATGAACACCTCCCTTGTTCTTTTTTATAATGGCAATGGCACCCACCTCAATTCTGGAAAGTTCACACAGGGGGGAAAGCTGTGTTTCTCACTACCTCAACAACAATTCTCAAGTCCCTCCTGGCCAGGCCTCACTTGAGGCCCAGAGCACCATGGTGCCCCTCAATGTGATCTCCCACCACAGCCTATCGCAATTTTATTTAAAACTTCAGTGCACTTAATCAAAGGGACACTTGCAGCCTAATCCATTTTGTTTTAAAATCCAATCAATTATCTTGGTCCTTTTAAAACAGGCCAAATGTCTGCAATATCAGGTTGCTCAGCTTGGGTTTTTTCTAATAGCCTTAGGAGGTATGTGTGTGTGGTAAAAAAAACCTTTGATTTTTTTAAAAAAAGCATTTGTCGTTTGCTTCTCCCCCTCGCAGAAGTGTTTGTGGTGAGATTGTTCCAAAATTAAAGAGCTATGGACAATGGGTTTTCATATAAAAACCAAGAAGGCAGCCTATCCACCTTCTTCTTTAGCGCTTTTGAATTTATGAGTGGACACTGATAGGGAATTGAAAAATAAAGAACTTATTTCACATCGCCTAACAGCAGCCTGGGCCTCAGTAGCCTATTTTTGGAAGATCTAGCTAATTGGGATTATTGGCATACCAATACTTGACAAATTGCTCTTTATACAGAAGTTACTGCCCTAGACATCACTTTTTTTGATGCCTGGTTTGATTCGATTTCAAATACAAATGTAGAAGCCCATGCACATCCAGTGCCGCCAGTTTATACAGATGTTTGAATTTGCAATTATCTTCTAGGAAAGGGTTCCTTTTGAACCAGGGAGATTAGCAACCATTCAAAAAGGAAAAAATCATTGTTTCTCCTGACTTCTGATGCTATTGGTTGCCATTGTTTGATGTCACAGACAAGCTGAACACCAAAGGGTTGGGACTTCTGATGCTATTGGTTGCCATTGTTTGATGTCACAAACAAGCTGAACACCAAAGGGTTGGGGCTTGCTGAGAGAGGTCAGAACAAGAAACATGAGCCTGGGGGAAGGGTAAGTGCTGGTGAAGGAGAAGACCTTGTGGCCTGAAATATACTCTTGAGTTGAGAGTGGATTTCATTCTCTTTATTCAGCTCATAGTGGTGAGGAGGAATATGGCCTAACTGGGCAAAGAGCAATTGAACCTGGGGAAGATAGGCAAAGGGGATGTGGGGGCCTGGAGAACTGATATTTAAAGGATGAGCAGGGGAGGCAGGAATCTGCATTTATTCCAGAGACTTCCATTTATTCCCCCAAAACATCAGGTTCTAGATTCACTCTGGAAATTCTCCTGGCCTCCATCAGACACCTTGTTTGGGATAAGGAGGATTTCTCCTCCTGCAGAAGTACAGGTTCCCGCCCCCCCAAAATCCATTTCCATATCAATTTACCTTCCTTGTAAGTGTTCCCTGTTCTGTGCACTTAACTGCTGATTTATTATTCCTTCTGGTAGATGGTGGTCTTGCTAGTTCTCTCCACTTTGAGAACTCGTTCTGGTTGGCAAAGCAAAATTATGAGTCTCAGTAACATTGTCCAGGGGTCTCATATGCATCCACTCTACTAAATCCCCCCCCTCCTGAGTCCTGTGGGTGGCATCTGAGAGGCTTATAAATCGAGAGGTTTTTTTGAGCTTCTCATAGAAAAGAGTTGGAAACCTAGGAGAGGCCTACATAGGAGCCATAAATCCTGCTGCCATGAACTGGTTGTCTTTAAGATTCCATAGGGCATTCCTAGGATCTGCAGTGTGGCACCCATTGCACCCTCAGGTGCCATGCCTGGCCCATCCCATATTTTGGTTTTTTTTAAATAGTGTATTTTATCATCGTTGGAATGTCTGGCAGGAAAATGATTCTCACCTGCTTACCGCTCTTTCCTCTAAATGCTTCTAGGGACTAGCATTTTTGTTTGGTGTATATTTTGCCTAATTTTCACTAGCTGTTAGGGGAGCAGTTCTTTGCCCTAATTTTCTTTTTCTTGTATTTTGCCTTGGGTTTTTTTGTTACTGTTTGATCTGAGGACAACCTTGTCACTGAATCCGTAGGCAATAGGCAGCAGCATAGTCGCGTCAGGCTTTCTGTCTTTTGCTGATTTGTACTTTCCGTTAGGAGTCTTTGCAGTCTTGTAGCAATAGCCCCATATTTCTTGAAGAACATTTCCAAGATTTCTCAGTAGGTTTACGGCCATGAAAAGCTCTGCTTGAGCACTTTGCCCTCTTAGTTTGCAGCTGTTGAATGGCTCAAGTATATCATTCCAGACTTCACACAAAATACCAGCCTCCAAACTGTGCTTTATGTCCCTCAGGATCTTTGCACCTGACATTTGAGATTCATCTTCCTCAATTCTCTCTAGGGCTCTGAGGATGTTGGCATGTATACCTTCAGCATCGACACTCTGAGAAATTTGAGCATTAGATACTCGTTTGTCAGTGAGTTTCCACAGTCGCTTCCAGCATATTGCTATTTCCATGTGGGATTCAATCACATTCAGGCAGATTCAGCTTGCACAATTAAGGAAGGTTTGGAACTCTTAAACAACAAATACACTTTTTGCAATAAAGAAAGTGATTGGAAAATGCACTGGAAAGTGTGGGATTGCAGTTTCCAGACCAAGCTCCAAGGGGAGTTCCACATAGAACACACTGCAGTAGTCCAGTCTCAGGATCACTAACCCTTAGATTATAGTGGCAGGATAAAGGTAAAAGGTAAAGGTATCCCTGACCGTTAGGTCCAGTCACGGATAACTTGGGGGTTGTGGCACTCATCTCGCTCTATAGGCTGAGGGAGCCAGCGTTTGTCCACAAACAGCTTCTGGGTCATGTGGCCAGCATGACCAAGCCACTTCTGGCGAACCAGAGCAGCGCACGGAAATGCCGTTTACCTTCCTGCTGGAGCGGTACCTATTTATCTACTTGCACTTTGATGTGCTTTCGAACTGCTAGGTGGGCAGGAGCAGGGACCGAGCAACGGGAGCTCACCCCGTCACGGAGATTCGAATTGCCAACCTTCTGATCAGCAAGCCCTAGTCTCTGTGGTTTAGTTCACAGTGCCACCCAGGATAGCCTAATCCAAATATGTGTCAAGCTGGTGCAGCAGATGAAGCTGATGAAAGGCTCGCTTAGCCATGGGGGGCCCTTAGGCCTCAGAAGTGTAGCAACACATTGCTACCTTTTTAGAGGTGACTTCTTCCTTATTTTCTTCTGAATTTCTTGACAGCTACCAAGTTAGCTGCCTTTCTCCTGCTTGCAGAAATCCCAGCGACCACCTGCTGATTGACAACCATGAACCCCAAACAGTCTTTACGCCTCTTCGGGTTCCTCCTGACATTTGCCACCGCTCTGGCCACGGATCTGATGCCAAGGCAAGACAGCCAGATAAGTGAGTAACTCACAGGAAGACAGAGGCAGAAGCTGCACTCTGGGGAGATATTAAAGGGTGCCTGGAAGGAGATGAGCAAGATTTCAAACCTAGGACTGCCCTACGTCTGGATTTTCCCAGACATTACTGGGATTTCAAAGGCAGAATTGACGTCCAGGGTGAATTTCCGAAAGGCGGTGCTTTGTCCTGGATCTTGGGCAAGTCAGTCAAACAACTTTTGGAGTGTCCTGGTTTTTACTTTTTAAAATAGGGCAACCCTACCAAACCTGTTACTTCAAAGGTAACTGGTTTGGAAGGGACCCGAGGCATCATTCAGATTGACACCGCCCCCCCACCCCCAACAAACCTCATAACAGGTATCAACGTGCTGTTGTATGAACTGCCAACAAAGCAAATGGGTCTCATTGCTCCCCCTGGTGGAATTTGCTTATAGCAACTCAATTGTTCAGCAGGAAACACATCCCCCTTTTTTTGCTAGCTACAGACACCAACTCAGCAACTGCACTGCACCTGCTCTGCTACCACCCATTATCTTCCCTCCACAGTGTCTAGCTGCACGTTGAATGCATGACACCCCAGACTCAGATCCACCCTGCGACTTTTCAATTTCACCTCCTTCCTTCCTTCCTTCCTTCCCAAGTGTCCACCCAGTGTTTCATCGCCCCCTCTGAGGCCTCCGTAGCCCCCAAGCATCCATATAGGGTTCCCAGTCTGATGCCAGCACCAGTATTGGTGGATGGAAAGGAGGAGTTTGAGGTGGCCCAGAACTTGGACTCTTGACATCGTCCAGAACTTGGACTCTTGACATCGTCCTGGAAAGCTGCAATATCTCACTGACTGCAAGGGCTGTGGACCAAATGATCAGTCCTAGGAAGCTAAAGTGCATGCTCCAAAGGTGGTGACTCAGTTCCACAAACACTGCCCTAACAAAGCCAGCGCCTGAGGGTGGCACGTGCCCCTCTAACTGCCAGGTTTCAAGGTGCTTCTTTCAAAATGGCGCCAGGCCATGTCTTGCACCGAGTACACTGTCCATGTTTTGGGACGGAGGTGCGGCATATGCACATATATACCACCAGGGCTGGGCAATATGTGGTTTTCAACATTGCGATATATATCACCAACTAAACATTGCGATGCATCGATATATCACAGTGCCTGAAATAAGGACAGAGCTATGTAAAGGCACTGGCTGGCTTCAAAGTTTATCTCACATTGCGATTTTGGTATAGCACACACACACACACACACACACACACACACACACACGCAAGCACCATTATTCACGATATATAGCCAGGTCAAAAATTATGAAACTGATATCATGATATGGACTTCAGACCATTTTTGGATGATATATTGATATGCTGTATCACCCACCCCTATAGACCACCCAATGTTCGGCCCCTGTAAGACATCTTCAGCATAAAGGAACAAAAGGCACACCCTGACTTCGCCTCTGGCGACCGGGAAGCAAGAAAGCTGAGCTCCACTAGCCACTGAAAACCAGAACTGGCTACCCAGTCCATCAAAATGTGTGGCTCTCTGGTTAAAAGCAGGCCAGGTTATCTACCTCCCCACCCCCACCCCCTGGTCAGTTGGCATTGCTTGCTGAAAATGTACCTAACATCTTTTCCCTTCCTCAGGGAAACCTCGACCAATTATTGCACAATACCACCAAAAGGGAGTTACAGATTGTGCCACTTTTGTCCTGAGCACAGATAGGAAAACTCTCTATGTGGGAGCCAGAGACACCGTTGTCGCTCTTGACACTGCCAGAGCTAAAATCAACAACCAAAAGGGCATGGTGAGTAAGAAACGGCAATTCAGAATAAGAAGTGCAGGGGGAAGACTTGGGGTGGTCTTCTGGTTAGCCCTCCTCTAGATGACAGCCCTTGTCTTCCCCCACCCACCACTTTTTGGAGAGATGTTGGGAAGCCTTTTCTGAAAAGGTTTCCTACATGTGCACTGGAGTTCTTTGCGTTTCAGCCCTCACCCTGGCCAAACCATTGTTTGCTGTTAGACACCCCAACCAGGAAACTGTGGCTTGTGTGCTTGCCATCCAAACCGGGTGTGAAAGAAACCACAGCTTGTAGTTGGTTTATAGTCCTGGTATGATGTGCAATAAAAAAAATTGTGGTGTGGTCACACCAGGGAATATCCAAATTTATCATAGAGGGGAGAAGAGAGAAAGAGCAAAGGCAAGGATGGGGAAGAAATTGAGTTCACAGCTTAACGTGAACCCACTCAACTGACACCTTGCCCCAAACAATGCACAAACTGAAGCACAACTATTATTCAAAACTCACGCTTTTCTGAATTTCGGAATGTAGTTCTGCAGCCAAAAAGTGTCAATCAGGAGAACTGTTTGCAAAATGTGTGTGTGTGTGTGTGTGTGTGTCTGTGTTTATGTAAACATACAAAATGTATTACATTAGGCAAAACTGCCCACAACAATGTGTGCATTAGGAGAAACTTGCGCTAAAACGCTGGCATTTTTTGTGAGGACTTCAGAAAAATAAAGCATGAATCAATACAGAAATGTGGAAAATTGAACTTAAGATTAGAAAAGTAAGAAACGGAGTGAAAGCAAAATAGATGGCTTCATCCATCCCTATTGCACGCAGGCAGAAGGCTCAGCCCCACAGTTTGCCATTTCTGTCAGCTTAGTTAGCGTTTTATTCGAATACAGAGACTGTTGCTGGTAAATAGAGGCAGTCTTTATTTATTTATGTATTGGCTTATTTAACAGCATTTCTAAATCACTTAATTATTTTTTTTCAAGAGAACTCGAAGCGGTATACATAAACACAACATTGAAACAGTATTTTTTTAAAAAAAAATCCCAGATGTGTTAGCTTAAGGCTGAGCATTTGCACTCTTGGCAACTATCCTTGTTGTTGTTATCTTTCTCTAAAGCTCCCTTCTTCTACTTTTCCTGTAATAGGTACGCTGGGCCCCCACGAGGGAGATAAAGGACGTCTGTAAACTCAAAGGCAAACAGGAGGTAATGGGGTGAGGGGTAGAGGATAAGGGAAGTTTTACAACCTAAGAATGTGGTGTGCAGGGCTGGGCCACTCATGGGTCTGGGTGAGGTACTTGCCTCAGGGCGGCAGCTAGGAAAGTTGGCAAATCTGGTCTCCCAGGAGTGCACCGTTCACCGTTCTCCTCCTCTTCAGCCCACCTCCTGCACAGCCCTCCTGCAGCCACAGCCGCCTCCTCTTCCACAGACCCCCCACCCGGCAGTTGCCACAGCAGCCTTCTCCTCCAGTGCTCGCCTCAGCAGCATGAGCAGGAGAGGCTGTCTTGTCACGTTCTGAAGTGGAGCAGTACTAACCTAATGCTATTACATCCAAGCTCTAAAATCTTCTAGCTGCACTGCTGCTTCATGATTCTATGACTAAATAAATAGATCCACCATCCATTGAAACCTTCAAGATCCCCTTTGAGCTTGCAGAGCAGGAAAGGGGCTGGCTTTTCATGCTTTTTAACAACCTGCCAGTGGAAGCCTCCTCTGGGATAGAAATGTTACCTGGAAGTTGAATCCTGATTTCCCCCTCTTCTTCTCCACAGATGGACTGCTTGAATTTTATCCGTGTCCTGGTGCAACTGAACGACACACACCTTTACATCTGCGGGACGTATGCTTTCAAACCCACCTGTGCTTACATTGTGAGTTCCTGGGGGAGAGAGATGGGGGGATGACAAGGGCCTTCAGTGTGACTGGTCCTGTTCAGTGGGACTCTTATTCCCAGGGTCAGGGGTTGGGGGACACGGGTGGTGCTGTGGTCTAAACCACGGAGCCTCCTGGGCTTGCTGATCAGAAGGTTGGCAGTTTGAATCCGTGTGACGGGGTGAGCTCCCGTTGCTCTGTACCAGCTTCTGCCAACCTACCAGTTTGAAAGCATACTAGTGCCAGTTGATAGATAGGTACCACTGCGGCAGGAAGGTGAATGGCATTTCAGTGAGCTCTGGCACTTGTCACTGTCCTCCGTGCGCCAGCAGCAATTTATTCATGCTAGCCACATGACCCAGAAAGCTGTGTGTGGACAAACGCTGGCTCCCTTGGTCTGAAAAGCAAGATGAGGGCCACCCCACCCCATAATCGCCTTTGACTGCACTTAACCGTCATGGGGTCCTTGACCTTTAACTTTATCTTACTGTATGTTCAAGCCCTACATTGGGCAAAGAGATTCCTGCATTGCAAGGGTTTGGCCCTTGTGGTCCTTCCAACTCTATGATTCTACACAAACACGACTGGAACAGCATTCCTGCTGAGATACCTGTGCTTTCCAGAAACAGCTGAAGACAAGCTTTTCTAGCTGTGTGAAAATGTGCCTGTCATCATGGGTGTTGATTTAGTATTGTGTTTAAACTCATATTCCATTGTTTTCATACAGTCTTTAAAACTATTTTAACTTCTGCTTCATATGATGAATTGTCTTGAAACATATATGCAAAAGAAAATTCATAAATTAATAAAGAACAACTTCAGTCTCCATATTGAATGAATGAAGAGGTTATATCAGGGGTCAGCAACCTTTTTCAGCCGTGGGCCGGTCCACCGTCCCTCAGACCATGTGGTGGGCTGGACTATATTTTTTTGGGGGGTGGGGATGAACGAATTCCTATCCCCACAAATAACCCAGAGATGCATTTTAAATAAAAGGACACATTCTACTCATGTAAAAACACGCTGATTCCCAGACCGTCCATGGGCTGGATTGAGAAGGTGATTGGGCTGCATCCAGCCCCCGGGCCTTAGGTTGCCTACCCTTGGGTTATCTAAAGCCATGGGTAGTGCCAGGAGCAGGTCAGTAATAAAACACCTGGTGTCTGTGAAGTTGACTCTTTATGTCACCTACCCACCCATGAAACTGGAGTAGCCTAGGGACTAAGAGGCTGAGCCATAAGACCGCAGATCCCTGGTCCAAATCTTGCTTTGCCATGAAGTTGCTAGACAAACCTTAAGCAAGCCATTCTTGTTCACACCTCATCTCCCCCATCTGTAATAGGGGAATAACAGTCAGAGTTTAGTCAGAGCTCAGTCTCACCATCTTCCAAACATAGAGCCCATGTGGCTAAAGGATTCACTCTTGGTTGGGAAGATCTGAGTTTGAGCCTCATCCAGCCACAAAACTTACTGAACATCTTTGAACCAGTTGAGCACTCCCTCTTGACCTAACCACGAAATTGTTGGAAGGAGAAGAACAAAGCAAGGGACCAACATATAGCACCCTGAACTCCTTGGAGGAAGAGAAGACCCGTGCTCAAAATGCAACAGATATAATTATGCATAGTGATATTAGCAGGAAATGACACATCCCAAATTCTACAGCAGTCGGGATGCTTGGTTTTTGAAGCACACCATCCCATACATTCTGTTCCTTTTTGTCTCTTCCCTTTCCTTTTCCTGTCTTGCTAGGACCTACAAACATTTGCTGTGGTGACTGATGCAGACGGCAACCTCCGCCTTCAGGATGGGAAAGGTGTCACCCCCTATACTAACAAGTATAAGAACACAGCAATTCTCATTGGTGAGCCATATGGAAAGGGAAGGGATCCACTTCCTTTGATATTGAATGTTTGCAGCACCCCCTAATGCCCCCTCCTGAGCCACTTTCCTGCCCCCATGACTCATTGCAAAGGCTCTCGTCCAGCCTCCCACAACTGAGTGCCCTTCTGATGTTTTTGGACTACAAATCATCTGTGTTGGCTGGGGCAGATGGGAGTTGTAGTCTTAAACATCTGGAGAGCATCCTTCTGAGGGAAGCCCCGGACTGTCTCCTTACTATTTGAATGCTAGAAGGGTATTTGTTCTTATTTAAATATATGACTAGCCCCAACACTAACCACTACAGCACACTGGCTTCCTAGAGCACTTCTGCAATGAGGCAGCTATATAAATCAAGTAGGTAAATAAATATGGGGAAAGCAAAATATCACTCAGAGAAGAATCTGAAATATTTTCCTTGAAGCTTGAATTTGTTTTATTCTGGATTGTTTCATTTGATATTTTGATGTGTTGTCAACCACGTTGAGATTTTCTCTCTATTTAAAATATAAAGCAGTATAGAAATAACAGGAGCAGCAGCAGCAACAACATCAACAACAACAACAACAGTATGTGAAGTGGCATGCTGTGTATTGCACAGATCCATGCAGGTGCCTTTCACATGGATGTGCACTGGAGACAAGATATCCACTTTGAGATACAACTACAGCCCATCCATGAGGCAGACTGAGGCAGCCCCCTCAGGCGGTGGAATCCAAGGGTGGCCTTCCTCAACACACACACACACACTGTTGTCTCCATTAGAGAAGCAGCTGCGGCACCTTCTAGGAAGAGATCTCACAAGAGCATCATAAAATATTATGAGAGCCCTTTGAGATCTCGCTGCAGCCGCATGACCCTAGTAAGCAAGACTTGTGGGGCGGCAAGGGGGGGCATGTGGCACATGCAGGGCACGCTTTCTCGTTTTGCCTTAGGTGGCAAAACAGGATGAGCCATGTCTGTGTAGTGGTCCTGGGGAGAGAGCTTATCAAGGTGAGAAAAGCACACTCGCTGCCAAGATCTATAGCCATGCATCTCCAGGGTAAAAATGGGGGCAGTGTATTACCAGAAATCCAGAAAGCAGGGACTGTTCCTGGGAAAGAACCATCTTCTTTCCTGTCTTTACTCTGCAGATGGTGAACTTTATGCAGCTACCAAGAATGACTTTCAAGGGATAGACCCTATCATCACTCGTACCCTGGGCAGCAAGACAATTTTGAAGACAGAGCAATGGATGGAATGTAAGAGCAGGTTTGGGGCACTGAGGGAGTGGAAAGTTTCTTAATCATCCAAATAGAGTCCAGTGACTCCCACTGCCCACCACTGCCTGGTCACCTGGGCAGCTGATACGTTAATGGATTGGTCGGACGCAGAGGAATGGAGGGAGGAACCAGCTGGGGAACCACCAAGGAAAAAAGGCTCAGAGCCCGGGGAGTTGTGGTAGGACAAAGATGAGTGCTCACAGGGAGAAAACTGGGAAGAGGAGGTGTCGGAAGCTGAGGAGGCAACAGGGCTTAGTGAGCAGGAAGAATCTGTAACAGAGAGAAGTCCAGAATAGAGGCAAAAGATGAAGCAGGGCAGGGGGGAGCCAAGAGGCAGAGATGAGTCCAGCTGCTGAAGGGCCATGGGTGTCTCCCCCTTCTGCTGCAACAAGCTCCCCTCCCCACTTGTCTCCCAGAACCTGAAGAAACTTGAAAAGTGTGAAGGAGAGTCTCTGATTGCCTGGAATAAACCCTGGAGATGAAGGGACTTAGACAGCTGTGGGGAGGTGAAAGCTTTCAGTCTTAGCAACTGCTTCATGGGGCCAGTACTTACTTAGCAGAGATGGGTTGTTGTGCTCATTAGGCCTGACACTTCTGTACAGAGAGTTAGCACCAACTTGCACAGTGTGATTTACTGCTGGCTGGCTGGCTCCTGACAGTTAACAGGTTGGTGCCTGGAGAAGATGCATCTCCTCAACAACCAGCACTCCCTTTGGAATTCACGCCAGTGGGGTCATGAACTGAGAGGGTGAAGGGCATCTCATGTCTGGTCTTTTTGTGGCTTCCCTCTGCAGCTGATGCAACGTTTGTGGCCTCCATCAACATCCCAACTGCCCCAGATGATCAGAAAATCTATTTCTTCTTTTCGGAAACAGCAAAGGAATTCAACTACTTGGAAAAGGTGGTTGTTTCGAGGGTGGCGCGCGTTTGCAAGGTGAGCTGCCTCCAAAATCAAGGGCACATTTGAGCTGGGACTTGCTTGGCCTATTTTTTTAACCCTTGAATGTCTAAAGGAGTAAGATGTGAGCATGTGCAGAGTGGCTGTCCCTTGCCTCTTGTCCTGGCATATCTGGAATTGGGAAAGACAGCTTCCCAGGAAGGAAATGGAGCTAGAATTTAATTTTAATTATGCTAATATAATGGAAAGGCCAAGCATTTGGGGGGGGGCTTTTTCATTTAGAAAAAAAGGCAACACTAAGGCTGCAGTGGTGGATAGACTCAATTTTTCCTCCCTCTTTCATACTGCTACAAAATTGAGGGCCACCCCCCTGAAGTAGATTCAGGGCAAGATAAATGAGAAGACTTCTTCAAACAGTATGTTATTCTCCAGGGGGCCCCGGTCTCAGGGATTTCATCTTCTCACGAAAGTTGCCATGACCCCCAGGTTTCAGCAGGGTCAGGCCTGGAGTGGGCAGCCTCAGGCAGATGATGGTGAAGGAGGAGGGAGCAGCAGATGGAATTGGGTTGTGGCAACTCAGGTCGGAGGTTCTGTTCCTTTACTCCCACTATTAGGGAGAGGGAAGCAGACCCACTAGCTCTGCACGCCACTTATCCCGCAAAACAGCCTCTTGGGGAACTGGGAAGGACTTGGAGGAGCTGGAGGGGTGACTGAGATGGAGCTGGGGTGGCAGGACACCACCCCATCACTGAGAACCTGGGGCTGCATTTGTTGATGGGACCAGACACACCTACCTTGGTGAAGCACGCATCTTAAGTACACCTTTCCTGTAAGGGGAGAAAGTGCCTCATGAATAAAGCTTGCTATGCCTTGTCCTTAGTAGCTTGGTGTGAGGGGCACAACAGCTTGTTGAGACATCTTTGTTTGCTTTTGTCCAGTCATGAAAACTGGAACCTGCTGTTAATTTTTTGTAATGAGACTCCTGTGCCTTAGCCTACTGTCAGACCTGTGCCTACTGCACACCTGAGTAAAGATTTCTCTCTTACTTATGCCCAGAAGCCTTTGTTGTGGTGTTTGGGGGCAGCAGCCAGGGCAGAAGTAGTTGCAAGCAAAGACAGGGCTTCCAGTGCAGCACTCTCCGAACAGAGCAAGGGCAAGTTCAGGGAATCCACACAGGCCAAACCAGGAACCAGCAGCAAAACCGAGAAACAGTTCAAGGTCAATATCACAGGGTTGTCCACAAGGTACAACACCGCAGAGAGGCATAACTAGAGTTGGGAAGAATGGGCGAGAGACTGGAGGGTAGTGATGGCACCAGCTCCTTCCCTTCCCAGGATCTCTACTATTCTGTGATTCTATGAAAACAGTAAAGCACAAAGAAAGCAAGAACAATTAATTAATTGTTTAATAGAGGATTAATAGAGGAAAAACAGCGATCATGTGATTACCCAAACAGCCATAAAAGAATCCCAGGGGCTGTTTCTTAAAAGGTTGCCCCTGTCTTCTGCCCGAAGGCCAACAAAGAGAAAGGGGTTAAGTCTCACAGATAAACTGGACATCAGAAATGAAGATGCTGCAACAACAAAAGGGCCTGAGGGCAGTGGGAGGGAGGGAGGAGATCAGGAGGGGCCAGGGGAGGAAATAAGAGACGACTGGTTTGTCAATGGTCTTGCTTTTCCATCCTCTTCAGAATGATGCTGGAGGAGAAAAGTTGCTGCAGAAGAAATGGACGACATTTGTAAAAGCTACTCTCTCCTGCACCCCAGAGGGGCAGTTACCTTACAGTGTCATTCAGCACGTATTTGCCCTTCCACATCATGGAGGCGACACAGTTCTCTACGCTGTCTTCACTCCTCAGTGGTAAGGCTGCGACAACTCATTGTACCCAGGGCTATTTTGTGCCGTAGCCGCTCAAAATAAGGATGGAGAAGAGATCTGGCTCACGTCCCCTTTTTAACAGAAACCTGCCTAATCTGCACTTCCCTGAACAGCAGGTGAACTGGAACACAACTATCCTTTGAAATCTGCACTGCTCTGAATTTTGCAATGCAGTTCAAAAGAAAAAGGAAAAGAAAAGTGTGGGAAAATGCCCATGTTGGGGAAGTGTGCCTAAAGATGCCTAAATTTATGAAAGTAATGTACAAAAAGAATCATAATAGGTGAAAATCTCTTGCAAAAAAGGAAAATGCATCTCTTTGGGGAAATATGTACTAATTACAGACAATTTTTTTATGTGGACTTCTTCGAAAAATTCACAAACAGATATGGACATTGTCAATAGCTGTGTGTCAATCCGAACTTTTTCTGTGGTTTATTACCGTAGATTGTGGCATGAGTAAAGGTTGGCATAACTTCATATGAAAAGAGATCCCCTTTATGAACTTTTCTTGACCTGGAAACCGGAAGTTGTGTCAGAGCCCTGCATTGTGGGTGCCCTATAGTTGGCGCCAGTGCTTGGTAGTGTATGTATGAATACATGTGAGCGCTGGACATACATGTGGTTTCTGACACACACATTGCAACAAGGTGACAAGCTGATTTTCACACTGGAAAAGTGAGAAAGCAACATCAGATTCATCCATCCCTATCTTGGAATCCATTCTTTGGTCCCACAGCGCACTAAACTGTAATGAAGATAAGTGCCTCTGAGCATTTGCAGAGTGCCTTTTCATTCTAGTGGTGCAGCTGACTTGCCCATCTCTTTGCAGGAAAATGGGAGATCTCTGGAGCTCGGCAGTCTGTGCCTTCAGCCTTGCTGCTATCAACAAAGTCTTTGATGATGGGCAATTCAAAGAGCAAAGCAGCTTTTCCCAATGGATGCCTTATGAGGGGGAGGTCCCAGACCCTCGCCCTGGCAGTGTGAGTATCGCTTCAAGCCCTCTTAGAAGGGTGTGAGCAGGGACCAGGTGAACATGAGCTTCTGGTGGGGAATGCTTACAAAATTCTCCTCCTTTCTCCCCAGTTTTGGAGCTGTTGTTCTTCTGGAGTAGAATGGGTGTTTTCAAAGTCCTCTTATCAGTGCTTTTTTTCTAGAAAAATAGGTGCCAGTACTCACCATGAAGTTGTTGCAATAAGTGCCACACTTTTTGTGGAAATGTTGTGGATAGTAGCAGAGGATATACTGATTAAATATTATCCCTCCTCACTCATACTAGTGAGATAGCAGCAGAGCACTATCCCTTATCTGGAAGCAAGTTGATGGATTCCCTAGAATCATATAAGTTCAACAATCCAGTCTGGCTTGTCCAGATTGGATTGTTCCTGATAAATTTCCCCTTTAGTTCCCTCTTAAAAACAATAATGACACGACAGTCTTCTTTTAAAAGTATTGGTAATTTACTTACATTCAGTTCACAGTTTTGTCCTGAAGGCAGGCTTTATCTTGCAGTTACAGTTGTAGAGAAAGGAAGTCTGAGCTAGGCCTCAGACTTTCTACCTTGTGGCTTCCATCCTCTGTAAGGTTGAGCCAGCAGAAGATGGTAAAAGAGCAGCAGAAGGGCCAACGAAAGGAAGATGACTTTGTGACTAGTCCTTTTATAGGGTCTGCTAGGGTCATGCCCATCTACCTGGTCACACACAGGGGGAGCGTGGTCCAGAGCATGTATGACAGGAAGTTCTCCCTGTCTGGAGCAACATTCCCCTGTGTGTCCACTCTAGGAAACAGCAAATGTTGTACAGTATTTGGCTGCTACAGTGAAGATACGTCCCACACTTTTTAACAACAAAAAAGAGGTTCCGGTACTGTGTCCCCTTGAAGTACCCCCTGAAAAAAGCACTGCCTCTTGTTATTCTGGTACAGTGGTGTCTCGCAAGACGAAATTAATCCGTTCCGCGAGTCTCTTCGTCTTGCGGTTTTTTCGTCTTGCGAAGCACGGCTATTAGCGGCTTAGCGGCTATTAACGGCTTAGCGGCTTTAAGAAAAAGGAAACAAACTCGCAAGAACTCACAAGACGTTTCGTCTTGCGAAGCAAGCCCATAGGGAAATTCGTCTTGCGGAACGACTCAAAAAACGGAAAACTCTTTCGTCTTGCGCGTTTTTCGTCTTGGGAGGCATTCGTCTTGCGAGGTACCACTGTAACTTGGTAGTAGAGTACCTGTTTTGGCTCTCAAATGGTCCCAGGCTCCATCCCTGGCATCTCTGGGCAGCGCTGGGAAAGACGCCTCCCTGAGAGCTATTGCACAACATCCAACATCCCTGACCATGGGCCATGCTGGCTGGGTCTGACGGGGGTTGGAGTCCAGCACGTTCTGGAGGGCACCAATCTGGTATAGGATTTTCCAGTAGAGAGCTAGAAGGACCAATGATCTGACTCGGCTTATCCACACTTATCTTTTGCTCTGCTCTTTCCTGGCACAGGTCCGCACTTAAAAGTTCAGTATCCAAGCGTTGTTGGTGGTGTTTTTGCCCCGGAGCTTTCCCTGCAAAAACCCGCTCTTTAGTGCTCAATTGGAGCAAACGTCTATTTGGGGTTTTGTGGATTACTGTTTGCTCCAGTTGAGCTTTAAAGAGCGGGTTTTGGGGAGGAAAGCTACGGAGCAAAGAAAAGGGTGCTCAGACATGGAGCTTTAAAGCATGGCCTGTGCCTGGAAACAGTGGAGGAAAAGTAGAATAATAGAATCTTAGAGTTGGAAGGGACCCCAAGGTCCATCTAGTCCAACCCCCTGCAATGCAGGAATCTCAACTAAAGACAGACATCCAACCTCTGATTAAAAACCTCCAGTGAAAGAGAGTACAAGTCTGTTCCACCGTTGAACTGCTCATTGTCAGAAAGTTCTTCCTGGTGTTTAGTCGGAATCTACTTTCTTGTAACTTGAAGCTATTGGTTTGAGTTACCCTCCAGAGCAGGAGAAAACAAGCTTGCACCATCTTCAGTGTGGCAGCCCTTGAGATATTTGAAGATGGCTATCATATCTCCTCTCAGTCTCCTCTTTTCCAGGCTAAATATACCCAGCTCCTTCAACCGTTCCTCATAAGGCTTGGCTTCCAGACCCTTATCATCTTGGTCTCCTTCAGTATAAGGCAGGGGTTGTTTTTTTTTGTCATTTATCATGTTTGGGCTTCTTCATAGTGTCTGTGTCCTATTTCCATGGTTGGAAGCATCGTGCCTCTAAATATTAGTTGCTTGGAATTTCAACTAAGGGGCGAGAGTGCTGTTGAACTCAGGTCCTCCTTGCAGGCTTCCCAAAGCATCTGGCTGACCGCTGTGAGAACAAGATGCTGGGCTGACCTCCAGCTCTTTTCCCATTATCCCTGCAGTGTTCCATCACCCCCACTTCACACAACACCCACAGCTTCATGAGACAGCACTATGTGATGAATGAAAAAATTCAGCCAATCGGTAATCGACCTCTACTGGTGCAGCCAAATGTGAAATACACCCAGATTACGGTACACGAAGTGCATAACTCCTTGGGAAGGACCTACTATGTGATGTTTCTTGGGACAGGTATGCTTTTATGCTCCAGTAGTAGAGATTGAGTTATTTGTAGGATGCTTTCCCCAGCGAGGCTCGCCTGGCCCCTTTGTTACCTATATTTTGGCACCAGTCAGTAACATTCCCCGGGCCTTTGGCTCATCAAACAATCTATGGCTGTTTAAACTGGGGCTGGGTTTTATTGTTTTCGTTATGTATTTTTGTGTTTTTATATTGCAAACTGCCCTGTAATCCTCAGATAAAGGGTGGTACAGAAATTTTAATAATAATAACAATAATACTATTGAGCTTTGTGAACTATTTATTTTTTTGACCCAATAAGGGGTAAAAATGAGGGCTGTGACATTTAGCCAACTATATATTAGGCTAGGAATTGTTTGGATTGGGGGGCGTGTTTATTGCTGTTGTTGTATCTTTTTTTTTTATCTTATGACTGATGTGGCAATTGTAAAATCTGCTTGTGTGCTTTGGTGTTTCGTTTCTTGTTCATGACTACTTTTGTTCTGTTTTGCCGTTATGTAATTTTTATATATATTATAAGTCGCCTTGAGCATGGTTTTAACTTAGGAAAGAGGCATGCAAATAAAACGATAGATTGATTGATGAGGCGGAATGAATCGATCACAAATTTTTCAATTTAAAAAAGTAGAAATCTCAGAGGCTGACTACCTGTCACCTGCCACAGGTGAACCTCCAAAAGCAGAAGTGAGAATGAACTGCAGGCAAAGTGGAGTTCAGCTTCCCTCACCTGCTTGTCTCCTTAGCTCTCATAAGTGGACTCCCACCACACATTTGAGGAGGGCAGGCCTGTATTTCAACAAACTGTTCCACCACCATCGTATCTAATTTGACACCTCGGCATCTTCCCTTACTTTCCACAGACCAGGGCATCATTCACAAAGCAGTGATCGTTGGCAACGAGGCATACATTGTTGAGGAGATCCTGCTGTTAGTGAGGCCAGACGCGATCAGGAGTCTGCTGCTTTTTCCTGAAGAGGTAGGAAGGCTCTGTTGGCTAGAGACTGGAGCTGCGAGCTTTTAAAAGGCTGTAGCTCAGCCGCAGAGCATTTGCTTTGCATACAGAAGGTTTTCGGTTCAATCCCCAGTAGGGCAGGCAATGTCCCCTGTCTGAGACCCTGGAGAATTTCTGCCAGCCAGGGGGAGCAATAGTGAGCTAGATGAGCCCAGTGGTTTGATGAGGTATTATTAGGCAGCTTCCTCTTTATGTCAGTTCTTGATACAAAAACCATTGGGAGTAGAAAGTACTTTATTTGTGGTGAATGGACACAATGCTTCATGTGCAGAAGGCCCCAAGTTCAGTTTCCAGCACCTCCACCTCCAGTTAAGACTGGGAAAAGATTTCTGACTGAAATCCTAGGGAGCTGATTCCCAAGCAGTCAAGAGACTTCACCTGCATGTGTTCATGGTGAGTTCTGGCACCTCTTTTCCTAGAAAAAGAGCAGTGCGTGTGTGTGTGTGTGTGTGTGTGTGTGTGTACGTGTATGTATTAGTTACCTTATTGAGAGTTTGGGGTTTTGTTGGGCAGAGTACGGTGCCCTGACTCCTTGCCCTGCTGCCAAACACACACATCTGCCTTTTTATAATAATAATAATAAGATTAGTTTCCCATTAAAAACATCCAATTAATAACAAATCAAATCCAGTCATAATCCAAATCAAGAAAAAACAACACCAAATTACAATCCAAATTATTAATTATTAAATTTCAAACGGACTTCCCATATTCTGGACTTCTGAAGCAATCATCTCACACAATTATATTTTCTGCTTTCTTCTTGTTCTCATATTTTTCACATTCCAATCTTAAACTCTCTCAAAGTCCTCAGTCCCTGGCTGATCGAGTCTCATCATGTTAAACAGCCATGTATCCTTTCATCTGCCAAGTACAGGTACAGTATATATATATATATATATATATATATATATATATATATTCCTTCTGTCCATTTGTCAGTGCAGCTTTTCCTGGCTCCACTCTTATCTCCCAGTCTGGGCTGTTGACCCAGTATTCCAAAGTTGTTATGTTGTTAAGCATACTGTTCGCTAACATATGTAGCAATGAAGATATAAATCATTTGGTGATTGATCAGCTTTTCCAGGGACCACTCAGACCCATCTCTGGGCCCTGGAGGGGGGCTGCTAGACACCCGCTTCGCCTTCTCTCTCGCCCATGATGAAGAAAAGCATGCAAACAGATTCACTGTATATTGTGGGATATTTCCCAAATTATTGTCTCAGATTGTTGTAGAATCAGCCAACAAATGTTTCCTACTCCCTCGAAGAAGGGAGTAATTCGCTCTTTTTTATCCTGCGTGAGAGCTAGCAAACGCCATCTTGGCCGCTCCTTTATCTTTTGTCAAGTCCGATTAAAACTGCGCAGCTGAATAATTAATTGTGAACAGATATCCACCTGTACTCCATTTAAAAATTAGATCTCTCTAATGAGGTTCAGCACATAAAAGCAAATGTAGATATAAAGAAAGTATGTACCAATCACCTCCGTAAATCAAGACACCATGATGAGAATCTCTTTGAAGTCCAAACTTAAACACCACCAACTGTGCAGTTCCGCAGATTGTTTCCTTTTTCTCCTTCAGTCCAGAATATGCCTGTTTTTGGTCAAATCTTATTAATTTTTAAGAAACAGGTGTCCTTGCATGTAGGAGTGGCTCTGGAGAGTGCCAGCCATGCTGTGCTCTTAGACCCAGCGCCCCTACCACTCGCACCTTGATGCGAGCCGACAGATCACGGGCTATCTGCGGGTCTGTGAGACAGTCCTCCCCCACCCTGGGGAGTCTGCCAGGGCTAATTACTCCCATATTAGCCCTGGGTTACTGGCACGGCTGGGGTCCCTTCATGTGGGAGGCAGCCATTTCCCACAGCAGAAAGCCGGAAGTTGCAAACACACACCCTCTGTCTAACTCACATTGATGTTTTGTCAGGCAGGGCCAAAACGCCTCCCTGTAGCTTGTAGTTAAATGTTTATATAACTACATTTTGATTTGACTTTTTAAAGCCTGGTGCCTGTTGTTACGATGACTCCCACAACTTAATTATATACCAGTTGCGGAAGGATGACCTTTGGCCTGTCATCCTTTAATGGGTTCCAAATAGTAATGGAACATCTCTGTCTGTGCATTGTCAGGGAATCCTGCATGTGGGGCATGGCAAAGGAGTCCTTCAAATATCAGTGGCCAACTGTGGCATTCACAAAAGCTGTACCGACTGCATTGCAGCGCGAGATCCATACTGTGCCTGGAACGGACGCAGGTGCAAAGAAATCCAAATCTCCAATACTAACAGGTAAGTATTTGTAAGCTAGAGAGCACTCTGTGAAAGCACATAGAAGGGTTAAGGATAGCTCAGTCAGTACAGCATGAGACTCTTAATCTCAGGGTTGTGGATTCGAGCCCCACCTAGGGCAAAAATTCCTGCCTTGCAAGGGGTTCGACTAGATGATCTTCGTGGTCCCTTCCAACTCAATGATTCTATGAAAGGATGAGTTCCTTAGTGGGGATGGGGAGTTGTGGAATTTGGTTTGAGTTGCAAATAAATGCAAACCTACCTTATGTGCACTTCAGTTCACTAGGTGATTTGAAATGCAGCTGTCTTCGGATTCTGCAGTGCTGCACACAAAAATTGTTGTAATAGTGAAAATAATGTACTATAATTCATTAGATTAGGAGATTTGGGTGTGTGTGCATAGATTAAGCACAATTGCCTATAAAAAATGCAAGTTGGTTGCAATGTACATGGAACTGTATGAATTTTCATGCAGACCTTAAAACTGGAAAACACTAAACAGATTATTCCATCCTTTCCTCACACTGAAACCCACACCATACATTTAAAGCACCACTTTAACAGACAATCCTGGGAAGAGATGTGTGTTAAGGGTGCTGGGAACTGTAGGTCAATGAAGTCAGGACCTGTAACAAACTACAGTTCACAGGAATCTTTGGGGGAAGCCTTGACTGTTAAAGTGGAATAAGACTACTTTAAAAGTATAATGTGAATGTGACCTTGCTATGGTCCAGCAAGGCGGTTCTTACTTTCCTGGGTCCTTCCTTTCCTTAGGGATAACTTGAAGCAGGATATTGAGGGAGGACGGCCAGAAATTGGGTGCAGCAGAAGCAGCAGCAGCAGCAGAAGAAGCAGAGCTTCCCCAAGCTCAATTACTGTGGTGGTTGTGATGACCTTGGTTTTCTTCTCCTTCCCTGACAATCTGAAAATGGAAGGGCCGGGATGCAGGAGCCTCTCTAAAGCCAATAAAGCATCAGGTCAAGAGAAACTCCTGCTTCGTGACAGCCAGAGCCTTCCACAAGGCAGCCTTTGCCAGGAAGCTGCCAACAGCTCTAAGATCTGCTGTGTCAAAGGTGGTGGTGGATCTTTTCAGAACATCCTGGCTAAAAACAACTGCTTGGACTTCGACCTGGCATATGGGGAAGACTCCAGAGGCGTTGTGGCAGTAGAGGGAATCTAACCTGGTCCAGCTTCATCCCCCTGCAGGAGCAACCTTTTGAGATCACAACAGCTCACCACAGGCAACCAAACAAAGATCTTGCCACTATTGTGATGCTGTTCTCAAGCACCACAAAAGTAAACATGCTGTTACCTCTTGATTTCAAGTTTTCCTTGTCCCCTTTTCTCTACAACGCCATGGGAAAGCCAGGTTGTGCAGCTTGCTGAATACCTCTCAATTGCTCAGGTCCCCGTCCTCACCTCCATAGATTGACTCACAACCCAAATCCATAGATCTCTCTGTTAAATGTTTGCCTAAATCCTAAAAACAAATGGAATACCAACGCCAATCCCTGATCTTCAGAGCTTTCCAGGTTGGAGATGCTCAGGAATGAAGCTGAAGGATGCTTGTGGGTAAATCAGGGCTGGGAGGCAGATTTTAAGCTACCAACAATGGCAGATACAGGAGGGCAAATTAGCAGCACGATGTGCAGCCCGCAAAACCAGCCCCATTGTTAGGCAGCTCTACCATAACGGAAAGTGAGGTCGGAGTCTAGGGGTGCAAGTGGGGGCAGCAGAGCAGGACATTGGCAGGCCCAACCCAAAGGGAATGATTTCTTCTGTGTAAGATTACCTGGAGTTATTATCATGCCTGAGTTGGTTCCCAGTTTGTCTTCATAACTGAGCTATTCCTATGGCTGATCTGGTTCATGTGGTCTTGGGCCCTTCTGTTATGTGCTTCAGATATTTGTGGGGGTGGCAGGGAGGTGAAGAGAGGAGTGCAGGTTCATACTTTGCCTGCTTTAAATTAAAAAATAAAGCGGAGGTGAAGGTCAGCCAGCATGGCCACTTTGGACTTCAATTTGCATCACCCACCTTACGCCGTAGCATCACTCTATTGTTGAATCAACTGCAGATTGTTCTCTCTCTCTCTCTAGTCGGGACGGGGGAGAAATTTGGTTCAGTTTGCATTTAAAGCCAAATCTAGCAGATTTGCATTTTCCAGAAAAAAACTCAAATCCACGCTTCTCCAGATTTTCCAATACTTTCTGCCATTAGGAAAGTGATGGAGAAATGCACTTAAAAGTGTGAGGTCAATGACTGATCAACAAGATGTACAGCCACCACACAAGCAAATCCCATGAATGCTCAGAGGCTGACCCAAAGGACTCGCTGCTACATCATAATTGCTTTGGACAACAGATGGTTGCCACAGGATCTCCTAAATCCAAGGGTGTTGCCATTGTTTTACATTCCCAACTTGCTTTCAAAGCTCATTAGACTCTCAAAGACACCAGCAGAAATTTTGTCAAAGGGCTTTTACAAGAAGCTCACCTAATAACACCGGGCTCAATATATGCACCCAATTCCATACAGTTAAAATCCCTGCACAATCTTTTTCAGTGTTTATGAGACTTTATATCCAGTGATCTGATTCTTGGAGGAGTCTTGAACTGGATTGTGTGAGGAATTAAGTAAACTAAGTAGCTGCGCCTGATTTAAACAGCATATTCCATTTTCAGAATTTGAACCTTTTGGTTTCAGATTTGCCAGCCATTTTGTGCGTGCTGAATTGTTGGTGCTAGCATTGTTGTCCCATCATCACCCCAGTTCAGACATCTTATTATGATCCTCCAAAACATGGCTTGCAGTGCAATCCTGATGATGCATCCTCAGGAGTAAGTCCTACTGAGTTCAATCAGACTTCATTCCCAAGTAAGTGGGAGCCTTAGAAGATACTACAGAGGTGTGTGTGTGTGCACGCTCCTCCTCTCATGTTTCCTGATTCTTTCCTCCATTCCTAAGTTTCCTCTGGTGATAGTTTGCTGCTATGTCTGAATTGGGTAAAACCAGAGCTCCTGGTCACCTCCAAGCCCTGATTGGGAATGATGGCTTTAAATGTCATCACCCTGGGCAATTGTAGCACCCATGGTTAAAGGAGACCTGGAATTGGAAGAAGAGAACCAGAATCCTTTCTAGGAGGAGGAGCTTCTGTCACATTCCCTAACTTCCAGACTTTTGCTTAGAAGAATTGTCTTAACTGAGCCATCTTGGTGGAAGAAATGAAAGTCTAGTAGACCAACCCGCTGCCATTCAGGTGTTTGGAGCTCTAGTTTCTATCAGCCACAGCCTGGGGAACCTCTGGCATATTCAAAACCCACTCTCATAACAAAGAGTTCCATCTGGATGTGGGTGACTGGCAACTTTTCACTAAAAAAAGGGGGGAAATATTGTTTTTTCTGACTTCTGATGCCATTGGTTGCCATTGTTTGATGTCACAGACAAGCAGAGCACCAAAGGGTTGGGGCTTGCTGAGAGAGGTCAGAACAAGGATTGGTGCAAGACGGGGCAGAGCAGATGCAGGGCAAAAAAACTGGAGCCTGAGAAAAGAGTAGGTGCTGGTGAAGGAGAAGACTTTGTGGCCTAACTGGGGAAAGAGCAATTGAACCTGGGGAGGCCAGAGAAAGGGGACGTGGGGTCCTGGGGAAAGGAGGGCCTGGGGAAAGGATGAGCAGAGAAGGCCTGGAAAGCTTCTGATCTACCTCTATGGCTTTGGAATTCCGCCCCAGGAATTTTGGACAAAAAAGAGCATGAGCCTTCAGTTGGTACCATCACTTGTCTTCTTCAGTGGATCTTTCCACAATTAGTGATAACCCCATGCAGGTATTTTCCACCTCACCCGCAATGAAGCTCTTGCCCACAACATGAGAACTTTAGCTCCCCAACTCAGCCCAGTATAACTGAAGGAGTGTCTCCACCCCCATCGTTCTGCTCGGACACTGAGGTCCAGCTCTGAGGGCCTTCTGGCGGTTCCCTCACTGCGAGAAGCAAAGTTACAGGGAACCAGGCAGAGGGCCTTCTCGGCAGTGGCGCCCGCCCTGTGGGATGCCCTCCCATCAGATGTCAAGGAAATAAACAACTAACTGACTTTTAGAAGACATCTGAAGGCAGCCCTGTTTAAGGAAGTTTTTATTGTTTGATGTTTTATGGTGTTTTTAATATTTTGTTGGAAGCTGCACAGAGTGGCTGGGGAAGTCCAGCCAGACGGGTGGGGTATGTATGTATGTATGTATGTATGTATGTATAAATAAATAAATATTATTACTACTACTACTCCTCTTTTCCTTCCTGCATCTTCAGAAGAGCCTTAGGCAGATGCATCCTAAAGTTGCCACTTTGGCAGCTGAGAGCCATATATTTAGGAATATCTGATCAGCCATCCCATTTCAAGCAGTTGTATTTGATTGCCAAATATTTTATATTTTGTAATAACTTATCTCACACTTAAAGGTAAAGGACCCCTGACCATTAGGTCCAGTCGTGACCGACTCTGGGTGCTCATCTCGCTTTATTGGCCGAGGGAGCCGGCGTACAGCTTCCAGGTCATGTGGCCAGCATGACTAAGCCGCTTCTGGCGAACCAGAGCAGCGCACAGAAATGCCGTTTACCTTCCCGCCGGAGCGGTACCTATTTATCTACTTGCACTTTGACGTGCTTTCGAACTGCTAGGTTGGCAGGAGCAGGGACCGAGCAACGGGAGCTCACCCCGTCGCGGGGATCCGAACCTCTGACCTTCTGATCGGCAAGTCCTAGGCTCTGTGGTTTAACCCACAGCACCACCCGCGTCCCTATCTCACACTTACCGGACTCATAAAATATCAATGTGGTGTACAAAAATAGATGCAACAAAGCAAAGAATACCATACCAACAATACACGACAGGGTCCAACCTAAGAAAATTTAAACAGCCGAATAAGTCTGTTAGCATATAAAGGTCTTCAAGATAGTCTTGAAATTTAACAGTGAGGATGCTAGCCAGACGCTTACATACCTGACTTATCGGGAAACCCAGGGGTCAACTAGCAGCATTCCTAAAAGTGATCCCTGTGATGAAGCTACGATATAATAATAATAATAATAATAATAATAATAATAATAATATTTATTTAAATATATTATTTATTTATTTATTTATTTATATTTATATTTATATTTATTTATAAGTGCTCAGATCCTTAAAATGTCTGGTACTCAAGTTGTTCAGGGCATTGTATGTTAAAATAAAACTTGAACTTGACCCAGTAGCATATGAGCAGCCAATGCCGATATTTTAGAAGACAAGATGTTGGCTGTTTGCCCCCATCAGCATTCTTACTGCTGCACTGTGCAACAGCTGTAGCTTTCAGACCAAGTCCCAGGGGCAGCCCCACATACAGTACATTGCAGTAGTCCAGTCTCAGGGTTATCAACCCACAGCCTACTGTATTCCAGAAACATCCTTAGCTAGTGTACAGTGGAACCTTGGTTCTTGAACGTCTCCGTTGACGAACGTTTCGGAACTTGAATGCCGAAAACCTGGAAGTTACTGCTTTGGTTTTCAAACGAACGTGCCACGCTGCTTCCATTTTTAGTTTCCCTATTGTATTAAGGCTTCCGCTTTCAGTTTTCGGTTTCTGAACATTTCGGAACGGATTACGTTCGAAAACCGAGGTTCCACTGTACCAGACAAAGCTGGCGAAAAGGACATCTAGCCACAGAGGGCACTTAGGCCTCATATAACAAAGGTGTAGCCAAGGGTATAATATGTCGTTAACTTTTTAGTGATGACTTTTTCTTTCTTTCTTTCTTTCTTTCTTTCTTTCTTTCTTTCTTTCTTTCTTTCTTTCTCCTTCCTTCCTTCCTTCCTTCCTTCCTTCCTTCCTTCCTTCCCTTCCCTTCCCTTCCCTCCCCTTCCTTTCTTTTCTTTCTTCTGCATTTCTTGACAGCTACCATCTGCTGATAACCAACCATGAACTCCAAACACTTCTTCATTTGCCTCCTGACGTTTGCCAACGCTCTGGCCACAGAGCTGATGCCAAAGCAAACCACCTCGTTAAGTGAGTAACTCAAAGGAAGACAGAGTCAATATCTGTGCACTAGGGGAGAAGTTGAAAGGGTGCCTCAAAGGAGATGAGCAAGATTTGGGATGGGAAAGGTTAACAGTGGGCTGTGAGTGTATTCATTGGTAGAAATAAACTATCATACCTCATCTAGTCCTGTGCTAACATTCAGAATTGGTGGATCATGCACATCTGGGTGGGAGAGCAGGATCACATCCATCTGCTCCTGATGTTTGTCATCTGTGGATTCTTAGCACGTGCACAGGACTAGAAACTTGAGACTGTTGAGTATTTGCACTGTATGCATATGCCTTCTGCACCCACCATTGTGCATGTGAGGATGTCCCTTTCAAAATGGCACCAGACTCTGCGCTATGCTGGGCACACTGGGCCCATGTTGGGGACAGAGTTGCTACATATTCACACACACCACCCAATGATCCATCCTGTAATACACCCTCACTGGTCATGGTACAAAAGGGACACACTGACTTTGCCTCTGAGGAGCAGGAAGCGAAAAAGCTGAGCACCATTGAGCACTGGAAACCAGGACTGGCTACCAAACGCTTGCTGAAAATGTACCTAGCCTTACTCTCTTTTTTTTATCCTCAGGGGACCCTAGACGAAAGATTTTCCCATTCATGCAAAAAGGGGTTCAGAATTGGGACACTTTCCTACTGAGCAAAAACAAGAAAACTCTCTATGTGGGTGCCAGAGACACTATCCTCGCTCTTGACATTCGCACGGATACCACCATCAGGGTGAAACATGAGGTGAGTGGGAAATGGGGTTTCAGGATATGAAGTGCTGGAGAAAGTGAGAGGAAAGGTCTGGAGTGGTGTTCTGATGAGGGTGCTCACCCACATTATTCAAGATGACAACCTATTCAACCCTGCTCCCTGTTTTGTGGGAGATACTGAGGACCCTTTAAAAAATGTTTCTATGTGTGCACTGGTGTTCATCATGTTTCAGCCCTTCCTGCCCCAAGACCGCATTACTTCCTAGTTTTATCAAACCACTGTTTGCCATTAGACACCCCAACCAGGAAACTATGGCTTGCACCAGGTTTGAAGGGTAAGCAGCAGCTTAATGTTGGTTAAAGTCCTGGTTCAATGTAGGTAAATAAATCATCATGTTTTTGGTTCGTTTTAATGGCTTTTTACTTAGGATTCTGGGTGCAGCCTTCCTGGGGGGCGGGGGGAGGTTTTGTTTAATTAACCCAATTTGCCACCTGTGTGGCATGTCTGTTGCAGGATTACATCAAGGTCACAAGAGATTGTGCAGAAATCCATTTAGTAGCTGCAAGGTCTTCCACCATGGGCATCCTCTAGTGCTGAGAAAATAAGCCCTGATTGGGGGGGCCACTAGGGGCGCATTGGAAGATGGCCGACAATACCATCTCTCCGGCCCACATGAGGTAATTAAGAGGCTGTTATGGGAGTATGCAGCCTCCCTTGTTGCCCCAAAGGAATGGGGAACACTGCCCTTGCCTGCTGTGCCCATAAATCACCCCCGGATTCAAAAGAAGGGGGTGAGGGCACTAGGCAGAATGCCCTTGTGTGGACTCCAGTTCTCCTGGACGCTGTCTCTGATCGCGCCACTAGCTGCAGCAACATGAAATAAACAATTAGGAAGAAGCAAATGCACACCACAACAACAACAACAACAACAAAGACTTTATTTGCGTAGCCAACAGGCCATAGCATCAATAGACAAACACCGACAAAAATACATTACAAATATAATTACCGTATAATCTTATGGCCTATTAAAACCCTAGGTAAAAGCTGGATTATCATTCATCAATGACCCTCTGTCCCATGGGCGGCGGCCTTTTCTCTGGTAGATTGTTCCAGATCGGTTAAGTAAACAGACCAGCCAAATTGAAAGATTATAAATATAAATGGTCAGGACAGGAAGAGAGATAATAATAACCAGATGCAGATAAGTTAATACTGAGGGCGATCTGGCTGCGACATCTGTCACCCCATTGATCGCCAGGGTTGATTCGGCTGATCTGGCTGGCTAGGCGGGTGTCCCCTTCCTCCCTCACTGCTCCATGTGCATCCCTCCCGAAGCTGCGCGCTAGGTGGAAGAGGACGACCATCCCAGATAGAAGGAGTGTACCGTTCTTCGGTCAAGGGTATACAATAGCACATATTTCAAGTGAAGAATGGGGAGTAAAGACTGCTAATAGAAGGGACCTCTGCGAAAGAAGAGCGTCGGGTTGGATCAACAGGAATATATCATGAGAAGATTCATCAAAGGCTGGTATGTCGGCAGCGGGACTGGATGGGGGGGAACTTTTCTTTCTTTCTTCTATGTGATTACCCAATAACCCCCCCTCACAAGACAGAACCATCGCTTAAAGGACCTAAGCTGGATGATTTAAGACTGTGTGGAAATGAATTCTAACCAAAAGCATGTTTTATGGAGATCAAGAAAAGTACAAGAGCTTTTGGGATGACGCAGCAAAAAATAGCGTCGCCATGTTGGCAAGTTCTGTCGAAAGATTTACGACCGGGAGGAGGAATGGATTTGTTTTCATACTGCTGGCGAACCTCCTCAGAGGGCTAAGAAAGGCGACAGATTTATGAAGATTAATGATGGTAAGAGTGTTTTTGTCTATGGAAGCGATGATATACGGAAACCATCTGGATATGACTCTTGGACGAACGGAAAAATTCACACAGGATTACAATTTGTTTTGACCCGCTTATGGAGACTATCAGAGGTCACAAAGAGAAAGGAAAAATATATGAAAATAACAAGATGAGAGGTGGAAAACAACAAGAAAGGACATTATTATGAATATTATTTGGACAGATTTGTGGACATTAAAGCAGCAGCAAGAAAATGATTGGATCCCCTTCGGAACTTGAAATATGGGTACCCCCAACAAAAATTTAAAATTCGGCTTTGTAATTTGGAATTTATGTGATGTGATTTGATTTGATTGGTCGGTTAATAAAAATTATTTAAAAGAAAGAAAGAAAGAAAGAAAATAAGCCCTGATTGGCTGAAGGAAATCTACTCTCCCTTTTGTAGAAAAGCTGGCCTTTGGCCTGGGTCTAATGGCCCCTGATAAAGGTTTGTGCGATGCAACATCCACAGATGCCTCAATACAGTTTACTGGTGGGGTCTGTAACTCTAATGGTTGGAATTAGGTGTGGCCAGCTAACTTTTGGACTTTACCCAAATCCTGAAAGGTGTTTTTACACTGTTAGTCTTTCTTAACTGTCTTTTTATGGTAAAGGGTTTATTTTTGCTTTGTAACCTCTTTAATAGTTAATTTGTATTTATTTCCTTGCATGGCCCCATTAGCAGAAAGCAAGAGGGGAGATGAGGGGGCAGCACAGCAGCGACAGGGAAGCAATTAAAGTTTACAATTAAAGTGAACCCACCTAATCTGCACTTCCCCAAGCTGGAACACAGCTTTCCTTCAAAACTTGCACTTCTCAGAATTTTGCAGTGCCGTTCTCCATCTAAACTTCAAAGAAAGTGTGTATCAAGGAAATGGTGCACAAAAATTTACGTTACTTAAAACATGCAAAAATGTAAATATTGGGTAAAAAAAAAAACCTTCAGAAAGAAAAGCACAAACTGATGCAGAAATGTGGAGAGTTGAACTTCAGATTCAAAATGAGAAACCAAAATGGATGAATAATTCCATCCCTATATCCTGCAAGAAGCAGACGGCTCAGTCACATGGCTCCATAACCATGATTTGGCATTTTGTCTCAAGCAAGTCAGTGCTTTATCAAGGACCAGAGTTTAGAGACTGTTGACAGATGCAGCCTTGCTTATTTATTTGCTTATTTAATGCATTTCTAAATTACCGGATGTTTGAAAATCTCTTGAGCAATTTATAAAAATATAACACAAAACCGTTAAAACTATATTTATAAAAACAGAAATTTAGTCTTGACTTTCATCTTCCTATTTGCAAAATAACTCTGCAGGTGAATCCCAGTAAGGCTGAACATATGCAGTCTGACTATTTCCCCCTTCTTTTGTTTCTCCTCCTCTAAAATGCCCTTCTTCCCCTTTTCCTGCAATAGATACAGTGGAGTCCCACGGCTGATAAAAAGGATAACTGTGCCTTGAAGGTGAAAAACAAAGAGGTAATGCAGTGGGGATAGAGGAAGTGCTGCCTCCCAGTTTAGGAATGTGGTGCGCACCTGTGTGCATTTCTCTTTCCTTTTGCTGGTTTGAATGCCCACCTCCACTCCGAAGCTGCTACCTGACCTGTGCGTGGGAGGTGGGGGGTGGGGTGGGGTGGAGATAGAAACTCAGCTGCATGAACACAGGCAACATAAGAACCACAGGCGATCCTCTTTCAAATTGCTGAGAAATAATACCAGTATATCCTGAACTATCTTATGCACAGGGATGCAGGTGGCGCTGTGGGTTAAACCACCGTGCCGCTTGGGCTTGCCAATTGAAAGGTTGGTTCTAACAAAACACCATTATGACCAGTCTGCAGAATTATCTAGTGGCACCACTGCTTATTTTGACTAAATAAATCTGTTATCCTTTAACCCCTTCAAGAACTATTATTATTACGGTATGTGCTTGCATGCAGGAAAGGGGCCGGGTTTTCATGCATTCTTGGTTGCTATTTAACAACCACCCAGTGGAAATCTTCTTTGGGATGCAAACGTAACTGGAAGTCTCATAATCTGGGGAACCGGGTTCGCGTCTCCGCTCCTCCACATGCAGCTGCTGGGTGACCTTGGGCCAGTCACACTTCTTTGAAGTCTCTCAGCCCCACTCACCTCACAGAGTGTTTGTTGTGGGGGAGGAAGGGAAAGGAAAATGTTAGCTGCTTTGAGACTCCTTAAAAGGGAGTGAAAGGCGGGATATCAAATCCAAACTCTTCTTCTTCTTCTGGAAGTTCAATCCTGATTTTCTCACCTTCATCTCCACAGAGGGAATGCTTCAATTTCATCCGTGTCCTGGTGCAACTGAACGACACACACCTTTACACCTGCGGGACGTATGCTTTCAGTCCCACCTGCGCTTACGTTGTGAGTTCTTAGGGGAGAGAGGAAGGGGGGTCCCTTTATAAGGCTAGCAACTTGAAGCTGGGCTTTCAGTGTGGCTGGCCCTGTTCTACGGGACAACATTCCCGCTGAGAATCAACAGGCGCCCACAATCTGTGCTTCCTTTCGACTATAAACAGCTCCATGGGGATGCTTGGTTTCTGAAGGACACCTTCCCATCGATTTTGCTTCTTTTGACCTTTCTCCTTTTCCTTCCCTTGCCTTGCTAGGATCTAACAACATTCAGTCTGGTGAAAGACGCAGAAGGCAAGCCCCTCCTCCTGCAAGGGAAGGGTGTCTCTCCCTATAGCCCTTACTATGGGAACACCGCAATCCTCGTTGGTGAGCCACCTGGAAGGGGAGGGGTTCCACTTCCTTGGAAGTCAAAAGTTTGCACCATCCTATTGTCTGCTTTGGCATTCCATAGAAAGCATAGGGACACAGGTGGCACTTTGGTCTAAACCACCAAGCCTAGAGCTTGCCAATCGAATCCCCACAACGGGGTGAGCTCCCGTTGCTCGGTTCCTGCCAACCTAGCAGTTCGAAAGCACACCAAAAAGTGCAAGTAGATAAATAGGTATCGTTCCGGCGGGAAGGTAAACAGCGTTTCCGTGCGCTGCTCTGGTTCACCAGAAGCGGCTTAGTCATGCTGGCCACATGACCCGGAAGCTGTCTACAGACAAACGCCAGCTCCCTCAGCCTATAGAGCAAGATGAGTGCCGCAACCCCAGAGTCATTTGCGACTGGACTTAACTGTCAGGGGTCCTTTACCTTTACCTATTGCCTGCTTCTGCATTCCATAGAGGAAGACAGAGGTCTGTTAAAACATCCACAGTTCTCATGCCATACCCTCCAACAAGTCAACAGTAAAATCCGGGACACGATCTTCCCAACTGCCACCTTCTCTTCTTTTTTTTCTCATGAGAGAATGGCAGCCATTTTTACGCCATGATCTCACGTGATTTCACGCCGTGATTTCCCCCTTTAAAAGCTCTTTTCTTGGGTGAGGCGCCCAAAAGGGCAGGCCCCTTTAATTCCTTGCCAAAGGCTGTGCTCCTTTCTAGATGATTTGAACTGCAACTCCTATCAGCTGTGCTGGCTGGGGTCGATGAGAATTATAGTCCAAATCATTCAGAGAACATCCGTCTAGGGAGGATTACAGCCTGTCCCCTGCCTGTATTTCCTCTTGTTGAAAGATGGACAACATGTCACCCTGCAGTGTGATTAAAATATACCCCAGGCACTGCAATGTGTGAAGCAGTTTGATGAACAGTGCATAGATTCATGCAGCCGCCTTTCCCTGGGGAATATAACTTGTAGGGGTCCTGGGGAGGGAGATGAGCAATCTTAGGAAAGTACCCTGATTTACAAGATATTTAGCAAGGTATCTACAAGGCAAAATTAGGGGCAGTCAGGGCCGGCCCACCCACAAGGCAAGCAACCGCCTCAAGCAGCAGCATCCACAGGAACAGCAAGGAATGTATTGCCAGCTGCAGCAGCAATGTGCTCCTTGGAGGCCAGATCTGTCACTGCCCCCCCTTCCCATGCCACCTCGACAGCAGCCTCTTGGTGAATAGGAGGCACTGCTGACGGGGGCTGCCCGTTGAAGTCGCCTGGGCTATGTGCCCATGCCCACCTGGCACGATTCAGAGCGGCCTTTGATTCCCGGCTCAACTATCAGGTAAGGTTGATTTGATTCTCCCTACCTTTGTTCCTGATGGACATCTTAACTCACCTTCTTCTTCCCTGGTGGGGAACGTGCACCATTTTGCAGTTTGCCTCAGGTGCAAAAACATATTGAACTGGCCCTGTGGGCAGTGAATTATAAGCACTCGAGAAAACGGGCTGAAGGGGAAGGAGGAGTCACCTTCTCTCCTGCCTTTACCCTGCAGATGGCGAACTTTACACTGCCACCCAGGAAAATGTTCCAGGGAATGAGCCCATCATCACTCGAACCCTGGGCAGTAGTTCAGTTTTGAAGAATGAGCACTGGATGACTGGTAAGGGCAGATGCTGAGGGAGCGGGGAAGGGCCTTAGAAACTAAATCAGATCTCACATCTGGCAGTTTTCTTCCCCTCCCCTCCCCTCCCCAGGTGATGCAACATTCGTGGCCTCCTTCAACATCCCAGCCCCCCCAAATGACGACAAAGTCTATTTTTTCTTTTGGGAAACAGCAAAGGAGTATGACTTCTTTGAGAAAGTCATCATCTCCAGGGTTGCTCGCATCTGCAAGGTGAGCTGCCTCCAAAATCAAGGAAGCTTTTGAGCAGGAACTTTTTTTCAGTGCTGTGAGCATGTGCAGAGGTTGGATGGTCTTCTGTCCTGGATGCTTTAGCTGAGGTTCCCGCATTGCAGGGGGTTGGACTAGATGAGCCTTGGGGTCCCTTCCAACTCTACAATTTTCTGATTCTGTGACACTGGGTTGGTGCGGAACACGACCAGTCTTCATCGTAGCTCAGCTTCCCTTTTATAAAATCCTCCAAGGCAGCTTACAAGCTTGCTAAACTCAAGACTGAAATGTACAGCACCGCATGATGAAACAGTAAGCAACAAAGCAAACCATAAAATTAATAGGATGAATAAAGAAAAGCAGCAATCAGATTATCTCAAAAGAGCTGTCAGAGAATGCCTGGGGCTGCTCCTTAAAAGGACTATGCCTACCAATCTGATTTGTCAGTGATGTTTGCTTTCCCATCCTCTACAGAATGATGTCGGAGGAAAAGCGTTGCTGCAGAAGAAATGGACCACCTTTCTGAAAGCACATCTTTCCTGCTCCCAGAAAGGGCAGTTTCCTTATACTGTCATTCAACACGTGTTTGCTGTTCCACATCCAGGAGGCGGTGCATTTTTCTATGGGGTCTTCGTTCCTCAATGGTAAGGCTGTGAGAATCCTTAGTAGCCGGAGCAGGGGAAGAATATTAGCCACTCAGCACAATGGGGGATAGGATTTGGTTCAGTTCCCTTTTTTTAATGGGTCCCTACCTAGTTTTGCATATTCCCAAACAATAAATGAACTGAAACACAAGTACCCTAGGAAATTTGCACTGTTGTGAAGCTGTTCGCATGCAAAAATGCATATGATGAGAAAAGCAACATACACAATGAAAAATATGAAGCAAAACTTCTTGAAAACATGTGTCTCTTAGGGGAAATAAGCACTCAATGCTGACCATGTTTCTGTGGACTTATTTGAGAAAAGATTCACAAACCAATGTAGAAATGTGACAAGCTGAACTTAAAATTGGAAAAGTGAGAAATCGAAATATGCAAATTTATCCATCCCTACCTTGGAATTTGTTTTGGGTCCCACAGTGTGCTAAATACTGGTGAAGTAAATTGACTCCAAGCATATGCAGAGTGCCTTTTCCTTCTAGTGGTGCGGCTGGTTTGTACATCTCTTTGTAGGCAGGTGGGAGGTTTCTGGAGCTCAGCAGTCTGCGCCTTCGACCTTAATGCTATCAACAAAGTCTTTGATAATGGGAGATACAAAGAATTACACAAGAACTGCTCCCGATGGCTGCCCTATGAATGGGAGGCCATGGATCCTCGCCCTGGCTCGGTAAGTACCGCTTTTAGCCCTCTGCTTGGAAGTGTGCAATGCCCAGCTGAATACTGCTTCTGGTGAGGATACTGAGCAGGCACCCCAACTCTAGGGGGCCAAGTTGTCTTCAGCCCCTTGAATATTTGTTGGAATGGGGTTGGTATGTGGGTGTGACGTCACAAGTGTCGTGCGTCACAGCATCAGCGGTTGGCTCCTTCAGAGCCCTCAGCCTCCTCTAGATGGTGCAACATCGCATCACGCATGTCCAATGCACACCAGGGGCGCCTCTGATACTGAGAAATGCTTCTTCTTTCTAATTTAACCCCAGATTTTGAAGTTGTCTTTCTGAAGTGGAATCAAATTCAAATTATTTTTGAATGTTTTTGCAAGTTCCTGTGTAATTGCTTTGGCTGTCAGTTCCTTCTGTTAATTTGTGTCCTTTTGCACTGATGGAAATAAGCTGTTGAGAGGTGATTGCACATGCCTGTTGGAATCAGGGAACGCGGGTTCTCAGGGATGCTATGTATAGTCTGACATCAAGTCTTAAAGCAAACCTATGTCCTTAGGCTGTCCTGCCAGAAGATTAGCATCTCCAGTGTTTCCTGTAGTTCTGTTCTGCCAGCTGCTCTAAAGGGTTCTGGAACCCTTTGTAGATCTCCCTTGAAATAAGTGTGTCCTTAGCTCCTGAAATGAATGGTTGCCCCACAAACAGTTCAGTTTCTCCTCTAGGGAGGCTGTGTGTCTTTACAAAACATGGAGCCAAAATTAAAATGGTGCTTCTCGGATGGATGAGACAGCCACTAAACACACCCTACTTAACTGGCTGCTCACGCTGAACATCACACTCACCCTGTGCCATGCAAGACTCTGAATATTTACCAGAACGGGCTTAAGTCACGGATAAAAACTGGAAGAGAACAGTATGGAGGACTGTTAAGTGTGTTAGTCACATCTTCATGCCTTGGGTGAATAGGGGAACAGAGGTCCTCCTTGAAGGCTTCCCATAGGAGCATGTTGGCCTCTGTGAGAGCAGGATGCTAGGCTAGATGGGTCTCAGCCTGATCCAATGGGCCTCTTTTTCTGTTCCCCCTTCAGTGTTCTGTCAGCCCGTCATCAGACAAAACCCTTGTTTTCATGAAAGATCATTATATGATGGATCAGACGATTCGGCCACTCTATAACCAGCCCGTGTTTGTGAAGCTCAATGTGAAAAACACCCGGATTACAGTACACCAAACTGAGAACATCTTGGGAATTCCCTATACCATACTGTTTCTTGGGACAGGTATGGATGTTGTTTTTTCCTGCCCTGGAGGTCGAGATTAAGACATTTGCTCAGTAACCTTATTCCTTTGACCCAGCAAGGGCTTACAACACAGGTTGCAACATTTAACCCAGGCTTCCTCAACCTCGGCCCTCCAGATGTTTTTGGCCTACAACTCCCATGATCCCTAGCTAGCAGGACCAGTGGTCAGGGTTGATGGTAATTGTCGTCTCAAAACATCTGGAGGGCCGAGTCTGAGGAAGCCTGGTTTAGCCAGATAATGAGCAAGCAAGACTGACTCAATCATGAATCTTTTGATTTTGAAAAGTCTCAGAAGCGGCCTGTGTGTCAAATTCATTGCACCAAAAGTAGCCAGATAATGGTTAGATAATGCTAATGGTTCTCCCGGTAGAGGCCAGGAAAGCTGCTTGCTGGGATTGTAGAGCTCTTTCCTCACCCCTCTTAGTTCTCTCTGCTTAGCAGCTGATTTACCCTTGGAGTTAGGATGGGGAGCTCTAGGGAACGTATTCACTTTTCCTCCTAGGACTTACCTGGAGCAGATCTACACTCATGGTTTTTAATGTTAATGAAGGGTTAAAGAATGGTTCTGATAACTATATGGACGCATGATGTCCTACAGTCGTACCTTGGTTGTTGAACACCTTGGTACTCGGATGTTTTGGCTCCCAAACGCCACAAACCGAACGTCCGATGTAGCTTCCACGGCTTCTGATTTAGTGCAGGAAGCTCCTGCAGCCAATCGGAAGCCACGCCTTGGTTTTCGAACCATTTTGGGAGTTGAATGGACTTCCGGAACAGATTAAGTTCAACAACCAAGGTACGACTGTACTTTTAATGTTCATAATGTGTTATTAAAATGTGATACCAGAGGGCACTGCAGAACAACCGGGAGAAGGGAGACTGTGGTTTGACGAAAGAAACAAATGAAATGTTTAATACAGTCGTACCCTGGAAGTTGAACGGAATCCGTTCCGGAAGTCCGTTTGACTTCCAAAACATTAGAAAACCAAATCGTGACTTCTCATTGGCTGCAGGAAGTCCCTGCAATCAATCGGAACCCTTGGAACCCGCGTCGGACGTTCAGGTTCCAAAAGAACATTTGCAAACCAGAACAATCACTTCCAGGTTTGCGGCGTTCAGGAGCCAAAACATCCAAGTTCCAGGGCGTTCAGGATCCAAGGTACAACTGTACCATTTTAATAATGTTAAACAGGTCGGTGTAGATCCAGCCTTGGTCAACCAGTCAATTAAAGAGTTGCGGCTCTGAAAGTGGAAGTGCACATTTAAACTATGGCACTTGCACCTGCAGGAGACACGGGAGGCCGCCAGCTTGGATGGCTTTACAAAAGGATTAGACAAATTCATGGAGGATGATGCTATCAGTCTAGCCACGATGGCCCTGCTCTGCCTCCGCAGTCGGAAGCAGCAATGCTTCTGAATTTCCATTGCTGGAAACCACAAGGGGAAGAGGGCTTGCTCAGATCCTGCCTGCCAATTTCCCACAGGCATCTGGTTGGTTACTGTGAGAACAGGATGCTGGACTAGATGGGTCATTAGCCCAATCAAGTAGGCTCTTCTTGTGTTCTTAAGTGCGGATGGACTGCACAAGAGGGAGAAACGTCAGCTCCCATCCACTTGATAGTGACAGGCCCGGGTTTCAACAAACTGTTCTGCTACTACCATATCAAATTTCAGACCCTATATCTTTGCTTGGTTTTCCACAGACCAGGGAGCCATTCACAAAGTGGTGGTCGTCGGCAGCGATGCTCACATTATTGAGGAGATCCAGCTGTTTGAGAAGCCAGAGGCAGTCCAAAACCTGCTGCTCTCACCTGAAAAGGTGGGCAGACTCTGTTGGATAGGAACAGGAGCTGCAAGCTTGTAAAGGGGCCTTAGCTTAAGGTTACCAGACGTCCTCGTTTCCCGGGGACGGTCCCCGGATTTACAAATCAGCCCCCATACAAAATCCGTTGAAGCTGAAGAGTGTCCCCGGATTCATTGAAAAAATATCTGGTAACCTTACCTTAGTTTAGAGGCTGAGTCTCAAGAACGTTTCCTGTCTGAAACCCTGGAAAGCTGCTAGGCAACAAGGAGCTAGATGAAGCCTGTAGTTTGATGTGGAATAAGGCAGTTTCTTACTTAAACTTGTTCTTTATTCAAGACCACATGAACTAGAACCGTACTTTATTTTAAGGAGAAGGGCCACAGCTCAGTAATCGAGCAGATGCTTCATGTGTAGAAGGTCCCAAGTTCAATCCTCAGCTAGAAAAAGACTGAAACCCTGGAGAGCCACAATTAAATATAAAACCAGAAAATAAAGAAACTTTGCAGGCAATCAAATTATCACAAGCACAATTCTCAATCGGTGGGTATTATTTGGGGTGAATGAGGCACTGGCATTTTTATTTAACTACATTTTAGATCGTTTTTAAGGCCAGGGCCCATCGCTGCACCTTCTGGCAATAAGTCCTACAAGTTAATTACAGTAGTACCTCTGGTTACAGACGCTTCAGGTTACAGACTCCGCTAACCCAGAAATAGTATCTCGGGTTAAGAACTTTGCTTCAGGATGAGAACAGAAATCGTGCTCCTGCGGCGTGGCAGCAGCAGGAGGTCCCATTAGCGAAAGTGGTGCTTCAGGTTAAGAACGGACCTCTGGAACGAATTAAGTACTTAACCCGAGGTACCACTGTATACACAATGTAAGGAAGGTCTTCCTTTCTCCTGCCCTCCTAATACTGTAGTAACAAAATATTTCTGTTTGTGCATTCTTAGGGGATCCTTTATGTGGGGTATTCCAAAGGAATTGTACAAGTCCCATTGGCCAACTGTGGCATTCACAAAACCTGTCCTGACTGCATTTTAGCACGAGATCCTTACTGTGCCTGGGATGGAAGGAAATGCAGTGATAACTGGAATAACAAATACAAAAGGTGGGTGTTTGCAGGCTAGAGAAAAGTCTGTGAAAGCACATAGCAGATGAAAGGGTGAATATATGGGGGGGATGGGGGGGTTGGTATGATTCACATTTTAATGCAAACCTACCTTATGTGCACGTCAGTTCACAATGTAAGTTGAAAGCCATCTTTCAAAATGCACACTTCTCCAGATTTTGCAGTTTTTCAAACTGCACAAAAATGCTTATATCAGTGGAAATAATGCAATGCCTTAAAGTACTGCCCTGAGACCTCTGGGTATAGGGCGGGATATAAATTCAATAAATAATAATAGTAATAATAAGTAGGGTCATTTTTGCAAAAATGCACCTGTTTCAGGCAACTGCATAAAAACATTTTAATGTTGGGCGAAATGCACTTGGAGCCATATTAATTTCATATGGACCCTAAGATTGGAAAGACCCAAAGACAGATTACTCTATCCCTGCTTCTTACTATGTTCCAGCATGGCAGGAAAGAGTAACTTTAAGCAAGATGTTGAGACCGGAAACTCAGGCCTTTCGTGCATGCGCAGCAGTGGGAAGAGCAGAGCCTCCTCCAGGCCAATCACCTTGATTGCCGTAGTGGCCGTCGTTTTCTTCTGCTACCCAGACACAGTGAAAGTGAAAAGCAAAGTACAGGGGTGCAGGAGGCCCCTCAAAGCCAATAAAACATCCAAGCAAGAGAAAGTCCTGTTCAATGGCAGCCAGAGCATTCTGCAAGTGGACCTTGCCAGAAAACTGCTGACAACTCCAACATCTGCTTTGTCAACGTTCTCTGTTCAGGCTATCAGGGCTGACAAAAGCTGCTTGGACTTTGGCCTGCCAAACAAGGATGACTCTAGAGGAGCCGTGGCAGCGGAGGGGATCTAGCCTGGCCTACCTGATTCCTCACCAGCTGTTGCAGGGAACAACCTTTCGTGATCTCACCAGCTCACACAGGCAACCTAGCAAGAACAAAAGTATTGTCACAACTGTGATGCTATTACAAAATGCCACCAGAAAAAAGGGTGTTACCTCTGATTGCATTTCTTTCCCACCTAGTTCTGTCTGTACAATGCCATGTAAATGCAGGACCTAGCACCAGACAACTGGCCAAATCCTTCCTACGCTTTCAGGTTCCCATCCCTACCTCCATAGACAGGATCCTGGGAAGAGTCCCCATACTCACAGCCAAATCCATAAGTCTCTCTCTTTGGTAAGAAATGCTTACCAAAATTTAGAAGACAGACTCCCCTTGCCCATCTCTGATCTACAGAGCTGTCCAGTTTGGAGTGAAGGCCAGTGTTGGATGTGGTAGTTGGGTCAGGGCTGTTTATTTGGCCTTGCTCAATGTTTTCACACTGAGATGCAACCGCCTAGATGTACCGTATTTTTCGCCCGATAGGACGCACTTTTTCCCCTCCAAAAATGAAGGGGAAATGTGTGTGCGTCCTATGGGGCGAATGCAGGCTTTGCGGACCTCTCTGCAAGCAGCGGGAGAGCTCCCGCTGCTTGCGGGGAGTTGCCTGCATGCTGAAGCCTGTGCGCGCTGAGCTCAGCGCGTCCAAGCTTCGCGGACCTCTCAGCAAGCAGCGGGAGCCAGCGCTGGGCTCCCACGGCTTGCAGAGAGCTGCCTCTTTGGGAGCTGGGGTCGGGGGAAGCTCGGGCTTCCCCGCCCCATCCCCGCGCCTGGGGGGAAAATAATTTTTTCCCCTTTATTTCCCCCCCAAAAAACTAGGTGCGCCTTATGGGACGGTGCGTCCTATAGGGCGAAAAATACGGTAATTCATCCTAGAAGACTGCCAGAGAAAGGGAGGCTACAGAAGAATGGGCCTGATTCGAGGGAGGCAGATCTTAAAATAGATTTCCTATGTAGAAGGGGCAGCCCAACCTATTTACACCAGGAAGATGTTGAGAGTGGAAGAATGGGATACTGAAAGGCCTGACCCACGGGGTAGGATCACTTCTGTGCAAGGTTCCCTAAACATGGACCCCATGCATTATTACAGTGGAGGTGTGGATCCCAGTTTTCCTTTTTGACAGAGCCTGCGCTGCATTATGGCTCAGGTGATCTTGGGCCCTTCTATTATGGGCTTGAGATATTTGGTAGGTGGGAGAGGCGTCTTTTAGCGTGTGCTTTAAAACAGGGCAAGCTGCTTTATACTGAGAATGGGCCACTGGATCTAGCTCAGTATTGTCAGCACTGACTAGCAATGGCTGTCTTAGGGTATCAGTCAGGGGGCATTCCCAGTCCGACCTTGAGATGTCAGGCCTTGAACTTGGGATTGTCTGGTCTACCACTGTTCTATGGGTCTTCGGCTTATACCTATCTAAAGAGTTCTTCCAATCACTTTACAAGCATGCTAGAAGCAAAAACAAAAACACCACGACCATCAACATTCTGTGCCACGAAAAGCCCTTGGGCAATTTCTACCATATGTAGCACCATTGTTTGATTCCAACATGGTGTAAATTGCTGCAGAGGCCATGTGGCCCTCCACTTTTAAAAAATTGGTTTAAGCAGTGCTTTTATTCTGGGGGTACTCAAGAGCACACCATACCAGCACCTTTTTTTAAAAAAAAAAAAGTTTAAAGTGTGGCACTTACTATAACAACTTCACGGTGAGTACTGGAACCTTCCCCCCCCCCCAAAAAAAAACACAACAACAACGACCCTGGGTTTAAAGGAAGATTATTGGAACCCTGAACCCATTTTCAGGGATGGGTGGATTATAGAGTATTTTAACCCTATATATTTATGTGGTGTTTTGTGACAATTTTGTCGGCTAAATAAAGGCAGCGCCTTCACAGTGGGGGGAATATAAGGTCCCAAAAAATCCGGATGTCAGAAAACCTACTCGAATCTGAAAAGCGCAAATTCAAAATAACTACTATAAACCCTAGAGAATCGCCGTGTTTTTCACCGGAAGTACCGCTCTAGTATTTCGAAACTCCATGCTCCTCCCTTCCGCCTCCATGCGCCCTTAATTCTTCGCGCGCCCCCTTCTCTCTGCCCCGCCGCTTCCATCTTTGTCACTGGCAGCGAGGCGAGCGCAAGCGGAGTAAGGTGAAGCCGGCCAGGAGGCCTCGGTTAGCCAGGAAGTAAGATGGGGGCTGGAGCGCGAGGGACGATTGCCGCTCGGTGACTGGCTCGGGCGGGTGGCCGAGAGGCCCCGCCCCTTGGCCCGAGGGCTTCGCCCGGACACCGTGAAGAGAAGCCGAGGAGGCAGAGCCGGAGCGGGGGCGAGCGCGAGGCAGCCTGCTAGGGGGCGCGCTGGGGTAGGGGCCGCTGCCTGGGGCCAGGAAGAGAGTGGCTCCTCAGGGGACGGGACGGCGGACGCCCAACCGCCGCCGGGAGGTGAGTGAGGGGCGCGGGGCGGGGCCTACGAAAAGAGGAGGGGCCTAGGCACCCTCTATGGGGGGCTCGTGGGGTGGGGGTGCAAGGTGCGTGATGAAAGCGGGAGCTGATGTTTAGGGACACCAAGAGCCCCCGAGATTCGTTTGTAGGAGGGGAGCAGGTATGTGTGGTGTGTTCAGAGTTGGGGGAAGGGCCCACGATATTTTATTAATTTATTTATACCTCGCTTTTTTCCCCCCGGTGGGACTAAAAACAGAAACAGCTGGCCTCGAGAGGGTGTTGTATGTATGTGTGTGTGTGGCCGGGTGCGGTGTCTATGTTATAAGGTTTAGGAGAGCGTTGATTACAATGGGGATGGACTCCTATTGGGGTGAAGAGGTCATGTGAAGGGGAAAGGGCCAAAGCACCCCATAGGGAGGAGGTGATGTTGTTGTTGTTGTGGGGAGTAGGCTTGTTCCTGTGAGGCAGATTACCGTGGGGGAGGGGGAGAGTGGAGAGGAAATACAGTGGTACCTCAGGTTACATACGCTTCAGGTTACAGACTCCGCTAATGGTGCTTCAGGTTAAGAACTTTGCTTCAGGATGAGAACAGAAATCGTGCTCCAGCGGCATGGCGGCAGCAGGAGGCCCCATTAGCTAAAGTGATGCTTCAGGTTAAGAACAGTTTCGGGTTAAGTACGGACCTCCGGAACGAATTAAGTACTTAACCTGAGGTACCACTGTAGGGGATGCGGGTGGCGCTGTGGGTAAAACCTCAGTGCCTAGGACTTGCCGATCGCATGGTCGGCGGTTCGAATCCCCGCGGCGGGGTGAGCTCCCATCTTTCGGTCCCAGCTCCTGCCCACCTAGCAGTTCGAAAGCACTCTTAAGTGCAAGTAGATAAATACTTTATAGCGGGAAGGTAAACGGCATTTCCATGTGCTGTGCTGGTGCTGGCTCGCCAGAGCAGCTTCATCACGCTGGCCACGTGACCTGGAAGTGTCTCCGGACAGCGCTGGCCCCCGGCCTCTTAAGTGAGATGGGCGCACAACCCTAGAGTCGGACACGACTGGCCCGTACGGGCAGGGGTACCTTTACTTTTACCACTGTAGTATTTATTACTATAATAATTTGTTGACCCTAAGTTTCCAGGGCAGGTTACAACTATTAAAACACAACATTAATATGAAAGCACAACATTAACATGCAACAAAAACATGAAACTTTTTTAATATAAAAAACCAGTTCAAAATTACAAAAGCAAGGTTGGTCATAAAAATATACTGTACATCTCAAGTGTCAAAAGTAGAAAACACAAATGCTACAAGGGGCTTGGAAGAAGAGGGGTGGGAATAGGGATGTGGGGTGCAGATTGGGAGCAGGAGAATGAGGATTTGGGGCATATGAAAAGAGTATTTGGGGGAGCAGACAGGGGACCAAGGTGGGTTCATTGGGAACTCTGCACTAGTTTATGGAGGAGCTATGAAGCAGACTAGAATTTGTTGAGCACATGGGTAGGAGCATGCTAAAGGTACTATTGGGGCTCATAGACTGTGGAGATGAAATTATGTAAGGCTTTGGGTGGGAGGAAGAGGATATGAGAAGGAAGCTAGTGCAGTCTTGTAGATTGTATAAGGATAGAAGTTGCTTCTGGAGCACAGGGGTTGCCAACCTTTTGGGGCCCATTTCAACCAGAGAAACTTGCAGGTACCTCCACGCCTGCAATCTCCTCTATTGGCTATAGTAGAATAGGTCTTTCAAGGCTGATTTCAGGGGTGGAGAGAGAAGGGAACCTCCAGGCACCAGAGAAGTCCTCTGAGGTGTCATGTATGCCTGTTGGTACTTTGTTGGCAGCCTCATAGGTGCTGATATCAGTTGTCCATCAATTTCCCCAGCTTATTTTTTCACACAACCATGTGTCTGCTGAATGGTGACAAACCTTGGTGTTTGTCACCTGAGAGCCCTTTCTTTTTCTCCTAAATAAGTTTCTAGTTCATGTATACAGTGGTACCTTGGGTTAAGTACTTAATTCGTTCCAGAAGTCCGTTCTTAACCTGAAACTGTTCTTAACCTGAAGCACCACTTTAGCTAATGGGGCCTCCTGCTGCTGCTGTGCTGCCGCCACGCGATTTCTGTTCTCATCCTGAAGCAAAGTTCTTAACCTGAGGCACTATTTCTGGGTTAGCGGAGTCTGTAACCTGAAGCGTATGTAACCCGAGGTACCACTGTATAAAGAGGTGAAAGCGGTGTCAAAGACTTGAGCATACCTGCCAAACTTACGACCTGCCGAGTGAAACAGACCGCCAGCCATTTATGGTGGCACCTTGGAGCCACAGCCATACTCCTGGTTCTGCTGCCTACCACCAAATGTGTTGAGAGAGAGAGAGAGAGAGTAAACAACCATTCCAGGCAACCCACAATAGGTTGCAAGAGAACTGCATTGGGCTTGGTGGGTCTCGAAATATGTAGAAATGAGCGCAGGAGCTGAGCGGACAGATTAGATAATATTTATGCTAATTCCACATACAGCAGTGTGCTGGGGTTGTATTTCTATAGCACTCTGCAGAGTGTTATGTGAATCTTGGTACTTTTGTCCTGCCTTGTGGAATTTTGCTTTGTGGCTTGTACTTATATACAGTGGTACCTCAGGTTACATACGCTTCAGGTTACAGACTCTGCTAACCCAGAAATAGTGCTTCAGGATAAGAACTTTGCTTCAGGATGAGAACAGAAATCGTGCTCTAGTGGTGCTTCAGGTTAAGAACAGTTTCAGGTTAAGAACGGACCTCCGGAACGAATTAAGTACTTAACCTGAGGTACCACTGTATTTAGCATGTGATCCAACAGTTTGAGAACCTACTCTAGAATTCACAATACCTGACTCTCTTCTTCTCAGTTTTTCTGTGTAATCATGTGACTCTGCAGACTTGCAAGCCATGGCCTTGTTCCATGGTAGGACTTGGTTCCCCCCACTGTGAACTGGGGGTGGTGGAGGGAGATGTTGAAGTATGTGCATTATAGAAAGGCTCCAGCTACTAACACCACAATATTTGTTTCTTGTTTTGGGGAAAGAAACTACGTAAATGTTAAACTACTTGGCTACTCTAAGTTCCTTTAGCCTTTGCAGAGATGAGTTCAGAATTAAAATTAGCAGTGCCTGCTGCCTTCCCAGTTGTTTGACTTCTTACTGTCCCTCAAGAACTGTGTCAAGTGGGGTGGGCCCTTGCTCAGCTCCTGTTCTGGGCAAGTCCCAGAGCCTTGTCTTTTTTTTTTCTCTGCTAGAGCACAAAAGCCCCAACTTCATTGGCCAAAGAATCACGTTTAGAGAGAGTTGCAGCTTTTTATAAACTTAGGCTTGTTTATACTGTTGAAGTGAAACATGTCCCTTAAAAAAACAAACTGGATTTCTTAGCCCGCTTCTAATAGAAGAATTATATGCAAAGCAGCATTCAAAAAATTAAATACCAGAAACTATCAAAAAGGAACTGAAAATATCAACAAATAAAATGCAACACTATCTTAAAAATAATAAATGCAGATGGCTATATATAAGCCAGCAGGCTGTAGAGAATGGGGATGGAGAGAAATGTTTAAGATATGGTGATGGTCACGACCTCAGATAGCTTTAGAGAGTTAGCCAAGTTCATAAAGTTCAGCAGAAAGCGATACTTAAGACTATTGAGCTCCACTCCAGCTCTTACTTTGTGTAACCACCTACAGGCCATACCTGTCAGGGGGACCATGAGCAGGTCCTCTCTTGATAAGCTTGGAGCATCTTCTTGGTGGCAAATACTGAGGAAAGTGTTCCTTTAAATACTTGAGTCTTGAGCTCTTCAGGGCTTTAAGTACCAGTGGCATATTATCTCTATGTATGCCAGTGTGGTGTAGTGGTTAAGAGCGGTGGACTCGTAATCTGGGGAACCGGGTTCGCATCTCCGCTCCTCCACATGCAGCTGCTGGGTGACCTTGGGCCAGTCACACTTCTTTGAAGTCTCTCAGCCCCACTCACCTCACAGAGTGGTTGTTGTGGGGGAGGAAGGGAAAGGAGAATGTTAGCCGCTTTGAGACTCCTGAAGGGGAGTGAAAGGCGGGATATCAAATCCAAACTCTTCTTCTTCTTCTTCTTCTATCTTGCTGCCGTGCATAACGACATTACAGCTACATTCTGCATGAGCTGCAGCTTCCCAATCATCTTCAAGAATAGCCCTGGGGTATGGAATCCCTAAAAGCATCCAGCTGGCCACTGCTGGATTAGAAAGACTCCCTTCTTAGAGTTTGGCTAAGAAGTGGATTTCTACCGTGTAGGGGCCACCACTAAGGAGGCTGCGTCTCAGCTGATTTGTAAACAAAGTGCAAGGCTACATCAGTGAATCTTGCAAGGTGGGAAGGAAGATGTGGGAGAATAGGGTTTCTGAGTTTGTGGAGGATTCTGACCATTTCAGATGAATAAGCCAATAGATTTTATTATCAGCCCTTATGGCAGCAGTTCTCAACCTGTGGGTCCCCAGATGGTGTTGGACTACAACTCCCATCATCCCTGAGCTCTGGCCTTGCTAGCTAGGGGTGATGAGAGTTGTAGTTCAACAACATCTGGGGACCCACAGGTTGAGAAAGGCTACCGTATGGTCTTGTGTGCATCTTATGTCTTAACCTCTGTGTTGCTCTGCTTACACCTCCCAAGTGCTGCCCACAGAGGCCAGGTCTCACTTAAAATGTATTGACACAAGTTATTGGTCTACAGTATTTGCTAGCTGCTGGTCCACAATTTACATTTGCAATTTTGGAAGAGCAGGTTAGTAAAAAAAAACCCAACAAAAACAACCTAATAACCTGAAGACTTATTTGCAAGTTTGCCATATTTTGCGCTACAAATGACGGTTAGGCTAGCCTTCATCTGCAGCAGGTGGAAGAGAGTGTGTGTGTTGGGGGTGTATTTTAAAGCTGCCTGAAAATAGAAAATCAGCAGAGTAGGGAAAAGGCCTTGGTTGAACTAGAACCTATTACCTGGTGACTTAATTAATTTCCTATTTTCAGGGAGCATTTTCCATCCCATTTGGTCGCAGCAGAGGGAGAGATAAGAAGCCAGGCGTCCATCAGCCCTGCTGTGGAGGATCTAATTCCACTTGACACCTCTTCACTTTTTTCATTCCAGAATCATCAAACTGGAAGGGGCTCAAAGGTCAACCCCTGCCAATGAAGGAACTTAGTAACTTTAAGAGCTTTTGCTGGAGCTGGGGAGGACCTTGAGCCTTGGCAAGCCTATCAAAATAGATCGTAATGGGCTAATTGGACGTTGATCTGGCTTGGCATAAGCCAGCTTCTTGCATTCCTATGCACACAGCTATAAATGACTGAATAGGACACATTTTCTTGGTTAGAGATGTGAAGGAGAGGAGCACGATGGTCAAAGAAAAATGTGACTTGAGGAAGCTCCCTCTTCCATCCGCAGAAAGTCCAACTTTGCCCTGTGGATGGACTTTGGTCTGTGCAGCTGAGATGGAATGTAGAACTGAATATCAGAATGGGGTCGGGGTTGCTTCTGCAGATTTCTGAGAATTTCAGCTGTCATTTAAAATCAGGTTTCTAGTCTTCAGGATTGTAGAGCAAAACTTACAATATTTTAGGTTTTGCAAAGGCATAAATGGTAGAGAGCATATCATCTACACTGGGGTGAGATTCTTGCCATGCTGGTGACCATGTTATCCCTTCGCCATAGCTCTCTTCTCTGCCTTACCTCCATCCCCTGTTAACACATAGTGCTTATTATGAAATATAATCTGTTCTCTTTACTTTACAGAAGGTTGGTGTCAGGAAGGGAAGAACTCTGACAGTTTGGCAATAGCTTGGAACTCAGCATGCATGGGGAGAGGATCTCATCTTTGCCCACAAATCCTCCTGCACTACATGTTCAGTAAAAGGTACCATTTAGTAGCTACATTTTTTGCCTCTCCTTAGATGAGTCCTGTTGGGAAGAAGGGAGATATATAAACCCAATAAATAAACATCTCTTCATCCATAATTTTGTGCTGCTTGAGAATGACTCAGTTCAGGCATCATGCAGCAGGCAAGCCATAGAGCCGAAATAAATTCCAGCAGACCTGACATGTAACTGCCACAGAGCAGAGGAATGGTCTCCCAGCCTCACTTTTTGGAACAATCATCAATATAAGAAAGGGGCCGCTACTATGTGGCATGCCTAATTCCCATTCCTAATAGCTTGTTGAAAAAGGACATTGAGGTCAATTTGTATTGAAAGCTGCCATTAACTTTTAGTGTCTTTATGTTCTTTTAGTTTATGCTGATTCCTAGTCCTTGTGTTTGTTGGGATATTTCTGATGCCAAAAAGAAAAAATAAAATTCTGCAATTACACCATGGCATTTTGGAAGTGCAGCCCTAATATCCCTGCAAATTAAGTAGCTGTGCCTGATTGATACAGCACACTCCATTTTCAGAATTTGAATATTTTGCTTGCAAAATTATCAGCAATTTTTTAAAAGCAATGAACTTTACATCAAATGTATTGACATAGTCCTCCCATCATTACCCTAGTTCAGACATCCTATTCTAATTCCCCAAATCATGGCTTTCAGCACATGTCTAATCAGAGGTAAATCCCACTGAACTTTGTGGAGCTTACTCCCAGTTAAGCAGAGCTACCATTGGAGCCTTAGAAGATCTGGAATGTGCTTCAGGTGTGTGTGCATGCTTCTCGCCTTGTGCTCACTGATTCCTCCATTCCCAAGTTTCTTCTGTTAATAGTTTGTTGTGTTGTCTGAAGTAGAGGTAGCACTTGCCTCCAATCCCTGGTTGGAAACCCTTGTTTTAAAGGTCAGGGCACTGGATATTGTAGCAAACTATGGCTAGAAAATACTTGGAAATGGAAGAAGGGAACTGGAGCCCTTGCCAGAAAGAGAGAATCAGAGACAGGAGCTTATGTCACATTCCCACATCTCCAAACTGGTTTGGGAGAATTGTCAAAACTGAGTCATCTGGAGGGCATCAGGTTTGCAAAGGCTAGTCTAGAGAATAAAATGAATTTGTCCAAGCTACACAGGTAAAACCTGAACATGGACCCGCCCAGTTTCCTTTCAATCCACTTCTGGGAAAGCTGTCAGGAAAGAGACCTTGGCTTTCTTCCCAGCAAATGGGCAGGTTTTCTAGAAGAGCCAGTTTAAGGTTGTGTTGTGAACTCAGAAGCAGTATGGACACCGTTGCTCCTGAGACTTTCATTGCTGCTCTAAAGGAGTAAGAAATGGAATGAAACATTCTGAGAAAATACTGACTACTAGTTTATATAGTTTGGCCCTGTCTTCTCAAAAGACAAATGTGTGAGGTTTTTTGTGACTTGAGAAGCAAAAAAAAAAAGCAAAAGCAAAACAATTAAAGCGATAATCTTTAAGAATGCTGTAGCATTTGGAATATGCTTGAGACTGTACTGAAAAGAAATACTGCAAGTTGTATCTATTATGTGAATTAGACCAGTTTGCACAGAAATCTTGTTTTGCATAATTCTGGTGAAAGGTGGTGGTTGGGCAAATAGCTGAGGTTCTCACTGTTACTGCTGCTGCACCATCACTGAAGATCATAGAAATCAAAGTGAACACTATAAAAGATTGCAGCACCTGGGAACTGCAAAGGATGGCAACTAGGTTATATGGTGCTCAGCTGATTAATCAGTTTGTTTTATTTAAAATGTGCCCTCAACTGGGTGGCAGATTTTTTCAGTATCTTTCACACAATTTAAAGGAGCTAGCAAAACCAGGTGATGTATGCCATCTTAGAGGCATTCCTACTTCTCTTATAGGAGGAAATGCCCATCTGCCTGCTAGGGCCTGTGAATACATAATCTGAAACTGGAAGAGAGTGCTTTTGTCACAACTGAGATCATCTGCAAATTTATGGAGACTTGATAACATTCATATAATTATAAATCAGCAGCAATTTCTTTTAACTGGGTGGCAATCCTAATCAAAACCTTTTGAGAGCTAATATTCTGTAGAATTGCTTTCCATGGACTTCTAGAATTGGCTCACAGCACAAACACCATGTGAGTTTGAGAGATTGTGCTGGCTGTGACTGATGGGAGTTATGATCCAAAAGATCCAGTCCTAAACATTTGGAGGGCATTGGTTTGACGAAAGCTGCTGTGAGGCCTGGCTGATGGTTGATTAAATACCGTGGGCAGGTTTGGGCAGCTGAGCCTTAATCCCAAATGAGCAGTTTGTCTAGGAATAATCAGTGTGTCCTTTCTGCCTCATTACTAGGGGGCGTCAGCCATGGAGGACAAGCGCAACATCCAGATCATTGAGTGGGAGCACCTGGACAAGAAGAAATTCTACGTCTTTGGCGTCTGCATGACCATGATGATCCGGGTCAGTGTGTACCCCTTCACACTTATCCGGACGCGGCTGCAGGTCCAGAAGGGAAAGAGCCTCTACAATGGGACCTTTGACGCTTTTGTCAAGATCCTGCGGGCAGAAGGGGCGGCTGGGCTCTACCGGGGTTTCTTGGTCAACACCTTCACCCTGATCTCAGGCCAGTGCTACGTGACGACGTACGAGCTCACTCGCAAGTACTTCTCTCAGTACACCAGCAGTAACGCAGTCAAGTCTCTGTTGGCTGGTGGCTCAGCCTCCCTCGTGGCCCAGAGCATCACAGTGCCCATCGATGTGATCTCCCAGCATTTGATGATGCAACGGAAAGGCGAGACCATGGGCCGGTTCAGAGTGCAGACCCACGAGGGGAAACGGTTCCCGGTCTTCGGACAGACGCGGGACATCATCGCACAGATCTTCAAGGCCGACGGGCTGAGGGGGTTCTACAGGGGCTATGTGGCCTCCCTACTCACTTACATTCCCAACAGCGCTGTCTGGTGGCCATTCTACCATTTCTATGCAGGTGAGAAACCAGAGCAGCTTTTGGACCTCCCTTCTGTTCGTTTCTCTGGCAGGTGATCGGAACTCACCCTCTGCCTTTGCAAGCACTATGCAGGCTTGGGACCAGAGGAACTGCAGGAACTGCTCCCATACAAACCCTAGTTCAAATGTTAAGAAAGCCAATCTGGCCCCTGCTCCCAGCTGCCTCCTACCTTCTGAGATGGCGTTGGTGGTGGTGACTGAAACCAGAACTTTTTAGGAACCTTTTAGGAACCAGAACCCAATTTAGTTCTGAGATTGTGGAACTCCCTTCCCAGATGTGTTTGGCAAGCATCTCATTTGCTCTTTTACGACTGAAAGCATATATTGTCAACTCAAACCATCATTCATTTGTTATTACGGCGTTATTATCTGCTCTTCAGCTAAAGTTTCCAGAGCAGGTTACAGCAATTAAAGCACAACATTAATATTAAAACACAATATTGCGCAATGTTAAAAACAGCTTTAAACAACTTTAAAATTACAACAATAAGTTGCTAAGAAGACACATCCTGGGTCGCAACCCCTATGTTACTTGCTGAACTCTTTTATTGGTGGGGGGTGGGGTTGCATGAATTTAAATTGCTTTTACAAGTAAGACCTGCAACAAAATGTTGCAGTAAGAGGCATTGTCCCATACAAGGCTCCTTCCAATTTCAAACAAGAGCCTTGTTGAGGCCTCTTGCAGAGGAGTTTCAGGAAGTGGGAAAGGGTCACAGCCTCTGCTGTGTTGTATAACTCTAGAGGGATTAGGTGAAGGGCTGGCTGCCAGCACCAAACCTGAGTATTTAATTGCTATATAGGCTTGTCTGAGGTGAAAAAGAAAATATGCCCTTTTAACCTTTTCTCTTAACTTTCCCTGCATACTGCAGGGAAGGGAGTTATGCCCCCCAACCCTATTCCTCCCCTTCTCCAAAGGTACAAGCTGTTGTAGAGATGAGTCAGCCAACTACCTCTCTCCCACTGCCCTCCATCATTCTCCTTTTCCTTTTTCAGTTGATACACTTAACATTTCTGTGTCTCAACCATAATTTAATTTATAGACAACCAGTCGTGTCTGATGTCTGGTTCCTTTGTGTGCACAGACACAATCCATTTTCCCCCTCCTCGGGGGTAGAAGTGAGAGCTGCCTATGGAAAATAATGGAGAAATCCAGGCAGCAGTATATCCCACTCCATCTCCGAAGGTAGCAGTAAAGGAAAGAGATCTTTTATTTGGCATTCTCTGTCTGGATCTGGAACTTCCAAATTCACAGTGGGGTGAGTTAGTATTACTTATCCCTATAGGCTCAATTGTTGTCAACATTCCATACCTTCTAGAGGCTTACAGGCCTTTGTGAACCTGTTTACTGGGCTTTAAATGTTTTTTTAAAAAAATAATTTGAGCCACCTTGGGAACCGGTTGGTGTAAAGGCTGTATATAATTCCCCCCCACACACACCCAATAATTGGTTTTGAGCTTTTGTTGGAAAAGCCTATCTGTTGAATGCATGTGCACATCTGAAAGATGAATGCCAAGGAAAGCTCAAGACTATTAGCTCATTTTGCTACAAAAGGCTATTGCAGCTAAGGGTATGTATACAAAAAGCCAAGTGGCCATGTTGCTCCTTTAGGGGAAAAACCTGTGGTATGAGTAAGAAGACTCCTTGATTAGCATAAGCCCCAGAATTGCAATGTATTCTGCAACCTTTCAGGCTTTATGGAATTCTTCTCCAAACCAAGTACTGGGTATAACCCCCTTTCCCTGAAACAACAAAGAAGTGGGTGGTAGAGAAAATACATTGCTGGGTATGATGGTAGCTCCCGTTTGCTAGTTGTGACAGTCTTGAGATGGAAAGGAAGCAGCATTTTGCAGATTTAATTAGGTTAGACTGTGCCTGGGGCCCACAAGTCCCGTACTGCAGCAAGACATCCTGTGATAAATAAACAATGGCTGCTCTTTGTTGACTAAAAGGCGGGGGGGGGGGGGAGAGAACATGAAAGTTTGCATGTTACTCTGGGATTACCATTTTAAAAACTGGCCTTAATAATGATACTGTCTCACTAGGAAAAAACAAAAAACATTTGATACAAGTTCATATAAAACAGCCAGCCACTAAAGGGTTCTGTCTTTCCTTTTTATTTAAATGCTTTGCCTGGTGCAGTTGGAAAACATTTGGCAAAGCACCAGTAATCTAAAACAGAAAAATGTCACTTCGCACCATCCCTGCCGGATCTGAGTTTTCCATCCAGCCCAGCCTTTTCCCCCTAACAGCAGCTACCAAACAGGTGCTTCCAGTTAGGACCAGAAGGCAGCAGCCCTCCCCTGTGCTCTGCCTTCACCACCAGCACAGTGAGGTAGATTGCCCCTGACTGTGGAAGCACAAATGGCACCCCTATATGTTGGTATACATAACCTGGCTCTCACTCCTCTTTCCAGAACAGCTTTCTAGCCTGACACCCAAGGACTGTCCACACTTGCTCCTCCAAGCCATATCTGGGCCAATGGCTGCTGCGACAGCTTCCACTCTCACCAACCCCATGGATGTCATCCGGGCTCGCGTGCAGGTAAGAGCATCCTACGGCCGAATAAAGCATCATTTTAAATGATTACCTTGGCAGGGGCTCACGTTAGACTAGGCATTCCTTGGTGGCCTCTCCTGTGCTTGAACTAGATGACCTTCAAATTACTTTCCAGCTTTGTGATCCTGTCCATGTATTCAGGTCTCGTATTTTACAGGTAAATTTCACCATTTTGAGTCCTGCTCAGAAATGGAAGGATGCTGAGGCACTGGTGAAGTTTGGTTCTGTTAGCTGGTCCCAGTCAGCTGCTTCTAGTGTCTGCGTTTTGGACTAACTGTAGCTTCTAGTCAGAACCTTCAAGGGCAGACCCTCAAATAATGCAATGTGGTAGTTCAGCCTAGAGTTTTCCAGAGTACGGGTTGCTCTTGGCAGCCTATTTCTACTGAGGTGGTGGTTGCGGGTAGTGCAGCAGCCTTAACTCATGAAAGGTGCTCTGCGGCTGCTTGGGTCTTTTGTGGCAAAGCTGGATTCAAGACTGCCTCCAGAAGGTATGTTTGAATGTTTAGGGCAGCCTTTCCCAACCTGGTGCCCTCCAGATATTTTGGACTACAACTCCAAGTCAGCCAGGTTGGGCATTTAATTCTGCCAGAGTACTGAAGCTCAGCTGATTCATACTGTACTTCCAAAGCATTCAGAGTGCATCAGTCATGTAGTGTGAGGTAGAAAAGCACCTGATCTGGGGAGAGCAGTGGAAAGTCATCTCTGCTGCACCACTGCATTTCTGATTAATCCTGAGTGCCTCTGAAAGGCAGCATCAGGGTCTGCTTCAGTCAGGCTGCCCTCCCACTGCCACCATAGGGCCATCTTTACTTTTCATGTAAGTTGTTTAAGTATTTTAGAATTGTAAACGTCCCTGGGTGCCCACGCAGAAAGGCAGTATATAACACAACAGATAGGCAAACATGACGTTGGAGGTTGGCCCAGGCTCTTGTAGGTGACAGGGCAGTATCTTGGCAACTGCACATCTAGGCCAGCCACACTTTGTGGGCCCCAGGCCAGGCAGTTGAAAGCTTTATAGCTGAGGATTCTGAAGTAGCCATGTGTTATCTTGGCTACTTGTGCGTGAAAGGCAGTCTTGCTTTAAAATATGTAAATAAAATAGAAATACAATCAAAACATTGAAAAGAGAATGAATTTGGCACAATTCCATCGTTTCTGTAACTTACAGTAATGGCCCGAATATAAGCTACACCTTTTTTTCCAAATTCTGACCGTGAAAAGTTAAAGTGCGGCTTATATTTGTGATCTTACCAAAATTGGCTGAAACAGACATACAGTGAACCCTGCCCTTAACTCTTTCAACTCCTGCTGGAGCCCTGGCGAGCAAAGTGCTGCCACTTCGCGCTTCCCACTGTTCATCCCCGCTGTCGGGGGGGGGGTTGCCCACCCAGTGCTGGGAGCAGTGTGCAGTGGGACGGCGAGTGCCGGTGGGGGCTGCCACGCTGCCGCCATGCGATCCCCCTCTGCCTGCCTTGCCGCTCGCCACTCCGGACATAGGGTGGGCACCCCCTGGCTCCATTAACAGTGGCAGGGCAGGCAGAGGGGGATTGCACGGCAGCACTGCCATGGCAGCCCCTACCGGCACTCGCCGTCCCACCCTGCCTGATGTAGTGTGAGGAGAGCTGCGTGCCCCACTCAGAATGTCTCTTGCCCATCTGGCCACTGCCACTGTTTCTTTTTCTTTCCAATTTTATATTGAATTTTAAAGGTGCAGCTTATTTGCAGGTGTGGCTTATATTTGGGCCAATACGGTATCTGGATCTTGGGCTTTTCTTAGTATTGAATATGGTTGTTTTGATGGGTGGGGTGGGTCGTAGAAGCATAGAACTGTAGAGCTTAATGGGACCCCAAAGGTCATCTAGTCCTACTCCCTGAAGTGCAAGAATCTCAGCTAAATGATACATGACAGGTGGCCACTCAATTTCTGCTTAAAAACCACCAAGGAAGGAGAGTCCACTCTTGGGAGTATTTTCCACTGTCAAAGAGCTCGTGACATCAAAAAGCTCTTAAAAAAAAAAAAAATATTGTTAAAATAATTCAACATTAATACACATATACTACAAATATACAAACATACATACATACAACATACCTACAACATACCTACACTCAATCCCACAGATAATTCCTTTTCCCATCACCATCCACCACCCCTCACCCCACCTTTGTGTTAGATTTCCAATCTACTCAATTGCAGTTTCTTTCCACTTTTATTACTTTCTTTCACACACCTTTAACCTAATTTCATACTTCTTTTTCTATTACACATTGTTATCCATCTTATTTAGTATTCCAGTATTTGAAACGAAACTTATTTTTTCTAATAGGAGTTCTGATTTTTTGATATAGTTTTGCAAGTATCTTTTAAACACCTTCCAGTCCCTGTCTGTCTTCTCTTTTGAGATCCTTCCAATTTCTCCCATTGTTTTGGATATATTGTAGTACTCCAATAATTTTGGCAAGCCACTCTGTTTTTGTTGGTACAATACCACTTTTCCAATTTTTCGCAATCAACAGCCTTGCGGCTACTGTTGCGTATAAATATAAGGCCTTGTCTTCTTCCTTTAGGCTTCCTGGTACTATTCCCAATAGAAAACCTTCTGGTGTTTTCCTAAATGAATATCTGAACATTTTTTTCATTTCGTTATATACTGTTTCCCAAAATTGTTTATGTTTAAACAATTCCGCCATATATGTATCATAGTACCTTTTCCAGTGTTGCATCACCAGCAGACATCAGAAAGCTCTTAACTGATGTTTAGTTGGAATCTCCTTTTTTGTAACTTGAATCCTTTGGTTCAATTCCTAGCTTCTGGAGCAGAAGGAAACAAGCTTGCTTGGTTTGTCCAGTTTTTTATCCTGTGTTGTTTCCATGTGAACCTCTGACTTTGTGGCTGTTCTTTTCTCCCGCTCAGGTGGAAGGCAAGAGCTCCATTGTTCTCACTTTCAAGCAGCTGGTAGCAGAGGAAGGGCCCTGGGGCCTGATGAAAGGCCTCTCGGCCCGCATCATCTCCGCCACCCCTTCCACCATTGTCATCGTGGTGGGCTACGAGACTCTGAAGAAACTGAGCCTCCGTCCAGAGTTGGTGGACTCGAGGCACTGGTAGCAAAACTGGGGAAGGGGGAGTCGGACTTGGTTGTGATCTCTTGGACCATTGGCATGGTTGAAAAGCCACCAAAAAGTGAGCCCAGAGAGCTTTCTAACAAGTATTTGTTAGTGAAGGATTAAATGCAAATGAAAGTCCCCTTTCCCAGTATTTGTCTACCCCTTTGGATTGATTGCAGCATTCTGTAAAAGAAAGCACCTACTGTAAAAACTCCTTGCTCATATGTGAAGGAACCCCGGCGCCTCTTCTTTTTTCCTTTTTGAATTAAAAGGAAACACACCACAACTAAACGAATGAAGCAAAACAACACGATCTTCTGAAAATGCGTTTTTATTCTTCGTTTTGCCAAATTCCTACCTTGGAAGACTTTGTGCGATTTGCCGCCACCACCCGTGAGCTGCAGAAACTGCCACTTGCAGCAGCAACAGTACACACCTCCTGGAAAGAAGTCATTAGTAAAAAAACAAAAACAAAATCCCCTCAGACACCCCTCCAAAACGTCTACAGATTTAAGATTTGAAAGCGGGGAAATATACCAAAAGCAAGGAGTTCCTTTTGAGAGTCTGCAGCAGTAGAAGTGCACAGTTGTACTTTTGGTACGTGCATGCATCTTCTGGGATTAAAGCCCTCTCTGGGGAGGACGCACCCTTTATTCTGTGGCCTTTGCAAATGTGAGTGTTAAAAAAAGAAAGAAGATTCCTATCCTAAAATTGTTTCCCCTTTCCTTTTAAGCACAATGAAATCTGCTCCCCTCCCCCCTTTTAGGATTCTTCTGAAAGGCAGAACATAATTATCTTGCTGAAAAGAGTTGTATAATACTTCCTTTTTGATCTTTGTACAAGTATGTCCCAATCACTGAATGAGTGTTTCATGAAAGTGTAGTAACTGGGAAGGAGCTCTACACCTGCTTTTGCAGAGGGCAAGAGTGGAAGCTTCTCCTTTTGTCTGGGCAGGGCAGCCTGTTGAGACTGCAGCCCTTTGCAGGTCCGGCTCCACCTTGGTTGAAGTTGCTTTGTGTTCCTGTTTCCTAAGAGCTTTCAGCTGTTGGGCTAGTAGGAGAAGCAGGGCAACCCCCTTTCCAGTGATGGGCGTCTTTCCATTTTGTCCTCCCATCTTGCTTGTGTCACTATTTTTTCTATTGTGACTGGTGCTGATTCTGCATGTTATTTTTTTTTACCTTGCTCCCCTGTGTCCACAGTGCTTTTGTAGCCATGTTAAGTCTGTGAAAGGCTGCTGTTTGGGGAGTAGAGGTGGTAATACCATGTTGGATGTAAATTCACTTGTTTTAAAATGGATTACGGGGGTGGGCATCTTTGGAAGCAATACATGGGAGGTGATATTCTCTGCACTTTGGACCTTTTCTCTAAAGTAAGCAAATTTTTTTTAATATATAAATATATATTAACTTGGATCAGAGTTTACTCTAGTGCCATAATCAGGAACCAAGAAAGGGGCTATGGATGGACCTCGTACTCTGCAAATAAGTAAACCCTGTAAACACTGTACTGTGGAAATTTTTTGGCATGTTGTGGGCCCTGGAAGCAGAATATGTGGGCCAGTCTGTCTGTCCCTCCCCAACCCTCTTCTGATGCCTTCCCTGTTCCCCTGAACCTAAATGCACCCCAGGCTGAGGCAGGGAGGTGTGCTGTCCCAGACAAAGGAATGGGGCAGGGGGTAGAACTAGACAAACAACCCACTTCCACTTAAGGGCAGGAAAGTAAGAGGGGTGAAATATCCCAAACTTGGCCAAAATCAGCTGTAATTAGACAAAGTCTTGGACCTATCACCATAAGGTTTTGCACCCCATATACTTGGTTTAGTTCTTAGTGAGGCGGTAAGACATGTGCCTGGGGTGTAGTAGTGCAGGTGGAGGCTCACATGACTTTTTCCCCATGTTCAAACCTCACAAAACCCTGCCCATAGAAAGCCAGTTTGCTAGTTGAGCTTCCTTCTTAATGGGTGGTCACTCCCCCCCTTTTTTAATTTAGGACTAGTCCATGTGAGCCCCTCCTGAATCTGAAATGGTACAGCCCAGATAAGGTTTCCCACTCAGTCTCTTAGAACTAGGCCTTTGAGTGTGGCATGGGCTTCTGTTAGTTCCAGTGGTGACCTGTTGGAGGACTGAAGGATCCCCCCCCCCCGGGGGGGGGGTTAATAAAGCAAATAAAATTAGGTGACCTTGGAGTCCTCATACTGCACGGTTATTTCATAGTCGGCAAATGCACAGGGAGCAGAACCAGGTCCACATTTTGGCTGCCTAGGAGTAGTGTTGACTGTGCAGAATACCCCCAACATGCCGGGAATTGTGCTGAATTTGATTTTTGCCAAGTGGGAGGCATTTTTGACTCCCCTTCCCTTGGTAAGAGCAGCAGTCAAAACATATTTCTCTCTCTTAATTTGTACACTTTTCTGTATTTTTAAGTTTCACAATAAACCTCCATTGCATTTTGCAATTGTCTTTGATGGGAGGTTGTTTACATGGTGATGTGTTAAGAGCACCTATAGGGTGTGGTGGATTAGCTTTTTCTGCGGAAGGGGTGGCTAACCCTTGATCCAGGGGCCTGATGTACTCCACCAGGTAAAAATTTCTACCCCTTTGGTGGCAAAAGAATAAAATAAGGTAGGCACAATGTCCTGCGTGCTTGCATGCAAATGTGTGTGCTATAGTGTGGGGTGCCACTCCTGGAGGGTCCCAAAAACATGAGCCTCTCCTGCTTCTAAGCTAAAGTGGCAAAGGAAGATTATTATAATCTCAGGGGAGTTGGATGGATTAATGCCCCACCCCTTTGAAAAGCTGCTGTGATGGTTTTGCAATGGTATGTTACTTATGTCAGTTCATCTGCTATACGACCAACCCTTATGAAAATGCTTGGAGCCTTATCAGTGGATTGTATATAGAGTAGCCAATCCCTCGTGCTGGTTAAATGATGAGCGGTTTGTGGCATGTGTTTTTCCTGGTGAGGTCCTCTGCATATCTCAAATACAAATAACCACTTTGGGCTGAAATCTCATTCCATTCTTTATCTTGACTTTGTTTTTTAAAGTGCAATGATACTCTGAATTATTATTTTTGTTTCCAGTCTTTAGTACACAGAGAATCTGTAGGGAGCTCCGTTGAACGGAACTGGGGAAGCTGTAGTGACTACCTTTAAAACAGATGCAAACATGATCTGAGCATGGGGTGCGTAGGGCCAACAGGAAATCTTCGGCAGCCACAAGAAGTGAGGATTTGCCTGTCCGTGTCTTCTCTAAATGGGAAAAAAATCCAAACGATCTCCGATATCTGTGCCTGCTGTTTCAATATGGAGTTTGAATGTATTTGTGTACATTAAAACAGGTTTCAATTTTGCACTGTAATAAGTCTTTGAAGTGTAATTAAAGTTTTTATTATTTATTTGACCCTTTTCCTGGTGAATCTTCTTTTGCTTATGGTGTGGAAACAAATGACCTTTTACGCTCAATAGGGATGAAATGCTCCAAAATCAGGAGTGGGTAAATATTTGGCCCTCCAGATGTTGTTGAACTGACAACACTGATCAGCCTTGGCCAACATGGCCTATGGTCAAGGGTGGTTGGCGATGACATCTAATAACATCTTGACAGACATACGTTCCCTGTTTCTGCTTTAAAACAATGGCTTTCCGACTGCTGCTAGGCTAGCCTGGGGATTTGGAAGATTCTTGGGCACTGAAAAGATGGCCTGTGGATGAGCAGAATTCACCACAAGGCAGTTTGCCCTGCTTTTTAATGATCTTTCCCTAATAGAGCAGCTGGAAATGAAAATGAGGTATTTTTTAACATAACTGCCGTTTATATGGGGTGGTGTTAAGGTCAGACAAACCTCTCCAGCTTCCTGTGTGTGCACACTTCCTAACCCTCTGCACTGTGTACAGGTTCCATGGGGGTACTTGGGGGCCCTGGGGCAGCTGAGTCAGTGAATTTACTGAGGCGCAGTGCCAATCCAAGATCTCTGGCTCTTGCTCTCCATCATTCCTTTGCATATTAAGATTTCCCTCTCACATACTCTCTTTTGTCACTTTGCTGTTTTGTGCAGCGTGCTGTTCTCACAGTGCCCAACCAGATTTAATCTGGGAAACCCATAAACAGAACCTGAGTGCAATAGCACCATCCCCACCTGCAATTCCTAGCAGCTGGTATTCAAAAGGCATACTGCCTAGAACAGTGAAGGTAGACCCAAGCCATTCAGAGCCTTATCCTCCCATGAATTGCCCCACTTCACTTTTAAAGCCGTCATAGGCAGGGCTTGCTTTTAGCTGGCCATTCCAGCCAGCCACTGAAAGGTCAATTTTATAACTTTTAATTACAGGCACCTGAATGATCTCCCTGTCCCTTTCTCTCGCCATTCCTTTTTTCCGTTTGGGCCATTCAAGGTTATTTGGCTATGTCTTGGCCTTAATCTCCTGTATTCCTTAGAAAAACTATAGGTGCTTTTTAAGAATTAATAATACCGTGCTAGCAAGGTTGCAAAAAGAAATAATACTGTACAGTCAAGTTGCCAGGCAGCCCTACTCACGCCGTTCAGTAATGCCATATACAACTGGCCAGTAGAGGGCGGCATTGTACTTCGCTTCTACGTTAAAGGCTTTTCATTGGACAAACGGGGAAGCCGCGTCCAATTAAATAAAAGCTTAGGTCCTATCGCCTCTTCGGTGACCACAAATCACGTGGGTGGGGCCGAGCGTATAAAACTGCCTCGTTCCACCAATCGGAAGCAGCGTGGGCATCAGTGGGCGGGGCTATTGAGGGGTTTGGATTTGTGGCGGGCCCAAAATGGCGACTGAGGTGGCTGAGGGGGTGGGTACCGCTGACGGGGAGAAGGAGGCCGCCGCCGATGCTGCTGTTGCTGCTGCTGAGCCTCCGAGCAACCCCAGCCGGGAGCAGCTCCTGGACTACATCGTCGACGTTTCCTTGCGGAAGATTGTGGAAACGGGCAGGTAAGGCTTGGCGAGAGCGGGAGGAGGCAATTCTCGCGATAGTTGGCTTGGTGTTATGAGGAGGAAGCCTCGCGAGATCTAGTGGGGCAGGTCCCACGAGAGTTGTTTACGCGGAATTCGCTAACTCTTGAAGTTGGCTGGGGCTGATGGGAATTGTAGTCAGCCTGGAGGGAGCCTGGCTGTGGAAAGACGGAAGGATGCTCTGAGCAGAAAAGAGGCTGGGATGCCCTAAAGCAAAGTCGAACAGAAAGTCTCTTCCAGGGCTCTTTGACTTATGTAAAAAAACAACAACAAAAAACGGTTGCCATATCACAAGAATATATCAAAGCTGTTTACAACGGTAAAAATAAGATAAAGCATGAAATAAAAGCACAAACAGTTGAAAACAAAGCCCAGTAACCCATTGTTGGTGGTGTACTCTCCACAGGCCTGGTGGAATAAAAAAGTTTTCAGCATTCATTTAAAAACCTGGCACAGAGGGCACCTCCCTGGAATGTTTTTGTTCACAGGATGAGGTACAGCAGAAAGGTTCGTGTTAAATGAGTACAGTGGCAACACAAACGATGTTGTCATGAGCTTAGATTAGTTTTTTAAGGGCTTGATAAGCGCTATGAGGAGGGTCTCCTTTAATGGAACTTCCATGGCCAGAGGTGATGCTGCTGTTGCAAACTTTTTCCCGTTAAAAGTCTGGAGTTGCCACCCAGTCCAATTCCCTTTTCTGGCGAGGAATAAGTATAACATGAAAAATTACGAGTATGGTGTGTGTTTTTGACTTAGAAAAATGGAAATTTTTCGAATATAAACACTGTAAATGTTTAAAGCATATTAATCAGTAATATTGAATCATGCAACATCAACTATATCCTGCTTGGATAAACACGAAAATGAAAAGTTTACATGTTATAAAATTAGGTATCTTTCTTGACTAAAATCCTATTTAAGCAGTGAAAAGAAAAGGAAGGAGAGGACAAAAAAGAACAAGAATATACAGAAATGAATACTTGATTATGCACCCTACTGCATAGATAATAGAAACAACGTGCAGGGTTTTTAAAACGTTGATGGCATTTTCTTTCTCTATCCATAGCTACCATAGGTTTGCGAAGTGTTACAGTCGTCTTTACAAAGTGCAACCCGAACTCACCAAGTGTGTTTACAATCAGTTTATCTCCCACCTGCAAACCTCCTTTCGGGTAAGGTCCAAGGAAGAGCACAAAACCCTTCCTTATAGGTTCCAGTGCAGCCTGCAGTTCTTGTTTTTCAGAAAGGGGTGCAGATTTCAGTGTGGTGTAGTGGTTAAGAGTGATAGACTTGTAATCTGGGGAACCGGGTTCGCATCTCTGCTCCTCTACATGCAGCTGTTGGGTGACCTTGGGCTAGTCACACTTCTTTGAAGTCTCTCAGCCTCACTCACCTCACAGAGTGTTTGTTGTGTGGGGGGGAAGGGAAGGGAGAATGTTAGCCGCTTTGAGACTCCTTTGGGTAGTGATAAAGCGGGATATCAAATCAAATCCAAACTCATTTTAAATAAATAGTAAACCTGGAAGGATTGAACTCTTCATTCACCAGCTTGATGGTTCAGTCCTGCATATGTGATGTGACTAGACTGCAACATAGTAAATAACAACTGATATTACTGTGAAAACAGGAGGCCTGTGTGTGTGTGTGTGTGTGTGAAGTCCAGTGAGAGAATGGTAATGAGGTTCATATTCATGTCACATCTGCTACAGGGAGGGAGACGGGAGACCTTGTTGTGAAAAGTTGTTAAACATTATTGATTATTGCAAACCTCTTGCAGTTTTGGCCTTAGATATGTCAAAGGCCTTTTACTGTTTGGGGTGGGATTATTTGTTGGCTGTACTTAAAAGGCTGCAATTTGTCCCTAATTTTTTAAGAATATTAAATTAAATCTATTTCAAAGCTACAGCCACAACTAGAATAAATAGTTTGGATTCGGGTCCTGCGTGTGTATCCAACGCATGGACCTTCGGCAGTACATCTCAGAGAGGCATCAGATGTTACAGGTGTGAAAATTAAACTCAATAGTACATTCTCAGGTTATATGTAGAGATTGTGTGTCTTGGTTTTTTTGTGCAGGAGGAGATCCAGGACCTGAAGGAAGAAGGGAATCTCAGTGTGCTCTTTAAATCACTAGATGAACTTGCGGAAGAAGCAAAGAAAAGGAGTACCCCTGCATGGTAAGGAGTGACTCCCTTGGCATAAGAACTGCCTGGCTGGATTGACTCTGAGGTCTGTCCTGTCAGGTAGCCTCTTTTCACAGCAGCCATTTAGATAGAGCTGGGAAGCAGAGGGAGATGGCAACTTCACACACACACACACACACACACACACACACTCCGCCTTCAACCTTTGGTTGTTTGGGGTCTGGTAGATGGCCTCTACACACGTTTCACACATGACAGCTAGAGGTCATGGAATTGTAGAGTTGGAAGTGACCCAAAGGTCATCTCCCCTAACCCCATGCAGTGCAGGAATCTCTAAACACAATCCCCCATCCAATTGAAAACCTTACCATACCCTGCTTAGCTTTGCAAATGTGCCAGCAATTTTATAGCTGCTTCACTGATGGGGACTGAGCAGCTAGGGACCTCCTGCATGAAAAGATAGGCTGCGGTCCCTTCTGTGATAAGGCACAGACTACACCTGTGGCAGCACCAGTGTTTTGCCAGTACTTCTGCATATCAACAGGCACATTCTAAAAGCTGGTAACTTCAATGCTTTCCTATATCTCCTGCCTCTAAGCCCATTCCTTGTTCCTCTAATGCAGACCGAGGGCCACTCCCCCTTCTGCGAAGCATTCGGGGGCCACATGTCCACGTTGGGCAGGGCCAGAGGCAAAAGTGTGCAAAGGAACAAAAGTTAAGTTTACATTTGTCCAATAGGCTTGTTCTACTCACAGCACTTGAGAGGGATGGCAAGTGGGACTGGTGAGGCGTATGCCCTGAGGAAGGTCTCGAGGACCAGACAGTGAATCCCAGGAGGGAGGGGGCACATTTGGCCTCTGGGCCTGAGATTGCCCACCCCTCTTGTAACGCCTTCATTGAATTCAGGCGTCCCAGTGGAATCCCAGAGAAAGACGTCCACAGTGCTGTTGTGCCGTACCTTCTGAAGCAGCGCAGATTCCTACAAAAGGCCATAAAAGAAAAGGAAGAGGCGAACTCGCGGTTGGCTGAAGCAGTGCTGGCTGGTCGGAAGAGAATTGCAGACCTGCAGGAGGAGATCAGAAAGAGCAAGGAAGAGTGGCAGGTAAGTGGAGCCTCGCAGGTAGCATGCCCATCTGTGCATCAGGATAATTTGCTTGGGGCACATCAACAGAAATGGAAGGACAAAGAGAAATGTACCCTCCTCCCCACACTTGTCTTCAAACACTGATGAGAAACATTCAGTCAGGTGGAATCCTTGCTGAATGAATTTGTTGTTCTCAGTTGGCTTAATGGACAAAAGAAGGAGCCAACCAAGACTTCTCCAGGAAAGGAGTCATAGAGTTGAGTCCCACAACCTGATTTCTCGGACCAAAAATGTGTTATCACACGTCCCTGCCAATTGTACCACTAAAGGCAATGGGAGACAAAGCGAGGCCTGAGATGGGCGGCAGGTTCACGGGAGATGAGATGATCCTTTAAGAATCACAGTCCCACACTATGTAGGGCCACTGCGGCAAGAGGAGTCTTCATGAGTAATCCCATATACAGGACTCATTCTCCAAATGTGGATCTTTTGTAACCAAAATAGTACCATCCACACATAAAGATGGAAGCAACTGGCTAGCTTGGAACAGAAAATACAAAGGTGCCAGTTCTTAAAGTTGCACATCTTACGATATTGCTAAGTTACAAATTTTCAGAAGGAAAAAGAATCCATAATGAGAACAGATTGATTGCGGCGAGGAGGAGGAAATGGGTGGAGTGGAGTGTCCTGGAAAAGGGCTTAGCTGGCTGGCTGGAAGACAGCACACTTACACACTGCAACATTTTGTTGTGGGTTTGCTTGTAAAAGCAGAATCTGGTCACAGCATTTTGTACCAGCTCAGGTTTTTGGACATTTAAAGGATCACCCCGCTGGGGAGGACCAAAGCCACAACAAAACTGCCCTCAGACCCTTCCCAGAACCTAGAAGGAAGCATTTTTACCCTACTAAGGAGTCAAAAAGGATCCCTGAGAAGCTTACATAAGATCAATAAGAAGGCAGCCCTTGCCTGCAGACTTACAATCTAACAGAGGCAATACAAATGGGAAAGAGGTATGTTGAAAGACTGTTCTTGCTAGCATTTAATGATTTTTCCTTCTTCCTTTCCAGGCAGTTGCTCAAGAAGGTCAGCAGATCGTGATCAGCCTTGATGAGCTTTAGCGAGGAAGCAGAGCCTTGCTGGCTCCTCACGAATGGAGCCCAAGCTGAAAAGGTGCTTTGGAAGACTAGGATCCCAGCCCAGGACTTGTATAGGCTCTGAGGTGGAACTAACAGGCCACAAGTCTACTGCAGTGTGAGACTCATTGGTTTCCAATTCTTGCAGAGTGTTGCTTTCACAATCCTGCCGCTGGACTATTTAAAAAAGTCTTTGCTGTGTGTTTGGGACCTGGACTATATGACCACACCCTGGACTGTGCAAGCTGCGGGGGGGGGGGGGGGCTTTTTTATTTTTGCAGCTGCTTGAACCTTCCTTTTCCCTTGGTCAAGGTTCATTTGAGCCCTTGAAATCCTCATCAGGAAACTGAGGCGGAGGTCACTTCCCACTGCAATATTCTCCCAGATTTTATTGCATCTCAGTTATTCTCTTTTCTTTCTGTAAGTTGCTTCCCTGCTTCTGTTCCTACTTAACACTTCTCAAAAACTCCATCTACGTCTTGTCCACCATGAAGCTCAGCCACTGGTGAGTCAATGGTAAGGGTGCCACAAAACAGCCCATGTTCACAGCAGAATCATTGGGGTGTTTGGGGGGTGATCTAAGCAGCAGCACCTCCCCTTTCTTAGTTTGAAGGGAGCAAATATTTGTTAGTTACTGATGTATAAAGCAAGTACAACCAAACCTCTCCTCTGAAATACTCTTTGTGTATGTGTAACTTTTGAAGCAGATTAGAACTGCATTAAAGTGTTGCTACAATTTCTGCCTTGCATTTCTTTAACACAAATATTGCCATCTGCCCAAGCTGGAGTTGCAGTGAATTGTGCAACGTATTTCTGCTGTGACTGAGCTGAGTCTTCCCCGTCGCTCAGAGTGGTGGGCAAGATGGACCTTTAGCCTGATCCAGCTGGGCTTTGCTTAGGTTGAGTTGTAGCAGCAGTCAGAGTGCGTAGAAATCTGCTTTATGCGCCACCCATTTTCTTCTGGGGAAATTCTTGGTTGCCAGCTCCCTGCAATGTGAATGTGCTGGGTATGCTTTGGGTATGCTTTGCTTACCAGTGGGCTAAAAGTGAGGCCCATTTGAACTGCAACAGGCAGGACTTCCGTGGCAGAACTGATCAGGTTTCTCAATAATGCATCCATACAGAAAGGGTTTCCCGGAGTGATGGAATACCAGTCCCCTGAGGCTAGAGAAGGAAGGTGTGTCTCTATTGTACATGTCAGCATCTGCTCCCAATTTGATACAATGTTTGTGTTTGGATGTAAAGTCGACCCAGTTACCCATATTTTTCTTGTATAAACATGGGTTCCTTGATTACACTGTAAATATAGAGCGGATGCCAAGCGGTGCTTGTTGTTTGGCTTGCGCCACGTTCCCTGTGGCCAGCGTGGGATGTCTAGGAGAGGTCTTGGCTGCCCCGAGTCAGCCTCATCTTTTCCAGATGCAGTTCCAGGAGCCGGGGAGCAACTGGGAACTCAGGAACCAGCACGTAGGATGTGAGGAGTGCTGAAAACTTAAAGTTTCCTGTAGAATGCCACAAACTTGGAGGCTTGTCATTGCAAACAAACTGCAGGGCAACCGGTTCACTGCTGGCTGGCATTCCATTTCATGCTGGCTTGTCTATAGTCAGGGCTCTTGGCTCCTCACTACTGCTAGAATTTTGCCTCCAGGCCAGGCATATTTGGCACCAAAGATAGCTGAATTTTGTGACACGTATACATTATGCAAACTTTAATATATTTTTCCTATAACTTGTATTTGCTAGTCAGGGGAAGGGGGACGGCAGCAGATCGCTCCCCGCCCCCCAGCAACAATACCCAGTGATCCCTGACTTCTGAGATTTTAGCAAGCACATTTCAAGGGTCCATTCTAGCCATAACAACTAGAACACAGATGGGGAACTTGCAGTTCTTATGATGCTGCTGGACTACAACTCCCATCATCCTCAACCAACATGCTGAATTGTCAGGGATGATAGGAGTTGTAGTCACCAACATCTGGGGGGGGGTCACAAGCTCCTGTGCCTGGTTTAGAAGCTTGATATTTAGAATTTCAGGCATCTGTTTTAAGCATAAGGTCTAGCTGTAAAATATTGAGGTGTAAGCAGAATGCAGTTCTTACCTCTCTGGGTGAGGAGATGGGGGGCCTATTGCCAAATCTGCTTAAGACAAGCTGCTGCCTCTTGGCTTCAATGCACAGGCGAAATCCTGTCTGCATTTCAGGGATAATACTGATCTTATGGGCCTCTTGAAATGCTTGTGATGGAATGTAGGAAGCATGCCATTTGTGCATCTAGCTCATTATTGCAGCTTCTGTCCAGAGTTCCCCACAGGGCTCTCTCCTGGAGATGTCAGGAATTGAACCTGGAACCTTCTGCTGCTAAGCTATGTCCCTTCCTATGGTACGATGTGCTGAGTTTTCAGCATTCTGAAACATTGCATAAATGCAAAAGCTATTTATTTTTAGGGGGTTAGAATTCCATGCTGTTCACCCCATCCCAGTATTGTGACAGTGCCTGGTTTTGGAGCAGAATAGGGGTGGCCTTTCCCAGCTCCAAAACAACATTAATCCAGTACAACGTGGCACTGGAGAGAGAGAGAGCCTGCTTTCTTGGCATGGTTCTCTTCCCATGCATCTGCTAGCGATTTGCATCCAGGGCAAGTGAGGGCGAAATACCCCATCCCATTTCCTCTCCCCAGATCTGGAGGCCATCCTGGGGCTTTGGAACTCAGCAATATGGCCTGCTGTGAACGGATGAGGGAAAAGAAGGAGCCAAGGGCAAATTAAATCTTTGAGTTTCTCTTTGGCCCTGAACACATCCGCATGGAAAGGAAAACCCCACAAATCTCTGCAGTTTGTGGGTAAATTACAGGCTTACAGGCTGTTTCCCCCTTGTTGCCAGTTGCTCTTGGCCCAGAGCCAGATCTCCTTTCTTCAGGGGCAGATTTCTTTAAGGGTGAGGCGCAGTCCTTACATGGAAAGGACTTCTGTGTCGCAAAAATAGCATGGAAATCAAAGATGACTGCCTGTGCGCCTATTTCCTAGGTCTGAGCTCTGCTTGCAAGCTGCTGTTATTGCCCCCTGACTTTATGTAGGTAGCCCTCCTAAGCCAGCTCCTAGACCCTCCAACCATCTTTCCCAGGCATTGAATGTGGTCCTCCAAGCATCTCTTTCCAGCCTCCTAGACTCCCCAGACCATGTCCATCACTTGCCCCTGCTCTACACTCTCCTTAAGTGCTTTTTTTGCCTGGCTGGGATGTTTGCAATGACTGCAGCCTCCTGTTGTGTCACCTTCATTCCCTCACATCCACCCAGCGCTCTGCTGCCAACATTATTCACCACCTTGTTACTTTGATGATGCCATTCCCTCCCAACCCCTTATTTCCTTACACTGGTTTTGTGTCTGCTCCTGGAACCTTTGGAACCCTCTGTGCCTCCCTATCTCTGTGTTTATTTCTAGAGAGGTCCCATCCTGTGACCCTCACTCATCTATTGCCACCGCCCTCCGTCACTGAAAATCCCTTGTTCCCTCAAATGACTCCACCCATTTCCTCTCACTGCCTCTTATGCCTGGAACTCCCTCCTGGAACATCTTTGTGTGACCACCTCCCTTCTTTCCTTTCAAAGTCCCTTCTCCAAATTTACTTTTTCCAGGAAGCCTTTAGATCATCCACACCTTGGTCCCTAACCCTCTGGCCAATCCAAAGTACATGCAATTGAAACAGCCACATATGCCTCCCCTGCTTACCTGTGTGCCTCCATTCTCCCCTTCCTCTGTTGGTTGTTTCTTGTGTCTGCTTTAGATTGTGTGGTATGATAAGGTTAAAGCACATAAAGTGTTTAAAAACCATATTGTCAGAAAAGCACTGTTTAATGTCTGGATAAGATATAAGGACTTGCTTGAAAATAAAACCCCAAGGTGGTTGTCACCAATGGAAGCGAAGGCTCAGAAAAAGCTCAATATGGAGGCCAATTGGCCGAAATATTGGGAAATTTTGGAACAAGAGGGAGACAGATTAAAACTGCAGAGTTTTGAAAAACTAAAAAATAGAGTGCAAGACTGGCTCCATTATTACCAAATAATGGAGGCATATAATTTGGATTAAAAAATTGGCTTCCAGGTCAAAATTGGAAACAGAACTGTTAGATCCCAAAACTAAGAACTTGTCAAGAATGTATAACTTGCTGTTGAAATGGAATACTCAGGATGAAACGGTGAAATCAACTATGATTAAATGGGCACAAGATGTAGGACATAATATTATGATGGCTGACTGGGAACAGTTATGGACCACAGGTATGAAGTTTACGGCATGTAACGCCTTAAGAGAGAATATAATGAAAATGATTTACAGGTGGTACATGACACCAGTCAAGCTTGCAAAAATATATCACTTGCCCGATAATAAATGTTGGAAATGTAAAGAGACTGAAGGTACATTTTTTCACCTTTGGTGGACGTGCCCAAGGATTAAGACATTCTGGGAGATGATTTATAATGAAATGAAAAAGGTATTTAAATATACCTTCCTGAAGAAACCAGAGGCCTTTCTCCTGGGCATGGTCGGCCAATTGGTGCCAAAGAAGGATAGAACTTTCTTTATGTATGCCATAACAGCAGCAAGAATACTTATTGCAAAGTATTGGAAGACACAAGATCTACCCACCCGGGAAGAATGGCAGATGAAGGTGATGGACTACATGGAACTGGCGGAAATGACTGGCAGAATCCGAGACCAGGGAGAAGAGTCGGTGGAAGAAGATTGGAAGAAATTTAAAGTTTATTTACAGAAACATTGTAAAATTAAGATGTAAGCCCTTGGGGCAAGGACCTGGCCTTCCTGTTATTTGTAAAGTACCATGGTGCTATATCAATTAAGAAGAATAGAATCGGATTATAGGAAGTTACGTGAATAGAAACATCCAAATGCTTCGGCACCATTTTACCTCCCAAACTAATTGCTTATATCTGCCTTGCGACAGCCCTCAAAGATCAAGAAGTAGAGATTGAGACAGAGTGGTATGTCTAAATCCACCTTCTGTGCAGTGCTCAGATTGCAGAGAGGAAGAGGGGCTTAAACCCACAAACCCCACTTCTCCCAATTTTAGTGAAACCATACCTCTAACCATGTCTTGTAAAACCTACAGCTTAAGCAGGAGGCTGGCTTCACTGCCATTCACAAACTCTTAGTGAGTTCATAGCAGGGGCGAGATTCAGACTGGGGACTTTCCTGATGCATTGCACTGTCTCTTAACCAAAAACCTTTTATGGGAATAATAATTGGAGGCATGTGAATTGATGACCAAAGCAACAGCTGAAGAGGAGCTTTGCTGCTTGCACCTGAGCTGCTGCAGCACACCAGGAGGTCAAATCTTCGATCCACACACTGCATTAAAGTTTATTCAGCGTAAAACACACAGAAGCATAGAATTTTAGAGTTGGACAAGACCCCAAGGATCATCTAGTCCAGGGGTCTGCAACCTTTAAGACAAAAGAGCCACTTGGACCCGTTTCTGAAGAAAAAAAAACTGGGAGCCGCAAAACTCGTCATTATAAAAATAACTTTTTGTCACTTTTTTAATTATTTCTTTGTTTGACCCCTCAGAATTACTCCTCCTCATAGAAATAAACGTTAAATTAACAAGTTACCTTTTTGTGTGTGTGTGTTCTTCACTCCCCTTCAAAACAGTGACCAGCGTACATGCCCCCTTTCAATGCAGTGACCAGCGTACATGCCCCTTACAATGTAGCGGGCGGGAAGGTGACATCGGGATGGTGCGTGACTAACGCACGCACCGCCACCATGCGACGTCACAACCAGTACAGCGCCCGCCACAGTGGGGAGTGTCGGGGCGCACAATGTGCCTCCTCCCCTCGCTAGTATCCGCCCCGGAGCCGCGGCAAAGGTGTAAAAGAGCCACATGTGGCTCCGGAGCTGCGGGTTGCAGACCCCTGATCTAGTCCAACTCCCTGCAATTCAGGAATATGTGGCTGTCCCTTATGGGAATCAAACCTGCAACCTAGGTGCTATCAGCACTGCGTTCTAACCAACTGAGCTATCCAGGCTGACTTCCCCCAAAGAATCCTGGGTTCTGTAGCTTATTATAGGTGCTGGAAATGGTAACTCCATGAGGGAGGATACTACACTTCCCAGGATTATTTGGAGGGGAGTCATGTGCTTTAAATGTGTTTCAAATATGCTTTCCAATATATATTGTGTCCCCAGTCTGCTTTGATTTGAAACCTGAGCCACCCAACAGCTTGAAATCTAGGTAGCTGCCTTCCTTCCTTCCTGAGCTTTGGGTCCCCAAAACACCCCAACTCCCAGTGCTGCAAAAGCATCACGGCTTACCAGTCTGACTGTGGCGTCCACCCTGCCCTGCCCCTTCCTTGCAGGCCAGTGAGCTTGCCTTCTCCAGATGATGTCCTTGCCCCCCAAACCACAATTACTGCTTGGACTTGGCAGCCTTCCTGCCCAGCAGATGGGCTCCAAAATAGACCTGGCTTCCTGCCCCTTCTGAGGTTGGAGCGAGGAGGAAGGAGGAGGTCCTGTGGGCTGTCCCTCCTGCCAAGTGGGCTGGGGGGGGGCTGGGGGCTGCCAGAACAGTATAAATCAGGAGCAGAGACCCAGGAAGGGCATTGCAAGAAGCAACTGGAGGAAGCAAGCAAGCATCTCCAGACCTTTAGAGAACATCTCCCCACTAGCAAACAGCATCAATCAAGATGAACAAGTTGATTCTGGTGAGCTTCCTGGCAGTGGCCACGCTCTGCCTTTGCCAAGCAGGTAAGTGGCCAAACCATCTCTGGGTTATGATTCTCTATGTGGCCGCAGATGGGGTTGCAGGTGCCATCAAAGTCCAGTCTTCTCAACGCACCTACATGTGAGCAAATCTAAATATTTAGACAAGAAATCACAGTTTTAAGATTGTGGGTATTTCCAGGGTGTGCCAGCTTTTTAAACAAATAGAATAACCTTTAGGACCCAGAGATGCCAACATCACTTCAGATTCATTTCTGCCTTCAAAGGTGACCCACCGTTTCTCTGCCCCCCACCCCCCTCCATGCCAGTGGTGGTGTAGCGTTTAGAGTGTCGGACTAGGACCTGGGAGATCAGGGTTCAAATCCCCACTCAGCCATGAAGCCCCCTGGGTGACTTTGGGTCAGCCACTGCCTCTCAGCCTAACCTACCTCACAGGGTTGTTGGGCAGAAGTGTGTACACCACCTCAAGCTCTTTGGAGGAACGGTAGGGTATAAATGAAATAGATAAAGGTTACTATTATTCCAGGGGACGCGGGTGGCGCTGTGGGTTAAACCACAGATCCTAGGATTTGCCGATCAGAAGGTTGGCGGTTCAAATCCCCACGACGGGGTGAGCTCCTGTTGCTCGGTCCCTGCTCCTGCCAACCTAGCAGTTCAAAAGCACGTCAAAGTGCAAATAGATAAATAGGTACCACTCTGGCGGGAAGGTAAACGGCGTTTCCGTGCGCTGCTCTGGTTTGCCAGAAGCGGCTTAGTCATGCTGGCCACATGACCCGGAAGCTGTACGCCGGCTCCCTCGGCCAATAAAGCAAGATGAGCGCCGCAACCCCAGAATCGGCCACAACTGGACCTAATGGTCAGGGGTCCCTTTACCTTTACTATCATTCCTGGCCCTTCCCTTGGCTGCAGTTTCAGCAGGCATTGCCTCTGTACTTACCAAGCTTATCTCAGTCACAAGGGTATGACATTGTTACATTGAAAGCTGAGGTTCTTAGGAAGTGCTCAAGCCCAAACCATGCCCTTGGGTGACAGGCATTACAACTGTTTCCTGATGCCTCACTTGGCCAAGGGGCAAGTAGCCTTTTGCTCACTGCAGTTGCCCTTCTTCTCCTTTTCCAGATGACTCTGCCCCCTCCAACAGTGCCAACGACTCACCCAGCTCTGAAGGTCAGTTTATCTCCACTTTTATTCCTTTCTTGCTTTTTTATTATTTTTATTTTTAGATAATTGCTTCGAAGAGACTTATATCTGTAGATGTGACCTAGGTTTGCAAACTTGGAAAATTTGAGGGGGGATAGAGGGAAGGCGGGAGAGCTGTAGCTGAGTGGTGATGTGTTTTGCATGCAGAAGGTCTCAGATTCAATTGCCCACATCTTCAACTAGAGCTGGGTGGGAGAAGGCTATCAAAAGAGCCATTGCTTATCAGTGTAGACCAGAGCTTTCCAAACTGTGTGTCGCGACATGTTAGTGTATTGGCTGCAGTGTGTCGCACAAACACTCCCCGCACTCTTTCCAGGGCTGGAAAGGGGTTAGTTTAACCTCCAGTTTGCTAGTAAAACTGAATTACTCTGTCGCGAAATGATGCATATCCAAAAAGTGTGTCCCCAACTTGAAAAGTTTGGAAAGCTCTGGTGTAGACAATACTGAGCTAGATGGGCCACAGCAGCTTCTTGTGTTTCTAAAAGTATGGAAATCTCTCTTTTCCCTTTCTGTTCCGCAATGAGGGCTAGAATCACGTTGCTTTTCAAAATGAAAACGGAGACTGTCAGGATCCTTGGTTTCACTCTTGAGCCACAAGCCCTACTGATGGCAGGGAGGAGGCAAACAGGGAGAACTCCTCCTGTAGAGGGGTGAGGCAGTGCTGTTGATAAAATATGCGACTTTTCCTCTTGCAGCTTTTGTCTCCAGGCGCGTCAGTGCTCAAGTAGTGAAGAGACACAAGAGGAACTATAACAGGTAAAGATAAATGCGCAACTTGTCATGAGCTAGAAATCTGGGGTGGGTTCCCTAATGGCTTTGAAGACGCCTCCATGAGGTCCCAAACATGGGACAGAGAATATTTACCCAGATAATGTCAGCACAGGGCTCTGTAAAGCAGCTGTTACTCTCTCTGCTGCAAGGATTGGCTGGATGCATCAAATGTGCATTCCAGTTGGTGGAGAAACAGAACCCAGGGGAAGAGTATGCATATGAAGAGGTGGGACTATGCAGATTGGAGGGGAGGACTAAATGGTGGGAAATGGAACAAGGGGTAGATTTAGCTCCTATCCCTACAGTGTCTGCTCACCTTGCAGCTCTTTGCTTTCTCTGACACAATTGTTCCTATTCACTCCTCTGATGGAAAAGCGTAACCTTGCAATTAATGCAAAATCTCCAGCCCCCACCCTGGCATCTAGTGGAGGGGAAGAATTTTATTTCCATTTGTGCTTAAAAGTGGACCTACTTTCTGAAACACAGCTGTCTTTTGAAATGCGCACGTCTTCAAATTTTGCAATGCAGTCCTCCAGCCAATTAGTTAATGAATTAATTTCATTAATTAGAATTTATAGGCTGCTTGCTTTTAAGGGGGGGAAAACCCTCAAAGCAGCTTATCAAACAAATAAAAACAATAAAATTACCAATAAAAAATAGTTAAATCCAGCTATTCAAAACAATGTAAAATCTATGATAAGCTAAAAAACAAATTAAAAAACATGTCAACGTTCTACTTAACTGGAGAGGCTTGCCCGAAGAAAAATGTTTGTACTGTAGCAGGCACTGAAGAGAGTGCAGTGGAGGTACCTGCCTGAAGTCAAAATAGGCAGGGAGTTCCAGAGTGTGGTGTAATGTATACAAAATGCATATACTAGGGTAAAAGTGTGCATAATCATTACGTTAGGTTTTTGCAAATGTTTTGCAAAAATGTATACTGGGCAAAATTAGGAGAAATTTTACAATGAACGTTGAAGATTTTTAATGGGGATTTTTGCATTAAGAAATGTGTATCTTGCTAAGCTAAAGTTTTGTATACGTGGATATCCTTTGGCATACTGAGAACATTTTGATATAGCCCCAAATGGCTGCTCAATGCTCCAACCATGGCTTCTGCTCCCTGGCAGGTTCTACAACGCCCGTGCTGCCCCAACCCCAGACCCCCTTGAGCCCCTGCGAGAGGTTTGTGAGCTGAACCCCGACTGCGACGAGCTGGCCGACCACATCGGCTTCCAAGAAGCTTACAGGAGATTCTATGGGCCAGTATAGAGACCCTGCTCAAATTCTGCCCGGTGTGTGGGACAGAAAAGAGGAGAGTCCCGCTCAGAGACCAGCGTCTGGGGGGGGGAGGGATCTACTCGCTTTGGTGCTACGCAGTCCTTGTCTCTTAAGATCCATGCCTTGAAATACCCTGAACAGATACAGCTTGTAACTACTGTGCCTTTGCTTCCTGGCTGCCTCTGTAATATGCTTGCTTTAAAAATTGTGTTCTATGAAGAAAATATTAAATAATTTAAAAACATAAGCACGCTTCTTTTCTTTCACTGAGCTATGTACATGATATGCTTTTTTGGTGCTACATGGTGCTGTCCTATGCAGTTCTGTAGCTTTCCCCAACCTGGTGAGCTGCAGAATTTTGGACTACAATTCCCAACAGCCCCAGCACTGTACACTGGGGCTGATGGGAGCTGAGGTGCAAACTTCTGCAGGCCCCAAGTTTGGGGGAAGTTGTATGCTAAACTGAGATATTCTGGTGGTGGTAATGGTTAGATGAGAGATGGAGGAGGCTACCACTGGATGACTGGGTTACGTAGATCTTAAATAAGGGCATAAATACAGCCTGAGGATAGGATGGAGAGGCTCACAGCATCCGCATTCCCATTGATTTTGTTTCCTCACTGGGTTTCCAGGGAAGCCCCAAATCACAGATTTGGGTCCAGCACAGAGCAGACATTCCTCTGTGTGTGCAGCTTCCAGGATCAGCCAAAACTCACCCAAACACAGCCCTGCTTGGCCTATTGTTCTGTTCTTGGATGACATGGCAGCCAGCCAGGTGAAGTGGGAAAAGACCCAACCATTTGTCTCTATGGCAACAGAGATAACTTTTTAAAGGTGCTGATGATGGGTATGTATCTAAGGCCATTACCTTAACAAAGGAAATGGTTTGCTTTGGGGGTTCTGGTTTTCTTTTACACATTCTAGCTTCATGTAAGCCTGGAAGGGATGCATGGGTATAATCTAGACTGACCCCCTTTCTATAACAATCTAATACACTGAGGCCAGCACTTAGCATTGTGGTTTGTGGGTGGTCAAAGCACAGCATAAACAATGAATTGTTCAAATCTTTACGCCAAAGATAGGCAACCTCTTTTCTTCAATTTCCCTTCTGGGTATCCTAGCAGGGGCTGAATTCTGGTGATGGGTGCAGCCAGAGTTCAGATGATAGGCAGAGCCAGAATCAAAAGTGTTCCCCGTTTCCTTATAGGGACTGTTTTTCACCATGGTCATATGAGAATTCCCAATCCTATGCATGTCTACTCAAAAATCAGTCCCATTGGGTTTCATGGAGTTACTCTCAAGCCAGTAGAGGGCATTTGCTAGAAAGCAAATGAAAGCACTTGTCTTCTGACTTTAGGGTACTATGCACACACACACACAACAGAAACCTACCAATTTGTTGTCTCATACAGCCAGTGGCGTAGCAAGGTCAGGTGGTACCCGGTACGGAAAATTTATTGTCACTCCCCCCCCCCGAAATGAAATTATTAAAAGAAGGAAAAATAAGAAACTTACAGTTGCAAGTGTTATTTTCTGGTTTATTTACTTAACATTGTGAATATAAGCACTTAAACTTTTCCCCCCTAACTTTCTCTGCAAAAATTTTTTTTAATGCTTTGTTGGTTTTAGAAACTATGTAACATAAGTAAGCATCAGAAAAAAAATAATAATCAAACATTGATTCCAAAATTCTTTTCAAATTACATCTTGCACTTTGTTATTTTCCGATTATTACATCTTAGCTTCTGTGTTTGTTTTCTTAGTTGTGTTTACTCTTCCTAGCAGCTTTTCTATCTGTACACCCAAAACCAAAGCTTCTGTTTGAAAAGTGGGGTACTATGGAGTGTTCGCAAGAAAGACCTAGCATTAAAGACGGGTATCTCTCACACAATGTTAAATTTACATACCTCTTGGGACAAAACAGGAAGTTGTCTACCTTTCCGTTGTTCCAGTATATCTTTGGACTCGCTTTATCAAACAAAGACACCAGCCAGGAATATCGGAGCAAAACAGCAGCCAGCGGGCTTGATCTTTCTTAAAGAAACTGTTGCAACAGGACTTCCCCGCCTAACGCAACAAAGGAGCAGGAAAAAGCCCCAAACCAAAGCGCGTTCCAACTTTTATCAGTTCCTACAAAACTACCTGCAACACCCCTAAAACTACATCATGCATACATCACAATTTTATCACATTTTGGGAGGGCCTGGACCTGAAACCTGAGCATCAGGTCAGCCTCCCACCCCCTTCCGTGATCTCCACCTTACACCTATTAAGTAAGGGAAAAAAGAACAATTTACAAGTTCCTGGCTTCCTGGCCAAGTAATCAACCCCCCTATCCTGGCTAAGGATCTAGCCCATTCCCAAATGGTCTGTCATCATTGTTCGTGGGATGGCTAGCTGTCTGACACCTATCTGCCAAGGTGTCAGGGATTATCTCTGGTGGGAGAGGTTGCTGAGAACGTGGTCTTATGGTGCCCTGAGGATTATGGCTGCCTTTTCGTGCAACCCAAGTCCACCCCCCTTCGGTAGCCATCCTTTCCCTAAGTAAAACAAAAGTGGTCTGGTGGAAATCCGACGAACGGCTGATTTTATAGAAATATTTGAAGTTTTCCCATAGTATAGAATGCGTGGTTGAATGTTTCTGGACCCTGAACTGGGGGAGGAAGGAAACGATTTATTAAAAATGGATATATCGTAGCAACAGTGGCTTTTCGTCATTGACCTTGTTATGAATGTGAATGGAGATAGATGCTGAAAGTTTGCCTGCAGTACCCTTGTGTTTCTCTTCAGGGAGTGTTCTCAGCTAACATTTATTTGGTTCTCCTTGGCTCTGACAGGTTATTTGAATGTGTTGGTTCAGCCATCCGGACTACCCAGCTTGTAGATGAGTGAGGCAGCCTTCTTCATTGAAAGTGTGTGTCTGAAACTGCCCTTATTTATGGGAGTCTTGTATTTAATTACAAAGAAAGAATATGTTCATGGGAATGTGTGCATAGTGTGGTGCTTTGCGGGACATTTGTTGTGGAGCTGGGATGGGAAGTACTTTCAACGTCCTGTTTTTCCCTTCAGCCAGGCCTGGAGGTGGGGGGAAAAGATACCGAAAATTTTGACGAGGGAAAGGCAATGGGGCAGATTTGTCAGGCTTGTGCAGGCACGGCTTGAAGACTTTACACAGAGAGGAACCCCACGCGGGTTTCCCCGCACATAACAGGCAGGGAGCCAGCTCATATAGAAAGACAGCAACCATTTTATTCGCTTTTTAAGCGCCGGCTACATCCATCGCTTCGCTCACACCCTACCTCTCCTTCTGTGCGTTCCAGGGCTTGGGTCCTGAGCTGAGGGAGCTCTTGCTTCTTTCCTTCCAGGTCCCCAACACAATGGGACTTCCTTTTGAGCAGACAAGTCTAGAGTTGTCCATAAACTGCAATTCTTGGTAGTGGTGTCGTGTGTGTGTGTGTGTGTGTGTGTGTGTGTGTGTGTGTAATTCTAATTTTCAGTACATGTCCTTTGCGCTTAGGGAATTAATGTGCCTTGAATATACAGAATATTAACCTTTGGGCAGCTTCAATCAGATATAGGCACGCCTTCACTTAGGAGCGTTATTAAATCCAGTAGGTCTGCGTAAACATGCTGCAAGATCCTTTTCCACGTTTGTAGCACCGCCCCCAAAGTGAAACTCTAAATCAGTGGTGTCTGCAGATGGTTTTTCCAGGTCATGTGGCCAGCATGACTGAGCCGCTTCTGGCGAAACCAGAGCAGTGCATGGAAACGCCGTTTACCTTCCTGCCAGAGCAGTACCTATTTATCTACTTGCACTTTGACATACTTTCAAACTACTAGGCTGGCAGGAGCTGGGACCAAACAACAGGAGCTCACCCCGTCACGGGGATTCGAACCACCGACCTTCTGATTGGCAAGTCCAAGGTTCAGTGGTTTACACCACAGCGTATTATTATGCACAGTCTGCATATTAACATATGTCTGTCTGTCTGTCTTTCTCACTCTCTTTCTTTTCTTTCTTTTTTTCTTTCAAAAACCTGATACCAGATGCTTGTCTTCTACTGTCCAGGTTCAGGGTGGGGCTGTAGATTGATTGTATGTGGGGGTGGGGATAGCTGCTTCATGGGTCCATGCTTTTGTGGGTGCCATACCCCTGAGAACATTGACGTATCATCACTTGCTTCTGCCCCACAGCAGGAGCTGTGCTGTGCATGACCAGTATCTGTTTGTGTTTTAAAAATTAATGCTCAGCCCTTGGATCACCTACCCAGAGCTATGAGGAGTGAGAAGGACTCAGGGGCCAGGCATCTGCTTTGCATGCAGAAGGTCCTGACGATGCAGAAGATGCAGGGAGAGGTTTATCTGAATGCTGCCTAGGACGGGGTGTCCTGGTGTGGTCTGTATGCAGTGAAGCAAACAGAGGAAGATCCCTATATGTTAACAGGGAGAAACCCGTGTTCTCTGTAAGGAACAAAGTGAATAAGCATGAGGTTGTACATATGTTCTTCTCCGTTATTTGTTTATGAAAGTAAAGTTTCTTTTGGATATAAAGAGTCTGGATGCATCACTTGAATGCACACTTTCCCCTGTGACATGTGCACGTTTTGTAAACCTTAATTGGAGAATTGCATTGCAACATTCATGTGGTTTCGTAATGAAAAATTTCATTTTGTTTTGGTTCTCGTATTGGTTTGGAAATTGAGGATCAGATAGATTCACTTTTAAAGGCAAACCGATTTGATTGTCTCCCCCGTTCCTAGGCAGGGTAAAGAAGCCTCTTTCTGCTGACTTCATAAGGACTCCACGCACAGGCACTGCAAAAAGTACATGTTTTGTCAGTCTGGGTGTTCCTCCAGTAGATTGGAGTGTAAACAGTCAGCAGGGAAAATCAACAACAAAAGAATGTTTTATATCACCTGTTTATTGACTAGTGAAGCAGCAAAAGTCACCAATGCTTTTTGAATAAAAATGTTGACAAGTCAGAGTCGAGCGGATAGAAAAGGAGGAGGAGGAAACTGCGAGCTCAGCCCACTCTGGAAGTCATGATTTTTCTTTTTCTTTTTCCATTTGGACTATTTTTTCTGTCTTTATTTTTCTTACATTTTCAAAACTGGTTATGTTGGATAATCTGTTTTTTTTTCCCCATTACATAACACTAATGTGGTATCGGATCAACAGTTTAGCAGGAGAAGAGAAAGAAAGCCATTCCATGCAACCAGAGAGTGGATTTGCCAATTCAGAGAATCCAACAATTCAACAAATGGAGGTGGTGTGTTGGATAAGCAGAAGGAAGGAAAGAAAGGAGGGAAGGAGGGAGGGAGGGTGTTTGGTTCTCCCTACACCTTCACTTTGCCCTAGCCTAGCTGGCTAAAAGGAGGTGCCAGAGGGGAACTCTCAGTGGAAGATGTGCCAACCTCAAGGGCCCCCCAACTCTGACTCAGCAAACTGAGGGTTGCTTGGCATGAATGGAGGAAAGATAGATAGCAGAGGAAGAAGGAAGATTTATAAGGGAAGAGTAATGCATGGAAGAGCAAAGATGAAGTGTTGGCCGCAATGGTTCTTGTTCGGCTCATAATGTGAGACCACCCAGGAGTAGCCAACATATCACCAGAAGTGAATCCTCACGGCCGAAGACACTCAGACATGGGCTAGAAAAGTACTCCATCAAAAGCTGTAGAAAAGTATATGACTAATACATCTGGCAACATCACTTCAGTGATGACCATGGGCATCTTGGAGGAATCTTGGAGAACCACCTTGGAGAACCAGAAATTAAACATTCTTAAGCATACTTTCAGACATATCATGGAATATTACTCATGATGGCTCAGATTCCCTAATAAAATATTATAATAATATCTAATTTAATGTTATATTTTAAATTGTTCTAACCTACCCTGGAATCTTAGCACGCAAGAGAGGTAATAAATTAAAACAACATAGGTTTATAAATCTTAAGGAAGGTAGAAATACATTTGTTGTGAAAATTCTTTTGAGCCTTAAACAACCCCAGAAGCACCACTGATTGGATGTAGAGATTTGCAGGACTCTTCCCATAACTGATTCTTATTTGTCTAGAAACAGAAAATCATACTGAACAAAATCCCAAATCAATTTCTGCTCTGGAGTCAAACAATCACCCTAATAAGCGATTCAGTAAAAGACCACTTACCACGAACTGAAGAAGGTAAGTGGCAGAAGAGATGTCAGAACGGAAGGTGCAGGTGGAAAACCCCAACACAGCGAGTCCTTTTATACACATTCATTTGAAGCTGGAAGCAAATAGTTTGATGTGATGACATTAATTTGGCTAAGTATACGACCTGCTCTAGATTGCACCAGACTGTTCCTAGCCATCATCTGGCTAAGTGGAATATGTTCCAAGATGCTATCCCACATGCCAGGTGACGCCTTGCCTCAGGAAGCTGTTTTGCTTAATTTTCTATCAGCTTCAGCCTGGATGTTTGTTGTGTTCCTTTTAATGGGATTTGGGCAGTGCCAGATTTACATATGGGCTGAGTGGGCAGCAGTCCAGGGCCTCAAAATCTAAGGGGGGGGGGGCTCAGCCTCTTTTACTAGTAAAATCTGCCAGTTTTTGTTGTTGTTGTCTTTTAAAGCAAGAGTTTATACAGTTATACAGTCGTATCTTGGATCCCAAACACCTTGGTACGTGGACATTTTGGCTCCTGAACGCCACAAAGCTGGAAATGAGTGTTCCAGTTTGTGAACGTTCTTTGGAACCCAAATGTCCGACGGGGCTTCCGGGGCTTCTGATTGGCTGCAGGAGCTTCCTGCAGCCAATCAGAAGCCACACTTTAGTTTCTGAATGTTTTTGAAGTCAAACGGACTTCCGGAACGGATTCTGTTTGACTTCCAAGGTACGACTGTACAAGTGTGTACTTACTGTTTAGTAAAGTTTGTGGAGGCTTTAAAGCTACTCAGAATCAGATGAGAAAGTCAGCTATGGAGCAGTTCAAGTGTTCAGGTCACTGTGCATCATTACAGCATGCGTTTTGAGAACCACTGGGGTTTTTTTTAATAACATTGTGAATCACAATAATACTTAATTCTGACTTTTGTGAAAGTAATAATGCGTAAGCGCTACGAAAATGATGCTAGTAAAAAAAGTGACCCAAAACAACAACAACCCAGAAGGAAATATTCAAACTTTTAAAGCCAATCACATCATATGGCTTTGTGCAACATGCAGGAAATGACCTACATAATCCCTCAGATACAGAACATTCACCAGTACTAGGAGGTTTGGAAAATGTTCTGAGTGAACTGAAAATTAAAGAAGCACCTGGTGTATATACAAAATGAGGCTGAGGCTGAGGGACCGAGTATCCCTGACTGGGATATTTGAACCAAATGCCTTGCAGGATCGAAATCATATTATCTATTGTAGGTGGAATTGAAGACCTTCCAAAATCTCTTTGTAACTTGGAAGCTTCTAAAGTCCTCTGGACCAACTCTGTTTGTGGTTTGGGGCCGAAAGCCTTTGCAAAGAACGGAAGGCAAAAGCCTTACTCAGACGTTGGCGCAAACACCTGAGGGCTTAAACTGAACTGGGAAGGCAGAATGTGGCTGAACAGGCTGTTTGCCTTCAGCTCTTCTGAGTTAATGGAGTACATTTCCTGCTTGGAGCACAAAGCCTTGGCCAAAGCCTGAATTATATTCCAATTATCCCCCTGTCATTTTTTATTATTAAAAGACTTTGTAGTGTACCCAACCTCCCACATTTAGAGATGGCCACATATCGAAAGACATACAGCAGTACACCTGTCAGGGCTGCCTCAAGTCTCAGCTCACAAAAGACCAACGCCTATGTCTTCTTATATACAAAAGTGTTTATTGCAGTTCATTGTTTGCTTGACATATTAGGCGTGCAGCCCTACGTCTGCTACGCTTAGACCGCTGAAGTCCCCTCTGAACTCGGTCCCTCCCTGCACCAATTCTAAGAGGCTTGCGCTGCTCCACCTCTTTCTCTCTTTCCTTTCCGCAGGGTCCTTCTGCCCGCTGGGGTTTCGCCCTCCTGGATTCCTCTGACGCGGAATCAGACTGCTCTTCCCCTCCTGCGGGCTTTGGGACCTGGCCCCTCCTCCGGGCTCCCTGTACTTCCGCGCGCCTACATTTGAACCATGGCGCGCGCCAAACCTCTAACTTTCCTTTGACAGTTACACTACTCCCTTCACTGCTCCTCCTTCCGGGAGGGTGGCTTGCTCTGACCTCCCTCCTTTCTCTGCTGCCGGAGCTGCTTCCCTGATACACTGGAAACTCCACCCCCTTCGCTGCACTCTGGTGGGGAGGCTGGTCCTGACGCCCAGCTGCCACTTTGGGATCCTCCGCTGGCCCCCTGCTCCTGACACGTCCCCCCCTGGGAGCCCCGGGCCTTGACCACCGGCGCCCCAATCTGGGAATCCTCTGATTCGCTGGAAAGACTCATGGAATCTCTTGAGTCATTGTCATCCTCTTCCTCGCTGGCTTGGGATTCATCCCCATCGCTCTCCATCTCCTGCCTACCCTGTGCCTCTCTCCCTGAACCCCTGACATCCATCCCCTCGAAGCCCCCTTCCTCCCCGCTGCTCGGGCGCAAGTTCCGGGAGCCTGCTGTAGCGGGGTAGATGCTGGATACAGTCTCGTCGACGTCGATCTCCTCTGCTTCCAGTTCAGTGTAGGAGTGCTCGAAACCGGGTCCTCCCCAACTCATCCAAACCCTTCCCTCCCCTGTTACTTCAGGCGGCTGCTTGCCAAGGCCCCTCCGCCACCCCACTTCTGGTTGATCGGCCCACCAATAAGAGCGGTCCGTGTCCACCCCCGAGCACGATCCCCTTGGAGGGCTCGATTCCGGCGTGGTCTCCTCTGCGGAGGAGAACCCCTGGAAGGTGCTGCCTGAAAGTGTGGGGGTAAAAAGCCAGTCGTCAAAATATTCCGCTGGCATGGGCCTGTGTGGGAAGAGTGCATGGAACTCGTCTTTAAGAAAAGGTTCCTCCAGAGCATAATCTGGCACCCAACTGTTGGCGCTGGCCGGGGTACCTTCCCTGGCGAGGAGGTATTCCACTCCCTCCTCCCCCATCTCGAGTCCAGAATTTCCGTGACCTCGTTGAGTGTCGGGGTCCTCGGTGACTTCCCCGGTGACTTTCTACGTGGGGCTGGTGCCGTCCCTGGCTCCTGAAATCTGTGTGGGGCCTTGTAGGGTGTGAGCACCGACCTATGAAAGACCGGGTGCATCCGGGAATCCTCTGGGAGGGTCAACCGAAACGCTACGGGATTGATCCTGCCCTCAACTTGGTATGGCCCTAGCTGTTTGTGTCCTAGCTTCTTCTTAGCTAACGACTTGGCCGGCACCGCCTGGGCTGCTAACCATACCCAGTCCCCCACCTGGATGTCTTCTCCTGCCCTCCTGTGCCTGTCTGCCTGCACTTTGTAGGCGTGTTTAGCTAGTTCCAAGTGCCGTCGTAGCTCCTCGTGGACCTCCTGCAATTCTGCTGCTAAATGCTCTGCTCCCTGCGACTCTCCTGCGTCGTTGTCTCCAACGCCGGGAAGGTTCTGGGATGTCGCCCATTGTTGGCGAAGAACGGTGTCACCCCCGTTGACGCGTGCTTCGTGTTGTTGTAGGCAAACCGGCCATCGGTAAGTAGTCCACCCAAGTTGCAGGCTTTTGATTGGCGTAACATCGCAGGTACTGCTGCATGATGGCGTTGACCCTCTCCGCTTGGCCGTTGGTTTGCGGGTGTCTCGCCGACGCTAAGTTGATCTTGACATTCAGGATGCCCAGGAGCTTCTGCCAGAAACTGGAAATGAATTGGCGACCCTGGTCGGACAGGATGGACCGCGGTAAGCCGTGCACCCGGAACACGTGGTCTATGAACAGCTTGGCGGTCTGTTCCGCTGTTGCCACCTTCGCGCAAGGAATGAAGTGCGCCATCTTGGTGAACAGATCTACAACCACAAGCACCGCCGTCTTGCCCCGCGAACTGGGCAGATCAGTAACAAAGTCCAGCGCCACCCTTTCCCACGGCTGCAGTGGCGTCTCCAGCGGTTCCAGCAATCCCGCTGGCTTCTTGTGCACTGGCTTGGACCTCTGACAAGTGTCACACCTGGCGACGTAATCCGCGACCTCTCCCCGCATCTGGGGCCACCAAAAGTCTCTGGCTACTAAGTCCGCCGTCTTTTCTTTGCCGAGTGACCCGCGCTGGGGGCGTCGTGTAACTGCTGTAAAACCTTCGCGCGGAGATCGTCTCCCGGCACGTAGAGAGCACCTTTGCGGGTCAGCAGGCCGTCGCAGTATCTGGAATTCGCCGCCCTTGCTGTCCCTCTTCGCACCTCCTCCATCTTGGATTGTGCGAACGGATCCGTCTGTAGCGCGCGCCGCACCGCGGCCCAGGTCCACGGCGGCGGAAGCGCACGCCCACGCTTGCGGTGCGAAATGTGCCTGGCTGCCACTGGTGCCGCTCCTCGAGATACTGCGGTTTCTGGAGAGCGCATCCGCTATGACGTTGTTGTCTCCCGGGATATACTCTATCCGGAAATCGAAATCCGCAAAGAACTCCGCCCATCTCATGTGCCTCTGGCTCTGGAGCTCGCCGTGCGCCAATACTCTAGGTTCTTGTGGTCCGTGCGGACCTGCACGGTGTGCTTGGCTCCGATGAGGAAGTGCCGCCACGCCTTGAAAGCCGCGTGGATGGCCAACAACTCCCTGTCCCAGATGGTGTAGTTCTGTTCCGACTTGCTGAGCTTCCGGGAATAGAAAGCGCAGGGCCTCCAGTTCCCTTGCGGATCTTCCTGCAAGAGGACGGCCCCCACTGCTCTGTCAGATGCGTCAGTCTCAACCCGCATGGGCCTGCCGGGATTCACGTGTAGCAGCTGGTCTCGGACGCGAAGAGACTCTTAAGTCTCCTGAAGGACTGCTCCGCCTGGTCCGTCCAGGTGAACTTTTTCTTCTTGGAACTGAGGGTGTCCGTGATAGCTGCCGTCTCTTTCGCGAAGCCGACGAACCTCTGGACCTCCTTCCGATTGCGCGGGCTATTCCAGTCCAACACCGCGCGGACCTTGGCGCTGTCCATGGCTAGTCCCTTGTCGGACAGCCGGTAGCCCAGGAAATCCACCTCCGTCACGTCGAACTGGCACTCTCCAGCTTGGCGTAGAGTCTGTGCTCCCGTAGCCTCTGCAGGACCTCCTTTACGTCTCTCTCGTGAGTCTCCTGCGATTCTGAGAAGATCAGAATGTCGTCGAGAAAGCATACGCACTTCTTGTAGAGGAGTCCTGCTAGCACGTGGTGCATGAATGCTTGGAAACAGTGGGAGCCATTTTGGAGACCAAACGGCATAACTCTGTATTCATAGGTGCCCAGCGGCGTGAACATGGCCGTCTTCCACGCGGCACCTTCCCTCATGCGTATTAGATTGTATGCTCCGCGTAGATCCAACTTGGTGAAGATCCTCCCCTCCTCACCGTCGCGAGCAGGTCGTCAATCTTGGGCATGGGGAAGGCCTTGGGCTTTGTCATCGAGTTTATGGCCCTATAGTCCACAATGAGCCGTTTTTGGGGCGTGTCTTTCTTCTTCACGAAAAACACAGGACTGCCCCCCACTGCCTTGGATTCTCGGATGAATCCCCGCTTCAAATTGTGATCTATGAACTCCCTGAGTTCCTGCATCTCATCTTCAGACATGGAATACAGCTTCGCAGTCGGTAGCGTCG